TCATCATTGATGTCAGCGCTTCCAAGGTACACATTCTGCTGCAAGAAGTTGGAGTAAAGATCTAAAAAGCTGCGTTTGACAGCCCATAGAACTTTCACGTGAGCCTTTTCTTTAGCTTCTTCTTCATCCATACCATCGGAGATATATTTTTGATATTTTTCGTCCCTGAGGCCCTCGGTGTTTGTCATGGCCTGTTCTAACCATTCTTGATAAGCAGGGTTGTCCTCAGGTTCTTTCATGTCAGGTGTCTCTGACTTTGACGATTCATCCTCTCCTTCACTTTCTGAATCACTTGTTTCAGATTCATCGCTAGATTCTACAACTCTTTGCTTTTTAGAGGGTGGTTCGGAGTAATCATCTTCACTAGTTTCTTCACCAGCGTTGGAATTTTCAGTCTCGTACCCATGATCTTTCATATCAGGATGTACATTCTGTGCGTGCCTCTTGATGTCGAACTTGCGACTATAGGTCTTATCGCATAGTGAACAAGCGTAACGCTTGGACATTATCCGCAGTTTAGCGCCGTAACATTCCGTAACACCGCAATGTAACGCCACAACGCCGTATCGTATTATACACAACGCATTTGACGGATCATTCAGCTTTATGCTTCATCACCAACTTTTCTAGAGCACCCACTCTCTATTTGTGGTCTAACATTCTATTATTAGCTATTATTCATCTCAGCTTCATGATCAATCATTATCTTTTTTAGAACATCCAGTCTATTGCAATGTCAAAGTTAATGTACACGAGTCAATTAGAAATAGTATAAGTACGAAAAAATTCGTGTACAAAACCTATGGCCGTCCCGTTACTCACTGCTATAACTACTTGTTAAAGTTCGGGTATTTCATTAGGATCAGTGAGATTATAAAACAGTAATGAATTTGAAAATTCAGGAAGAAATGCAATACAACTTTCGTTGGGTGTATTAAGTTTATTTGCTAAATTAGGTCCTATATTTACAAAATAGGAATTAAAGGTATCGGCTACATCTTCAGACTTTATAACTGTATAGTCTATTGTAAAATTAACATTGAGCAATTTTTGTTTTGTTTCCAATCAAATCATTTATAATCTCCCAGACAGATTTCATATTTGGTTTCACTCTATTAAGGTTATCAAAATAAAACATTTTACGAGAATTGCGAATGATGTTAGTTAATTTTATTTCGGTATATTTTATATTTGTTTTTGTTATGAATAGTAGAGGTCGTTAGATAAGCCTTATAGACTTTATTCCTTGTGTGTATTGATCGTAGAATTGCTTTTGTTATCCATGGCATTTTCTTGTTAGCTGATACTAGAGGAATTTTTGTCACTATATATCTGTAATTTTTTAATCAAAACTTGTGTATGCCATATCTGCATCTGATTCATTAAAGACGTCCAACCATTCTCCTGTTGATAGATCACTTTTGAATGATTCAATATATTGGGGTGTTTCTTTTCTGTACATGTTTGATTTAGCTGAATTTTTAATTTTAACTTCATTATTACATAAAGTTGGCAAATAATCAGATATATCAGAATATATTATTCGCTGGTAATGTTTTTATCAAAGATATTAGAAAAAAATATTATCTTTAAAGATACTATGTCCCTTTTGCAGCCAACATCAAATTCTGTAGAACTTTGCAGGAGTTATGAATATGTCATGTATGTCCTATCTGTTAATATTAAAGTCACATAGAATTCAGCTCTCATGGGGAATTCGACACCGCTCGGGTGTTTACCCAGTAACAAGTGTTGTCAATCACCAGGGTTAGCCTCGAATTTTATGACCATTAGACCTTATGTAATGCTTTGCTTTTCCTTCGCCCGAAGAATCTCCGAGCATGCCCTGAGAGACTAGGGGGTAATTCTTGACTGGCCAACGGGTTTGCTGTGTGCAGATTTGTACCTCCATTAATGGTATTTCCACCAAGTCTGGTGTCAGCGAATTACGGCCTTCTGCACATGGAAACTGACTACCCACTCCCTTTAAACGTTAGCAGTGTCCTAATATTCAAATTATGCAAGGAAACCCGTTTACTTGCTAGACTTCACTGTCAGACACCATTGAGTGACTGACTGGCTTTTTTCTAAAGGGTACATGAGCATTTGTCTACATCAATAACCCACTTCTTGTAATGGCCAAAATTAAAATGATTGAATCTTTGCGCAGCATAAAACGTATACGACTATCCGGTACATTGTTCTGAAAAATCAGACTATTACTTACTGGCTCTATAGCTCTTAAGTCAATTCGACAATTAATAGTCGTTATTTTCCCACTTCAAGACATTTTCAAGCCCCCCCCCCCTTTTTTTTTTAGGGAAGTTCTAAATAAGTATTATCTTTAAAATGCCGTTGGAATTTAACCTTTTCATTTTTTGGCCTGCAAATGGGACATAGTACCTTTAAGGGTTGAAGATTGATCATCAGTTCTGGTTGGTCTATTTATATGTGGATAACAACTATTAGAATAAGTAATATGAATAAGTGTATCATGGTAGCTACCATGGGATAACAGGTCAATATTAAAGTCACCAATTAAATATAAGTGTTTACCTTCTCCGGTAAGAGTATGAAGGCATTTATCCAGATCTTCACAAAATAAATTTGTATGACTATAAGGGGGTCTATAAATTAATCCGACGATTATATTTTTATTTTTTCGATTAATGATTGCTAAAAATAATGGTTCAATTTGTTTTAATGATATTTCTCTTCAGATTTTCAATTGTGAATGTTCGTTGACATAAAATGCTACACCACCTCCTCTTATTTCTTCGCGATCTAGTCTGATCAAAGCGTTTACTAAATGATTAACTTTCATAATGACAAGCTCACTAATTTGTGTGCATCTCAACCATAGGGTACGTTCAAAATGACAGGAAGGTGAATACCGGGATCTCTTTTTGGGGTCAAAGCACTAAAAGTGCAAGAGTACCTTTCTTTCTATTCATTTCTAAATAAAAATCAGGGATTTTTGCGAATCATCCCTGGACGTCTGCCCATCCAGATCAAAAAGTGCAAGAGTACCTTCCCCTCTGATCATTTCGAAATAAAAATCCAGTTTGCCAATCCAGGGGCATTATTGGCACAATAAACATGATAAACTTCGAAAGAGATGTCGGGGTTACCCCAAGTTTATTATCAATGTTTAAACAAAAATGTTTTTACTTCTTGAAGGCTAAAAGTAACATGAGTATAATAATAACAAATATTGCACCATTAATTTATAAATGTTGCACAGTCAGTCCAACTGCTTATCAACAGGAAGCAAAACAATTTATTATGGTCCAGCTATCAATGGGGTGGAATTCGCTAAAAAGTATACCTGGTAATGACGACATCTATGATTTTAGACCTATTCGTGTCGCGGTACAGAATATGAATTTGTGTTTTGGGGGAAAGAGTTCAAGCTAAACTATCTGGCGATAACCCTTTTTCTGGGCTGTTTAATAAATTTATTAATCATATACATGAATGTGTATAATTATGATGGTATTTATCATAAGTAATTCATTACTTCGTGTTTATACGGATGCATGTTGCGTTACATTTGCAGCTTGTTTTTTTTATTTTTTATTTCTGTATAATAAAATCAGAAAAAATACAGAAAAGTAATCACACAGAGAAAAGGCACAACATACGGCAGGTAGCCCATTTTCAGCTACAGCTATATTGTTGCTGCTGGTCTTCTATGGGGCCAGTTTATACAATGTATAAAACATATATAATATTACAAACTAAACAGAATAAATAGTTACAAAGTATCAGTCGAAAATATAATATAAATAATTATAACGAAAAAGAAAGGAAAAATACATTTATACATACATAAAGAGGTATAACAATAGGATGATTATAGTATGTTTAATTTAGTCTTAAAGGTGGCAATGTGGGTAGTTAACGCAAATCAGAGGATAATTTATTATATTGAAAAGAAGCTCTGTATACGAAAGTTTTTTTTTACAATAATTTGTTCTTGGCCTATAGGTAAAGAGAGGTTAGGTTTATTACAGAGGGAGTAGGGTGAGGGTTTAAACTCAAACATGTCTTATTTTTTTTACAAGCAATCGGTTTGTAAAAGTCAAGGGATTCCTGACTGACCTAAAGGTTTACAAATTATGATTGCAGCATTAAGGCCCCCAACAAAATCATTTGGTTGTCCTCGACAGCCCGCTCGTCATTTTCGGGCCGCTTGTATTTTTTTCCCTTTTTTTTTTCATGCATTTTGCAATGATCAAAATCCGTCCCGCTGCCAGTTTGGTCTTTTTCAGTCCGCAATTCTGTATTTATTAAACTTGCCATTTGTATGTTTCTATGTCAAATGCCGTTCATTCAAATCAGGTTCTAAGCATTCTTTAACTCATTTTAAAGCCCAACTGTACTAGTTTACAGGAAATCAAATCAGCTCTCAGTTAACATAAGATAGAGCGGATCATGGAGGACCAATGGTCACAGATTAGGCATTGTTTGCTATATAGAGGGCGCAAATAGCTATAAGTAGTACAGTTGGGATTTAAAAGGTGCTGTATTTTAAAGCCAAAAATACTTTCTGTGTTGGTCTTGATATTCATTGTACATTATAGTCATTTACCATATTAAAGTGTTTTATTGACTTCGTTTGTTTGAATGCTTGACATCCCAATGATATTTTTAATTTTTAATTTAAAAATATTTCTTTTCAAAAAAATCCAAAAAAGACCCCCCAAAAATGAAGAAAAAAATCCGCTCGCCCGCCCCTACTCCAGAAAAGCAATCGAGGACAACCAAATGATTTATTTTTTTGGGCCTTAGCTTTATCAAGGATTTTATTTCAGAATCTGAGACAAAGATACCCAATAATCCCTCTAAGGTACAGAATTAAGGCTTTAAAAAGGTGCAAAGGTGGTTGTGTCCTCTAAATCCTCAAACAATTAGTACCCATAAACTTTGCGAGGAACTATACTGTTTAACCTTTTTCTTTTTTTCAATTTGACCTAGTTTATTTTGAATGACCCTGTAGGAAATATCAGTGCGTGGGGCAGACAGCTTTAGAATACAAAAGCTTTTTATTCCTCGAAATATTATATCGCGAAGGTGAAAGTGAAAGAAGACCTTCCCCTCTGATCATTTCGAGAAAAAAATAGCGGGGATTTTTGCAAATTGTCAAACCTCTTCACATTATACTCTTTGTTATTCGGCTCCAGTCACTTCCTCCTTACGTGTTCGTTGATTCTTCTCTTTTTCGAATATTTCGATGTTTTCGTCTGATTACGATTCCTTATAAAATAGACCCAAGAAACTTTAACTGACACTATTGACAAGTTATCCGCGGGATTCACTTGTCGCATGGGTTTCAAGAGATGTTTGCTTCCACTTTATTGCAAGACCGATGTTTTCTCGATTTCGAATTAACTTCTGAATTAACTAAAGATTTTCCTGCAGTGGATATCTCTCTTCACAGTAAAGTTGTTTTAAATTCTGAGCACGGACCAACCACTACGGATTAACTTTTTGCTTCCTTTTATCATTTTCAATATCCCAGACTTTTAAAATAAGAAAGTTCTTCAAAAAGTCCAAGCGATTTATGTCAGACGGACCAACCTCTTGAGCACAAAGGCCTACTTTTGAACGTTTCAGAGGAAGCACATTTTCATATAGGAGGAACGTCATGGCGGCCGTCACGCAAATGTTGTCTGGTTGTTTCTTCATCTTCTGTCTCCATTCCGTCTTTGCCAGCGATAATGGTCAACTTCATGAAACCATATTACGAAATCGACGGACGACTCAGGGAGCAAGTATGTACACATTTATTTATCTAGAGGCGCCCATTTAACGAATATGTGAGAGGGAAAAGGGTAGAGAGAGAGAGAGAGAAGAAACTCAATTCAATTCAATATTTATTTTATTGTCCAATTATTGGAAATTCGTTTCGTTTGCATTTCAATACAAGATTACAGATTATAAACATCAAAAACATACAAATGGATACAAAATAGTACAATTGACTTAAACACAGATAACACGAAGTACGATAGTTCAAAATGCATACTTAAATTCAATTCATAATTCAGACTAAGTAATTAAATTAAATTCATTATTCGAATTAAATTGAATTCACAATTCAGACCAAATTCAATTCATAATTCAGATCTAATCCAATTCAAATCCAGATTAAATTAAATTCATAATTCATATTGAATTCAATTCACAATTAAGATCAAATAGCAAATGGCATATACCCAGTGGCGGATCCAGGGGGGGGGGGGGGGGCGGGGGGGCCCGCCCCCCCCCCCCCCCCCTTGAGAAAAAAAATCATGTAAAAACACGTGATTTTTTACCTTTTTGGGGGGTGCAAATTTTTTAAATTTTCGACGACCAAAAAATAAATAGTGCCCCCCCCCCCCCCCCCCCCCCCCCCCCCCCCCCCCCCCCCCCCCCCCCCCCCCCCACTGAGCGACTTTTCGGCCGGCACGATTTTCAAATTTTCGGGAGCAAAAAAACAAAAAAAAGTTGGGCCCCCTCCCTAAGAAATCCTGGACCGCGCCTGCATGTACCATACGATATTAGTAATACTTGGAACAAGAGGGTATCCTATTTTTCAATGTAGAAAAATCAAAAAGCTATTTTGGCTGTGCCTGTGGGGTGTGGCATATATTTTTATTTGCTGGTAAAAGGCGCGCGTTGATTTGTAAATTTTGTAGTGTAGATTGGCCCGCACTGGGGCGGTGCACGACTTTCTTTGACCTATAGCCCAGCCAGTCTATAGCTGCAATTGATTGACTCAAAATATACCTACACGTCATGCGCTAGTCATAAATATCCATAATACGCACGCACAGAATACGATTCGATAAGGTATCATAATTATGATAAGATTTCATACAAAAATTAAGAGTGCAAATCTATGATTACTTAAGATAAATGACATCGCGAAAAAATCATGAGGCCTGCCTTACCGTAAATGAATGACTAACCAGGTCGAAACTTGTCAAACATCATTTCGACATAATTATGACCAGTTAGCTAGTCCAGAATCTGTCCGATTTATTTTTGATCTCCACAACACCGTACCAACGTACGTTCCTTTCTGTTACTTGAATAGACATTTAAATACATTTTCCAACAATGCAAACAAAGCAAGTTTAATTACATTTGGTTCTAGCTGTACCTTTGAGAGGCGTATACGGGTGTTACCCCTTTTTGCAGAAGGGTGTACGTGGACTTGTTCAGGGTTAAAGCCCTTAAAGCTCCGAATGCACGATATGCTCCACTGCTTGAAAAGAAAACCTAATTTGGCAGTTTAGTTGCAACACGTACAAATGGTGATCCCTTTCAAGATTTTAGCATTTATTCTATTCTAAAATCAGTACTTAGTCCATCAATACACCTACGTTTCTTTCTTATTATGAATAGCCATACGTGTGGTTGGTGGCAGTAGCCCTACAGAGGGAAGGGTCGAGGTCTTTGTCAATGGCGCTTGGGGAACTGTCTGTGATGATCTTTGGGATATCAACGATGCCAACGTAGCATGTAGACAACTTGGGTTCGGTCGTGCCATCTCTGCTCCTGGTAGTGCCAGCTACGGCTCAGGAAGTGGCAGTATTCTACTCGACAATCTTGCATGCACTGGTGCGGAGAGCAATCTCCTGCATTGTCCTCACAGCGGAGTTGGAAGCCATAACTGTGGTCATAGCGAAGATGCGGGAGTCGTCTGTAGTAGCGATCTGTCATCAGGTAAGAGTGTCTTGATGTTCGACTCTATTATATTGAAAAGCTGCAAACGCTGACTATATTGCCAGTCTGTTATTTGGTGATTACATGATACAATTCTTTAGTGGAAGCGACGTCGTTTAGTGGAGAAATCTGTGCACTATGAAACACAAGGTACGTACGGCAGGGGCGTACGCAGGATTTTTTCAAGGGGGGGGGGGGGGGGGGTTTTAAAATATTTTGCTCCCGAAAATTTGAAAATCGCGCCGGCCGAAAAGTCGCTCAGTGGGGGGGGGGGGGGGAGGGGGGGGGGGGGGGGGGGGGGGGGGGGGGGGTAAGCGGACACTTTTTTTTTTTTTTTTTTTTTGGAGGTAAAAAAAAATCGCAACGACTCAGCCGGCAGAAAAGTCGCTCAGTGGGGGGGGGGGGGGGGGGGGGGGGGGGGGGGGGGGGGGGGGGTAAGCGGGTAAGCGGACACTTTTTTTTTTTTTTTTGGTCTCAAAATTTGACATTTTTTTACGTATGGGGGGGGGGGGGGTAAGGTTAGCCGGTGGTATAATTTTTTTTTTTTTTTTTTTTTTTTTTTTAAATAAAAAAAAAAAAAAAAAAAAAAGCCAAAGGGGGGGGGTTTTAGGTTTTTTTTAGGGGGGGTTTACATACATTAAAATACCAAAAGGGGGGGGGGGTTTGAACCCCAAAACACCCCCCCTGCGTACGCCCCTGACGTACGGGTTCTTAATCCCTGTTGTAGGACTCATGTCTTTCAATAAGACATTAATCAACATTTGCCACTCTCCTTGACTTGTCATTGGTAAACATGAAAAGCCTGTTTATTCCCCATTTCAATGATGCCTCATTTTTAATGACCATGCTATCATGAAATGTGCATTTCACATTATTATGGGGCCAGGTCAAAGGTTTGCAAAATGCATTGTTAGTGTCATTGAGCACAATTAATCCTTCAATCAAATGAAGAATTCACTGATGACAATAGCAATGCATTTTGCAAACTTTTGACTTATCAGGCCAACCAAATATATAATATACACAGGATTATCAATACTCATTTTGTGACCGTGTTGTGATGAAATGTGCATTTCACATTATTATGGGGCCAAGTCAAAAGTTTGCAAAATGCATTGTTAGTGTCATTGAACACAATTCATCCTTCAATCAACTGAAGAATTCACTGATGACAATAACAATACATTTTGCAACATTGCATACAAAGCAAGTATAATCACATTGGTTCTGTACCTTAAATTGGGAGAGGCGTTTACTCCTTTTTGCCCATGGGGAGGCAGAAGGGTGTACGTGGACTTGTTCAGAGTTAATGCATGCCCTTATGGCTCTGAACAGACGATGTGCACGATGCTCCACTGCTTGAAAAGAGAACATAATTTGGCAGTTTAGTTGCAACCTGTGCAAATGATCATCCCTTACAAGATTTTAGAATTTATTCTATTCTAAAATCAATACTTAGTCCATCAATACACCTACGTTTCTTTCTGTTATATGAATAGCCATACGTGTGGTTGGTGGTAGTAGACTACAGAGGGACGGGTCGAGGTCTTTGTCAATGGCGCTTGGGGAACAGTCTGCGATGATCTTTGGGATATCAACGATGCCAACGTAGCCTGTAGACAACTTGGGTTCGGTCGTGCCATCTCTGCTCCTGGTAGTGCCCGCTACGGCTCAGGAAGTGGCAGTATTCTACTTGACAATCTTGCATGCACTGGTGCGGAGAGCAATCTCCTGCATTGTCCTCACAGCGGAATTGGAAGCCATAACTGTGGTCATAGCGAAGATGCGGGAGTCGTCTGTAGGCATAGTAGCGATCTGTCATCAGGTAAGAGTGTCTTGATCATGTTCGACTCTATTATATTGAGTAATAATCATATTGCTCCGATTGTCTCATTTTCGCTCGCAGTGAACATTGCCAGCACAAACCACTGACCTCTACCTCCTGAACGGATCATCGCACATTCCCATTCACTATACGTTACGTACTAAAAGGCCGTATTGTCTGACCGTTCATGAATATTCATGTTTTTGCTAAACTCGGCAAAATGTTTGCTTTTACTAAATGGAAAAATTACGGTGGGGGGTTGGATGAAATGGACAGACTGAAATAGGCAGAAGTGATCTATGATAATTCATGCTTTTTACGTTTCGTGTGCTCGACCTATAATCTTCAACTCGCTTGGTATAAACTGAGTCGATCCAAAGTTGACTTGTTTCACATGTGTATTATAGGCAATGACGAGCTTGCAACCTATTTTGAAAAATTACGGTGGGTGAACTTTCAACAGTCAATGAGACATGAGGGCTCCAATGAAAGAGCTAGTGATAACGTACGTCGGGGTGGATGTGCTTTTCGTTTAAACAAAAAATCAATTTTTAACAATTTAATAAAAAAAACGTCCTTAGGCTAACATGTTAGGCTGCTGACTCTGATCATGCTCTGACGATAGGGGGCGTTGTGAAATGAGACTAAACGGAGCCATATGAATCCTATGTGCAGTATATGTTTGGTTGGCCTGATCAAAGCTGCAAACGCTGACTATATTGCCAGTCTGTTATTTGGTGATTACATGATACAATTCTTTAGTGGAAGCGACGTCGTTTAGTGGAGAAATCTGTGCACTATGAAACACAAGGTACGGGTTCTTAATCCCTGTTGTGGGACTCATGTCTTTCAATAAGACATTAATCAACATTTGCCACTCTCCTTGACTGTCATTGGTAAACATGAAAAGCCTGTTTATTCCCCATTTCAATGATGCCTCATTTTTAATGACCATGTTATCATGAAATGTGCATTTCACATTATTATGGGGCCAGGTCAAAGGTTTGCAAAATGCATTGTTAGTGTCATTGAGCACAATTAATCCTTCAATCAAATGAAGAATTCACTGATGACAATAGCAATGCATTTTGCAAACTTTTGAGTTATCAGGCCAACCAAATATATAATATACACAGGATTATCAATACTCATTTTGAATGATTATGTTATCATGAAATGTGCATTTCACATCATTATGGGGCCAAGTCAAAAGTTTGCAAAATGCATTGTTAGTGTCATTGAACACAATTCATCCTTCAATCAAATGAAGAATTCACTGATGACAATAGCAATGCATTTTGCAAACTTTTGAGTTATCAGGCCAACCAAATATATAATATACACAGGATTATCAATACTCATTTTGAATGACCGTGTTGTGATGAAATGTGCATTTCACATTATTATGGGGCCAAGTCAAAAGTTTGCAAAATGCATTGTTAGTGTCATTGAACACAATTCATCCTTCAATCAAATGAAGAATTCACTGATGACAATAGCAATGCATTTTGCAAACTTTTGAGTTATCAGGCCAACCAAATATATAATATACACAGGATTATCAATACTCATTTTGAATGACCGTGTTGTGATGAAATGTGCATTTCACATTATTATGGGGCCAAGTCAAAAGTTTGCAAAATGCATTGTTAGTGTCATTGAACATAATTCATCCTTCAATCAAATGAAGAATTCACTGATGACAATAGCAATGCATTTTGCAAACTTTTGAGTTATCAGGCCAACCAAATATATAATATACACAGGATTATCAATACTCATTTTGAATGACCGTGTTGTGATGAAATGTGCATTTCACATTATTATGGGGCCAAGTCAAAAGTTTGCAAAATGCATTGTTAGTGTCATTGAACATAATTCATCCTTCAATCAAATGAAGAATTCACTGATGACAATAACAATACATTTTGCAACATTGCATACAAAGCAAGTATAATCACATTTGGTTCTGTACCTTTGAATGGGAGAAGGGTTACTCATTTTTGCATGTGGAAAGACAGAAGGGTGTGCATGGACTTGTACAGGGTTAAAGCCCTTAAAGCTCTGAACAGACGATATGAACAATGCTCCACTGCTTGAAAAGAAAACTTAATTTGTCAGTTTAGTTGCAACACGTACAAATGGTGATCCCTTTCAAGATTTTAGCATTTAGTCCATTTTAAAATCAGTACTTAATCCATTAATTCACTACGTTTCTTTCTTTTATATGAATAGCCATACGTGTGGTTGGTGGTAGTAGCTCTACAGAGGGAAGGGTCGAGGTCTTTGTCAATGGCGCTTGGGGAACTGTCTGCGATGATCTTTGGGATATCAACGATGCCAACGTAGCATGTAGACAACTTGGGTTCGGTCGTGCCATCTCTGCTCCTGGTAGTGCCCGCTACGGCTCAGGAAGTGGCAGTATTCTACTTGACAATCTTGCATGCACTGGTGCGGAGAGCAATCTCCTGTCTTGTCCTCACAGCGGAGTTGGAAGCCATAACTGTGGTCATAGCGAAGATGCGGGAGTCGTCTGTAGTAGCAGTCTGTCATCAGGTAAGAGTGTCTTGATGTGTTCAACCCTATTATATTGAGTATTGATAATCCTGTGTATATTATATGTTTGCCTGGCCTGATGAATGCTGCAAACGCTAACCATTGATATTCTTGTCACATATTAAGTGCAAACAAACTAACAAAGTAGTTGAATTCCATAAACCATAGTCTGGTGTTTATTCCCCGCACTGGGTATCAAGTCACGCGTATCGCATATCCATCGCGCACATGCGATCTGACCTCCTGAGGTCACAGGTGTCACATTTGCATAATCTGATACATATTCATTATCATGACATCCCTCCTTTGCCAGAATGAAACTTTATCCTGGTCTATTTTTATACTATAGTTTCACTGAAAATTCTTGTAATATTTCTTTTGTTCTTGTGTTTCAGCCATATGTGAATTACTGAAATAAACATGCTTTGGTGCATTTGCTTTTGTTTCTTCCTTTTTTTTTTTCTTTTTTTTTTTTTTTTAAGAACAACTTCTAACAACCAACAAATTTATCTGGTCGATAAACTTTTCCCAAATGTTTTATCTTCCAAACAACTTTGTTGAACAACATAAAACATAACATGCAATATAATATCTTTCATGCAATATCTTTCATGCATCTAGTCTGTGGTCCAAATAAAAGTTCAACTGTTCACTGGATACTATTTGAGTTCTAGTTTTGAGTTTGTGTAAATCATCTGTTATCTCCAAGCGTTCATACGACTAGCTGAAACTGAAGTTTCTGGAAATACTCTCTTCGATGATTGAATCCATTTTTGAAAACTGATCGATGCTCCAACTCAAACTTGTGTTTTCGCAACACCTATCACATACAATAAGGGCAGCGTTCGGCGTACACCCTTTTACATTGATTAATGTATGTGTAATATTGAAACATATATATCAGAACTTATTATTTTAGCACATAACACAACTTCCTCGTACGCTTGGTTTCCATGGTGATTTCTCCAACATGTCGATTTCACAAATATGGGCAGCGCAAGGCGTACACCCTTTAAATCATAACTTGGCTTCAACCAATGATTTCCAAACATTTCTCCTTGGCACATGTAGTTTCATATATCACTGTCGCTATTTTACAAAGAGCTCCTCCCCACCATATTGATCTGGAATCACACAAAATCATCATATCGCTTAGGGAATCTTCTCTGGCGTTGTGGTCTACTAGCTGCCATAGGAACGTTGGTGTTTGTTGTCTCTGCTTGGGTATCACCATCTTGATGTCTCTGGTCACCGCCTGATGTGTTGCTCGCTGCCTCTGAGTCTGGATCTCTGGTCACCGCCTCAGGAGTACTGGTCTCCGCCTCAGGATTACCGTCCGACCCTTCAGGAATACCGGTCACCGCCTCAGGATTGCCGTCTGTCCTCTCTGGATTGGCAGCTTCGTTATGAGTGTCTCGGGACATGTATCTTTTTACACTTGATACATTCCTATTATACAGGACTCCGTCAGGAGATTTCACAGTTACCATACTTCCTGTTCTTGCTGTCACTGTGTACGGCTGGCTAAAGTATGGCGTGTCTAGTTTCCTCCTTTCATCACGTCTTACTATCACCTTATCTCCTGGCACTATGTCAGAATGTACGGCTCCCCTCTTCAGATCTGCATAGTGTTTTGCACCACTTTTCATTTGGAGGTCCCTGTCTCTGAGTTCCTGATCCTCACTAATGTCCTGGATTTGTGGTAGTTTAGTTCGGATCTTTCTCCCGAACAACACTTCTGCCGGGCTTTTTCCCGTTGTCGAATGACTACTAGCCCGGTAGACTGCGACGTAAGTCAGCAAGGCCTCTTTCCAATCCTTGCCTTCTGCCTGTGCAATTCTAAGCCTTTTCACTATACTCTGGTTCTGTCTTTCGACCTCGCCGTTGGCTTGGGGCCATTTAGGAGTCACCCGATGGTGGTGAATTCCTGTAATGTTCATGTACTCTGCGAAAACTTCTGAGATGAACTGGGGTCCATTGTCTGAGTATAACGTCACAGGTAACCCATGTCTGCCAAAGATTTCAGCCAGGGCTTTGACTGTCTTCTCTGCAGTGGTTGATTTCATGATTGCATACTCGTAGTATCTGCTATAATAATCAACTACCACAAGTATAGATTCTCCTGTCGGAAGTGGTCCTAGGAAATCAACAGCTACATCCACCCAAGGTCCTGTTGGCAACATAGTACTTCGAATTGGTTCTGGTGGATTACCCCTGCTTGTGATTTGGCAACCATGACAAGTCTTGACGAATTTCTCTGCATCTTTCTCACATCCTGGCCACCATACCTTGGTTCTCAAATTCTGTTTGGTGCCAACAATGCCCAGGTGTCCTTCGTGAGCTAATGACACCATCTTTGGCCTCTGTGCCTGTGGAATCACCAATCTGCTACCTCTCAGCACACACTGACCAATTATACAGAGTTCATCCTTGATGGGAATGTATGCTTTATATGGACAATCATCCCATTGTCCACTGTGAATACACTCTCTGATAACTTCGAGTTCAGGATCATGTTCAGATTCTCTTTCGACTTCCTTCGTTGTCACCGCACCTGGCGTTGACTGGACTGCCACAAAACGCACAAAGCTCTCTGCTTCTGTTTCCAACACAGAAGTTTCTCTCGGTTGATCATCCTTCAGCAATCTTGACAATGGATCTGCTATGTTGGACTTTCCTGCGATGTGGACTACCCTGTACTTGTACTGTTGAAGCCTCAGAACCCACCGCTCTATTCTCGCACATGGCTTAGATCTCGGTGAATAAATGACTTCAAGCGGTTTGTGATCAGTCACTAGATCAAACTCTATTCCATACAGGTACGCATGGAATCTTTCACAAGCCCACACAAGTCCAAGGGCTTCTTTCTCCGTCTGAGAGTATCTCCTTTCAACATTACTTAACGAGCGGCTGGCATATGCTACTATCCTCGGGCCATCAGCATGCACCTGCACCAGCACTGCTCCTAAGCCAACTGGACTGGCATCCGCTATGACCTTTGTCGGTGCATTTAGATCGTAGTAGCCCAGGGTCTCTGCACTCATTAAGCTTTCCTTCAGCGCCTTAAACGCTTGTTGTTGTTCATGACCAAATTGAAATGGCGTGTCCTTTCTGGTCAGCTTTCTCAGTGGATCTGCCAATGTAGCAAAGTTCGGAATGAACTTTGCGCAGTAGTTGACTAGCCCCAAGAAACTTCTCATCTCAGTTGCAGTCTGGGGTTCACGGGCCTCTGCAATTGCTTTCACCTTGGCCAATCCTGGGTTGAGTCCCTCGCTAGTCAGTCTGTGCCCCATGAAGTCCAACTCAGAGACACCAAACTTACACTTTTCTGCATTTGCAGTAAGTCCTGCGTCCCGCAGTCTGCTAAGCACCTGCTTCAACCTCTTGTCATGCTCTTTCTGGGTCGATGCATGCACAATGATGTCATCTGATATGTTCGCAGCTCCTTCTATCCCAGCTATCACTCTGTGTATCTCATATTGATAAATCTCTGGAGCAGCATTGATTCCGAACAACAGTCTCTTATAGCGGAACAACCCACAATGAGTGACAAAGGTTGTCACCTCTCTAGACTCCGGATGTAACTCCAGTTGGTGGTACCCCCACTTCAGGTCTATTTTCGAAAAGACCTTGCTAATCGACAGCTCCTGTAGGACTTCCTCAATAGTGGGAATGGGGTGACGTTCTCTTATGATTGCTTCGTTCACTCTACGCATATCGATACACAGTCTGATTTCATCATTTCTCTTTGGAACTATGACAACTGGGCTTACCCATGGCGTGGAGCGTTCAACTGGCTCAATGATGTCGAGATCGATCAATTCCGCAATCTTCATCTCGACCTTTTTTCTCAGTCCAAATGGAGTCCTTCGCACAGGCTGGGCCACTGGCTTCACCGTTTCATCCACTGCTAACCGCACCTGTCGGCCCTTCAACTTCCCAACTCCTTTGAAGACTGCTTCAAACTCCTGCTTTAAACCTGCATAACTCTGTACCGCATTTACATGTACAATTCCCACCTGGAGCACTCCCAGCTCTCTAGACGTATGTTTGCTCAGTAAAGGTTCTCCCTTTTCTTTAATGACAACAAACTCTGCAGTCGACTTCATCTTGCCAACTTCTACGGTGGCTGTGAAACATCCAACAGTTGTTAATGGTGATGTGTACGGATAAAGCCTCTTGGTACTCTTAGTAGATTTGCAGATGATTTTGTTCTTCTTCAGTTTCTCCCACAATATCTGATCTATTACATTGCAATCACTTCCCGAATCTACTATCACTGGGACTGTGACACCTCCAATGATTATTGGGACTTTCTCATGATCACCATTCACAGCAAATTGATAGTACCTCTGATCACGGCCACGGCTGTTGTCATCATCACTATCATTTCCGGGTTCACCTTCCACTTGGCGAACTCTATTCTTATACTTCTTTCCATCTCTGGATTTCCCATCTCTGAATTTTCCTCTCGCCTCACTTGTGCTCTTGGCCTTACTTTTGCACATCGTCGCAAAGTGGTTTTGGCCTCCACATTTCCGACAGATCTTTCCTTTGGCTGGACATGATGCATCCTTCCCAAAATGTCCTTTGTTCCCACATCGGTAGCATTCCAAATTCTTTTTTCTGTCATTCTCGTATGATACTTGATTCACTTGACCAGCTCTAGGCCTTTCTCTCTCTCTCAATGACATGGAGTTAAATTGACCTTCAACAGCTTCTAGAGCAGCAGCCATGGACAATGCATCATTTAACTTGAGCTCACCTCCTTTCTCCAGCATTCTCCTGCGAAGTTTATCAGCTCTGCAGTACTGAACTACTTGGTCAAGAATTTGGTTTTCTACATCCCCAGCTACGAAATTGCATCCAATAGCAACCTGTCGTAATTTGGTAACAAATTGGGCAACCGTTTCACCATCTTCCTGCTTTGTTTTCCTGAACAAATGTCTTTGAAACGTAGCATTAGGTTTGACAACATAATGAGCATTTAGGGCATCTGTGGCTTTTTGATACTCATTCCTCTCCCCTTTATTTGGAAGTGTTTTGAAAGTCTCCCTTACCACAGGCCCCGCAGTGTACAGCAACAGTGCTCTCCGTTGCGCCTCCTGGGCCGGCGTACATCCGTCCAGAAACAGGCCGCGACTATCGGCGTAGGCTTCGAACTCTTCAAGCCAAGCTTTCCACTTGCCGCTGACAATACTTGCACCACCCGTCGGATCGAAGTGTGGAACTCCTCGAAGCGCTAACAATTCCGCTCCAGCGAATGCCATGTTGAAACTTTTCCAGCTCGTAGCCACAGATTCAACATCCAAGAAACATTAATCCTCGTCGCCAATGTCACATATTAAGTGCAAACAAACTAACAAAGTAGTTGAATTCCATAAACCATAGTCTGGTGTTTATTCCCCGCACTGGGTATCAAGTCACGCGTATCGCATATCCATCGCGCACATGCGATCTGACCTCCTGAGGTCACAGGTGTCACATTTGCATAATCTGATACATATTCATTATCATGACAATTCTATCATTTGGTGATGACATTATACAACATTTTACTCTTCAGTGGAGGCGTCGTCGTTTAGTGCTGAAGTGTGTGGACTAAGAAACACAAGGTACGGGTTCTTAATCCCTGTTGTGGCACTCATGTCCTTTAACGAGACACTAATCTACATTTGCCACTCTCTTTGACTTATTATTGGTATAAATGAAAGGTCTGTTATTCCCCATTTCATGCCTCCTTTTTAATGAACATGTTATCATGAAATGTGCATTTCCTTCCTTCCCCTTGTTGAAGCATATTAAAAGAATTATTGGCTTGGCAAAAAAAAACCCGTTATGATAATAGCTATGAGATAAACCATTTATTTCCTTGAAAAGAAAAAGATCTGTGTGTGAGTTACATCATGGACCTATGGTTCGGTCAAGACAAGCGACTGAACAGCCAAAGTGCAGAATCCTGCATGGGCCTGGATTGCGGCTGTGCCTGTGGGGTATATTTATATGGCTTTTTTTTTTTTTGCTGGTAAAAGGCGCGCGCTGATTTGTCACTGGGGCGGTGTACGACTTTCTTTGACCTAGTCTAGTCAGTCTAGAGCTGCAATTGATTGGCTCGAAAGATTAATGTCTTTTAACAAGACATTAATCTACATTTGCCACTCTCCTTGACTCGTCATTGGTAAAAAATAAAAAGCCGGCCGGTTTATTCCCCATTTCAATGATGCCTCATTTTAAATGACCATGTTATCATGAAATGTGCATTTCACGTGAATATGGGGCCAAGTCAAAGGTTTGCAAAATGCATTGTTAGTGTCATTAAACACAATTCATCTTCAAATCAAATGAAGAATTCACCGATGACAATAACAATACATTTTGCAATATCGCAAACAAAGCAGGCTAATTACATTTGGTTCTGTACCTTAAATTGGGAGAGGCGCGCGTTTACTCCTTTTTGCCCATGGGGAGGCAGAAGGGTGTATGTGGACTTGTTCAGAGTTAATGCATGCCCTTATGGCTCTGAACAGACGATATGAACAATGCTCCACTGCTTGAAAAGAAAACATAATTTGGCAGTTTAGTTGCAACACGTACAAATGGTGATCCCTTTCAAGATTCTAGCATTTAGTCCATTTTAAAATCAGTACTTAATCCATTAATTCACCTACGTTTCTTTCTTTTATATGAATAGCCATACGTGTGGTTGGTGGTAGTAGACCTACAGAGGGAAGGGTCGAGGTCTTTGTCAATGGCGCTTGGGGAACTGTCTGCGATGATCTTTGGGATGTCAACGATGCCAACGTAGCCTGTAGACAACTTGGGTTCGGTCGTGCCATCTCTGCTCCTGTTGGTGCCCGCTACGGCTCAGGAAGTGGCAGTATTCTTCTTGACAATCTTGCATGCACTGGTGCAGAGAGCAATCTCCTGTCTTGTCCTCACAGCGGAATTGGAAGCCACAACTGTGGTCATGAGGAAGATGCGGGAGTCGTCTGTATGCATAGTAGCGATCTGTCATCAGGTAAGAGTGTCTTGATATGTTCGACTATATTATATTGAGTGTTGATAATCCTGTGTATATTATATGTTTGTTTGGCCTGATCAAAGCTGCAAACGCTGACTATATTGCCAGTCTGTTATTTGGTGATTACATGATACAATTCTTTAGTGGAAGCGACGTCGTTTAGTGGAAAAATCTGTGCACTATGAAACACAAGGTACGGGTTCTTAATCCCTGTTGTGGGACTCATGTCTTTCAATAAGACATTAATCAACATTTGCCACTCTCCTTGACTTGTCATTGGTAAACATGAAAAGCCTGTTTATTCCCCATTTCAATGATGCCTCATTTTTAATGACCTTGTTATCATGAAACGGCATTTCACATTATTATGGGGCCAAGTCAAAGGTTTGCAAAATGCATTGTTCGTGTCATGGGTGTCGATCCTTACGTAATACCTATTCATCAGGGGGGGATGAATGAATAGATCATCCCCCCCCCCTGATGAATAGGTATCAGTTACGGATCGACACCCATGGTTAGTGTCATTGAACACAATTTATCCTTCAATCAACTGAATAATTCACTGATGACAATAGCAATGCATTTTGCAAACTTTTGACTTATCAGGCCAACCAAATATATAATATACACAGGATTATCAATACTCATTTTGAATGACAGTGTTGTGATGAAATGTGCATTTCACATTATTATGGGGCCAAGTCAAAAGTTTGCAAAATGCATTGTAAGTGTCATTGAACACAAATATCCTTCAATCAAATGAAGAATTCACTGATGACAATAACAATACATTTTGCAACATTGCATACAAAGCAAGTATAATCACATTTGGTTCTGTACCTTTGAATGGGAGAAGGGTTACTCCTTTTTGCATGTGGAAAGACAGAAGGGTGTACGTGTACTTGTTCAGGGTTAAAGCCTTTAAAGCTCCAAACAGACAATAAGAACAATGCTCCACTGCTTAAAAAGAAAACCTAATTTGTCAGTTTAGTTGCAACACGTACAAATGGTGATGATCCCTTTCAAGATTCTAGCATTTAGTCCATTTTAAAATCAGTACTTAATCCATTAATTCACCTACGTTTCTTTCTGTTATATGAATAGCCATACGTGTGGTTGGTGGTAGTAGCTCTACAGAGGGAAGGGTCGAGGTCTTTGTCAATGGCGCTTGGGGAACTGTCTGTGATGATCTTTGGGATATCAACGATGCCAATGTAGTATGTAGACAACTTGGGTTCGGTCGTGCCATCTCTGCTCCTGGTAGTGCCAGCTACGGCCAAGGAAGTGGCAGTATTCTACTTGACAATCTTGCATGCACTGGTGCGGAGAGCAATCTCCTGTATTGTCCTCACAGCGGAGTTGGAAGCCATAACTGTGGTCATAGCGAAGATGCGGGAGTCGTCTGTAGTAGCAGTCTGTCATCAGGTAAGAGTGTCTTGATGTTCGACTCTATTTTATTGAATATTTATAATCGTATGTGCAGTATATGTTTGGTTGGCGTGATAAAAGCTGCAACCGCTTACCATTTGCCGGTTGTCATTCGGTGATCACATTATACAACTCTTCAGTGGAGGCGTCGTCGTTTAGTGCTGAAGTGTGTGGACTATGAAACACAAGGTACGGGTTCTTAATCCCTGTCGTGGCACTCATGTCCTTTAACGAGACACTAATCTACACTTGCCACTCTCTTTGACTTATTATTGGTATAAATGAAAGGCCTGTTATTCCCCATTTCAATGATGCCTCCTTTTTAATGAACATGTTATCATGAAATGTGCATTTCCTTCCTTCCCCTTGTTGAAGCATATTAAAGGAATAATTGGCTTGGCAAAAAAAAACGTTATGATAATAGCTAGGAGATAAACCATTCATTTCCTTGAAAAGAAAAAAGATCTGTGTCTGAGTTACATCATGGACCTATGGTTCGGTCAAGACAGGCGACTGAACAGCCAAAGTGCAGAATCCTGCATGGGCCTGGATTGTGGCTGTGCCTGTGGGGCATATTTATATGGCTTTTTTTTTTGCTGGTAAAAGGCGCGCGCTGATTTGTCACTGGGGCGGTGTACAACTTTTTTGACCTAGCCTAGTCATCTAGAGCTGCAATTGATTGGCTCGAAAGATTTATGTCTTTTAACAAGACATTAATCTACATTTGCCACTCTCCTTGACTCGTCATTGGTAAAAAATAAAAAGCCGGCCGGTTTATTCCCCATTTCAATGATGCCTCATTTTAAATGACCATGTTATCATGAAATGTGCATTTCACGTGAATATGGGGCCAAGTCAGAGGTTTGCAAAATGCATTGTTAGTGTCATTAAACACAATTCATCTTCAAATCAAATGAAGAATTCACTGATGACAATAACAATACATTTTGCAATATTGCAAACAAAGCAGGCTAATTACATTTGGTTCTGTACCTTAAAATGGGAGAGGTGTTTACTCCTTTTTGCCCATGGGGAGGCAGAAGGGTGTACGTGGACTTGTTCAGAGTTAATGCCCTTATGGCTCTGAACAGACGATATGAACAATGCTCCACTGCTTGAAAAGAAAACCAAATATGGCAGTTTAGTTGCAACCTGTGCAAATGATCATCCTTTACACGATTTTAGCATTTATTCTATTCTAAAATCATACTTAGTCCATCAATACACCTACGTTTCTTTCTGTTATATGAATAGCCATACGTGTGGTTGGTGGCAGTAGCCCTACAGAGGGAAGGGTCGAGGTCTTTATCAATGGCGCTTGGGGAACTGTCTGCGATGATCTTTGGGATATCAACGATGCCAACGTAGCATGTAGACAACTTGGGTTCGGTCGTGCCATCTCTGCTCCTGGTTTTGCCCGCTACGGCTCAGGAAGTGGCAGTTTTCTTCTTGACAATCTTGCATGCACTGGTGCGGAGAGCAATCTCCTGTCTTGTCCTCACAATGGAGTTGGAAACCATAACTGTGGTTATGGCGAAGATGCGGGAGTGAGCTGTGCGCCATCATAAGGTGGAGTAATAACACAGTTATTTAGCATGAAGTAATACAGTGTAACACCCGTCATGAGAGACTAATGAGTGATCTTTTCAGGCAGGTGGTCTTTATGTACATGTTCCGATTTTAGCAGGGTCAAATGAGAAATGTGGTCCTTTTATACAGATGCTCGCTAAAGCATATTTGATTGTATAACTTCTTACAGCAGATGACTGGGTCTGAATCTGAGATTCATTCAATAATAATAATGTTACCTTCCATATTTGATAATATGTTCAAAATAACAAAGGATGTTCATTCACATAACATAAGACATTTTAATGATTTATATATTCCATTGTTAAAATACAATACTTGGAATGCATACCCATCAATATAAAAATGTGCCCATCTCTTGCCTCATTTAAACGAAATATAAACGTCATCTAGAGAAGGAATTTCTATCTTAATTATGTTTTATTAGCCTGTACACATTTGTTTATGTACTACCCACTCTTTCTTTTCTCTTTACTTTGTATACGTATCTGCGGCCATTGGAGCCCAGCCTTTGAAAGGCCAATGGCCTCTGCTGGCTCCTCCATATTCTTTGTATGGTTTATATTTGTTTCCTATATGTACAATATATTGTTGATTGTATTTTTTACGAGAATTGGCAATAAAATGAATGTATGAATGAATGAAAGTATCATCCCTTATTAGGTGAATTCTGGAAAAGATTGACATTTGTATTTTTTAAGATGAAAATTATTTCTGAGCTTTTTTGCAAAATCTTGTCACTATATTTTTGCTTTTTAGAAATAGGTTCTATTGTAAGTCCAAATGATTTACTATGTTATTGATCTTAAAGGAAGAGTGTGGATATTGGCTAATCAATCAACTCATCTGAGAAGCAAGTTAATCACATCGTTATGTAAAAAAGGAATAAATGTAAAGCTTTGATCTGTGGAGATAAGTTTCTATCTTTGTGAATAAAAATAAAGCTATTTTCCCACAGATAAAGACAGTCTTGATTTTGAATGTATTACATTATTCAATGTAATTTTGTATCTTTTTTAAATTACTTAAAAAGTCATTAAATCTATATATGTGTGATGACGCACATAAAATCATATCTCAAGATTGTTTGATTTTAAATTCAGTTATAAGTTGATGTCCATAACTGGAAATGTAATGTGATCTATTATTGTGAGAGGGGAAGATCTAAATGAAAGGAAGAAGTGTGGCATTTTAAATTGAGAGAGAGAGAGAGAGAGAGAGGAGATAATAAGAGATAGAGCGAGAGAGATAAAGAGAGGAGGGCATTAGACATTTCTGAAAGGAATGAAGCAGAAACGGAAACAGAAAGTGAATAAAGAGATTAAACAAGAAGAAGAAGCACGGAGAGAGGGGGCATTGGATATTTCAGAAATCGAAATACGTGAGAAATGAAAAAACAGTTGAAAGAAAAACTAAATCAAGAGGTTACACATGATAAGAGAAGAAGCACAAAAAGAGCAGAGCACAATTTTTCCCAAAAATGTGGAGACTGGTGTTTAAAAAAAAAATTTAAACAAAATGTTCCAAATGCTCTTTGTAATTCCCTATTTCCGAAAAAATTATTTCCTTATCTTCGAGATTTCATTTTTTTTCTTCTGTAAATCATACCCGCCCCATAATAAGTAGTTTTGTATATTCGCGTAACATTTTTCTAGTAAGTCGACCCCCTCCCCCCACCCCCTTCCGTCGACCCCCTGCATCGTTCTACCGCCCCTCATTGGGTGGAGTCGCGCTACGCAACTGAGCGTTGTTTAGATTACAAGAAACATAAGTGTGGGACCCTTCTTCATCCTTCCCTTTTACACCATTTCATTTCCTATAAACTAGAATTCAAACTCGACCACTTTCCTTTTTCACATCCTGTTTATAGTCTCTGTGCGTTGTTGGGAAGAGAGGCTTCGTATTTCATTTGTGTGTTCTATAATTTCGCCCACCCTTAAAAAAAAAGGTTTTGAGGGGCACACTTTGGTGCTGTATATAATAATGAATGTTACCAAGCGTAAAACTTTGCATGTTATCAAGTGAACGAGGCTTAGTGAAAACTAAAAACTGTCGTTCAAAGGCTTACTTTAAAGGTACTATGTCCCTTTTGCAGGCCCCAAAAATGAAAAGGTTAAATTCCAATGGCATTTGAAAGATAGTACTAATTTAGAACTCCCGTTAAAAAAGGGGGCTTGAAAATGTCTTTAAGTGGGAAAATAACGACTATTAGTTGTCAAATCGACTTAGGGGCTATAGAGCCAATAAGTAATAGTCTTGATTTTCAGACCATTGTACCGCATGGTCGTACATTTATGCTGCGCAAAGATTCAATCTGTTTAATTTTGGCCATTACAAGAAGTGGGTTATGGATGTAGACAAATCCTTTACAGCTCATATTATGTACCAGGTATGTTATTACCAACGAAGAAAAAAGCCTGTCAGTCACTCAATAGTGTCTGACAGTGAAGTCTAGCCATTAAACGGGTTTCCTTGCATAATTTGAATATTAGGACACTGCTAACGTTTAAATTTCACAGATAGGACATACATGACATATTCATAATTCCTGCAAACTGAGTTCTACAGAATTTGAGGTTGTCTGCAAAAGGGACTTAGTATCTTTAAATGGAGGTTTATGGGGAAGAAGGGATGAAAATTCTGTGATCGAGCCAAAGTATCACAAGCTCCCAACAAAGTTTGATGGCAAATGTGTGACGGTGGCGATTCTTGCCCTGTTTGGGAGGAGGGAAGAGAGGCATGAGAGAGGTGTAGCGATTTTAGGTGTATCGGTGAGGTATGCAGGCATACCCCCTCGCTGTCCTTCTCCTCTTTTATTTTCATCCTCCAATACTATGGAGAGGTGATATAATTTCAACAACACAAATTCTTCAATAAATGCCGACACGACAGGTAAATAGACATACCCTTGCTTCAAATGATTACCAGAACTAATTTTTAATTATTTATTAGGCAGCATGAAGTAGCAATTAATATGACTGAAATGATTAGGCCTTTGAGGTGGGGTTCTTTGCGCATCCCCGGCCCGCCCCCCCCCCCCCCCGCCTCTCATTTTGTCCTTACCCGCATCCTGACACACGAATTCATGTTATTAATAAGATTATTATTCTCTCGACATATCCTGGTTCAAACTTCTTTCGTGTCACTCGTGAGTTCGGATGACGGTCTCCTTTCCCTTTTCCTTCGCACCCGATACGACTCAAAACTACAAAACAACCGTCTAGAATTACACCTTTTGGGAGATGGTTTTCTCTGAACGGATGGTTGACACTGGTTGGCACAATAAACATCGTAAAATTCCAAAGAAATGCAGCCTTTTACCTATTTCCAAAATTTGTTTTTGAACTTCTTCTTTTTCGCTAAAATAAAACAAATGATTGCAACATACATTAATAAATGTTCCACAGTCAGTCCAACTGTTCTCAAAGTGATGCAAGATAAATTATTATGGTCTAGCTATAAGTGAGGCGGGTTTTGTTTGAAATTATATCTGATAAATAAATGACAATATCTATGATTTTAGATCAATTCGTGTAGCGATAGAGAATAGGAATTTTGTGCATTTTCGGGAAGGGTTAGGGCTAAACCATCTGGCTATTACCTTTTGTATGTGTGTTGGTTTAATATATAGGTACAATCTCACTCCACTATTTAAGTCTTTACTTTACTCAGAGCCACAAATACCTGTGGGTTCCTTATGTAAGTGGGACACCAAAAATGTCACAAAGTGGGTCCCTAATTTATGGAATTACCCACATTATGATGGTATCTATCAAATGTAACTCATTAATTCGTGTTTAAACTGATGCATATTGCGATACATGCACACATAGAGACACACATCAGCGTAACATAGTTTGATCTCGCGATTTATATATATGTTACAAACTTATTCATCACTGTCCGTGTTGTGGGCTGTCTGAGTAAATGCAGGGAGTTGAATCAAATATCAGGGATTACTCGATCCGAAAGACAATATAGTCGCCTGTGGTGATTATTTTGTTATATTACTTTTATCCCAGATACTAGACTATTTAAAAGTATTAACCTTAATGAAAGGTAAGAACAAAAGTTAAAACAGAAGTCTTTTAAGGTGCCTCGATCCTGGATATAAGATTTGAAAGACGGTGCACAAAAACACAATTAGGTGGGCATATTCGTATTATGTTCTGTACGTGAAGGGAATGTTAAAAATATGATCTTACTAAATCTGTGCGAATCTTAAATTGGCAATTTTGTCAAGATATTGTAACGGAGTTCATGGACAATTCTCCCGTTTGTCATTTGCAAAAACATATTTTTTAAAATAAATTTTCTCCAAAGTGCCTTCTTCTTAGGAGGCACTACTCAGAAAAAGTTATGGATATTATATCATTATTGGTTCTCTAAAGAGAAAGGAACCTCAGGAGTAATACACTTTGAAAAAGATGACATTGTGTATTAAAACAAATGGGAAAGTTGGCCAGCACTTTACAAGACAGTACCATTACCGATTCAGCAAATTTAAAGTTCCCATATATTACGTATACCGTATAATGATTACAACTTAAACAAAATCAGAACTTTCTTCTTTTTCTCCGATTTCGTTCGAACTTTCACCAGTCTGTTTCCCTGATTTGTCAGCTTTCAGAATTATTTGCTCTTAAGGTTGAATTTCCCTCTAAGGTACAGAAATCAGGTTTATTTTTTAAGGTGAAGGAGGTCGTGTCCTCTAAATCCTCAAATGATAAGTACCTATAAACCTGTCAAAGAATTATATTCTTTAACCATCTTCTATTTTTCTGTTTTTCCCCTTCAATTTGACCTGGTTTATTTTGAAATACCCTGAAGCAAATATCAGTGCGTGAGGTACTAGACAGGTTTAGAATTACAAACTTTTGTATTTTTTTCCTCGAAATATTATATCGCGAAGGTGAATACCGGGTTCAAACTTTGTTATCAAATCTCAAAAAGTGAAAGAGTACCTTCCCCTCTCATCTGTTCCATTTCGAAATAAAAAGCGGGGATTTTAGCAAATCATCCCTAAAGACGTCAACCAATCCCGGGACATCTTCTCTGCCTAAAAAATTCTCTCCGCATTATATTCATGGCTAGTCTACTCGGATCACCTCTTCCCTCTAATGCATTCGAGGTTTTCTCCTTATTTTGAATATTTCGATTTTAACGTCTGACATACGATTCCCTTATAAGATAGACCAAATATACTTTAACTGACACTTTATTAGCGAGTTATCCGCGGGATTCACGTGTCGCGTTGGTTCGAAGAGCTGTTTGCTACCACTAAATGCAAGAACGATGCTGTGTCGATTTCGAATTAGCTAACGGATTTCCCTGCAATAGATATCATATCACTCTTCATAATGAATTTCTGAGCAAAGACCAACCCCTTGACCATTAATATTCGCTTCCTTTCAGTATTTTTTTTTAATATCCGAGCTCTCCATTTAGTAAAGATCTTCAAAAACATCCGAGCGACTTATGGGATTTATGACAGGCGGACCAACCATTTGAGCACAAAGGCCTACTTTTGTACGGTTCATTTGGAAGGAGTTAACATTTCCAAAATTGAGGAGTTAATTGGTTTTCAGAGGGAGCACATTTTCATATAAGGAGGAACGTCATGGCGGTCGCCACACAAATGTTGTCTGGTTGTTTGTTCATGTTCTGTTTCCATTCCGTCTTTGCCAGCGATGATGGTCAACTTCATGAAACCATATCACGAAATCGACGGACGACACCGGGAGCAGGTATGTACACATTCATTTATCTGGAGGCGTAAAGTATCGGGGGAGGGGCAAGGGGTACGTGTGCCTGGCCACAATGGCGGATCCAGGGGGCCCGGCCCCCTCCCCCCCCCCCCCCCCGGGAAAAAACGTAAATTTTACCTTTTTAGGGAGTTGGGCCTCCCTGGCGCCAAAGGGGGGGGGTGCAATTTTTCAAATTTTCGAGGGCCAAAAAAAAAAAATGTGCTCACTACCCCCCCCCCCCCCCCACTTATTTTCGGACCGGCGCAATTTTCAAATTTTCGGGAGCAATTTTTTTTTTTAAATAGTGCTCACCCCCCCCCCCCCCCCCCCATATTGAAAGCTTGAAACCCATGTTCCCTTACATAAATTTATTGCAATTACTAAAGCTTGAGAGCGCCCGCTCCACCCCAAAGATCCACCGATATCTAATCATCGGCAAAGTGGTCCGACACCTCCTCCCCCTTATCAGGAACGTAGCCACGGGGGTGGGGGGCACGTGCCCCCCCCCCCCAAAAATCAAGATCGGTTGAACTTTTTTTAGACCCCTTTTTTTTTTACTTCGATCAATCACATGTATGTGCCCCCCCCCCCAAAAAAAAAACCCATCAAACTCTGGCTACGTGCCTGCCCCTTATTGTCTTTGTCTTACCCTCCTCCTTCTACTTTTTTCCCTTTTTCTTCTTTTCTTCTTTTCTTTTTTCTTCTTCTTCTTCTCCTTTTTTCTTGTCTCATCTTCATCTTCTCCTTCTTCTTTTCTTCTTCTTTCTTCTTCTTCTTCAAGTTCTTCTTTTCCTCCTCCTTCTTTTTTCCCTTCTACTTCTTTGCTTCTTTTCTTTTCTTCTTCTTTTTCTTCTCCTCCCTCTCCTTCTTCTTTTTCTTTTTTTTTCTTCTTCTTCTTCTTCTTCTTTTTCTTTTTTCTTTTTCTCCTTCTTTTTCTCCTTCTTTTTTATTGTTTCATCTTCATCTTCTCCTTCTTTTTTTGTCTTTCTTCTTCTTCGTCTTCTTCTTATTTTTCCTTTTTCTTTTTATATTTATTTATTACTGGAATAATAATTCTTGGGATGGTTTTATGGATATTTTTGATGCAGCGGTTCGTGATTGTATTCCCCGCAAAAAAAGCCGCAATAACCGTTTAAGCCCCTGGATAACACTTGACATTAAGAAAATGATTAGTAAGAAAAATAGAATGTTTAAGATATCGAAACAGTTGAATACCAACGATAGTTGGCAGGCGTATAGGGAACTTCGTAACCAAGTGAAAGTATTGATAAACAAGTCGTATTATTCGTATTTGAATGAATTGTTATCAGATAGTGACGATAATAGGAAAAGGTTTTTTGCATTTGTTCGTAGTAAGAGGAAAAACCGTGCTCCCCTTTCAATTGACAACAATGGATTACCCGAACATGAACCGAGCAAGATCGCACAGGTGTTTGCCAATTATTTCAGTACCATGTTCACTCCAAATAGTACTTGTAATGATATTCCCGAACCCAGGTCGGAACACAGTGCATTCGTACCATATTTACAGAATGTCAATATTTCTACATGTGATGTCTCTAAGGTGATACGAAACCTGCGTAATGATAAATCACCTGGTCCGGATAACATAACCCCAAACCTCTTGAAAATGTGTTCTGTTCCAATTTCACCCGTTTTATGCAAGTTATTTAATATTTCTTTGTTTCTTGGTCAATTGCCAATGTCTTGGAAACAGGCCAATGTTTCCCCGATACATAAAGCTGGTGATAGCTCCTTACCTAGTAATTATAGACCGATTGCACTGACATCCGTAGTGTGTAAAATCATTGAAAAAGTAATAACGAACGAAATCCAACACCATACAACAGAATATTGTTTACTCAACCCTAATCAACATGGCTTTGTTAAAGGTAAATCGTGCGTCACTCAATTGCTAAACGTTACAAACCGTTGGCTACGTATCTTAGATGTACCATCCCCTCCAAAGATTGATGCGATTTTTCTCGATTTCCAAAAGGCTTTCGATTTAATGCCTCATGATGTATTATTGCAAAAACTTAATTCAAGGTATTTTATTTCAGGATCATTATGGCAATGGATAAGGTCTTTTTTGTGTAATAGGGAGCAAAGAGTCATTCACAGAGGTGCACTATCATCTTGGTTTCCTGTTTTATCAGGTGTGCCCCAGGGGAGTGTGTTGGGCCCCACCCTATTTAATTTATTTATTGATGACATTTTAACCCAAACCATATCGCCATGTGTACTTTTTGCAGATGATACATTAGTCTATAGACCCATCTCAAATGTTCAAGATATGCACATTCTCCAAAATGACCTGGACAAACTCAATGAATGGTGTATAATTAATAAAATGCGCATTAACGAAAAAAAGACGAAAGTAATGCGCATCACGTGTTCCAGACAACCCGGTATCCCAAATTATACTCTTAACAATACCCTACTTCAATCAGTAACAGAGTTTAGATATCTCGGCATAATGCTGAACAATAAACTAACATGGCATAACCACGTAGAATATATCACCCGCAAAGCAAATCGTATGTTGGGCTTTGTTTTATCAGTCACCAGGTCACTGGCTCCTCACACCATCTTTTCTATTTTTAAGTCTCTTGTTATACCCATACTTGAATATGGACAACCAGTTTGGCATTTACACACAAAATTACTTTCGAATAAAATTGAAACGATACAACGTCGAGCTACTAGAGTTGCCCTTAGGCAAAGACGCCAACAAATGTCTTACGAGAATAGGCTCCAACTTCTGAATTGGCAATCCCTTGAATCCCGCCGAAAATATTGCTTGATCTCTTATGTTGTTAAGTCTTTGTTCCGTGTTATTGAATGCGGCACTGTCGGGCGTGCCATATTGGTGAATGCTCGTCGAACTGATGAGGTGAGGTTCGTTCATCTCCGGGCGGCGTTATTTTTTTATGCGGCACAGATTGGGGCATGGCGCGTGTTAAACCTATGGGAAGTACGTTCTTTCCCTTCTGAATAGTGTCTGCACGTACGTGAGACTAGTCATGTTCGCTAGCGCATTAGCGCTGCGAAGAAGTTTGTATATCCATCGCGAACTATTTGTTTAGATAACATTCCTCTTCGTCAGTTCAGTTAGTTAAGTTTTATTGACTAATTATTGTGATGTTCTCCTTATTCATGTGCTGCCTCCTCTTCAGATTTCCAATTTGATTTTAATTGTTGATGTAATGATTTTCCATGCGGTAGTGGATTACATGTAACACTATTAAAAACAGACCTCTACTACTTATACTGTCTAGTACGCACACGACCAGTATTAGTCTGGAAATCAAGACCCCTTTTAAAAAAACGCCCCAATCTGTGCCGCATAAAAAAATAACGCCTCCGGGCGCGGACTCAACGGATGCACGGCTCTGCAATTAACGCATTTCCTCGTTACTGGGACGAACTCCCCGAGTCCTTGCGCACGGGGGTGGTCGAGACTTCCTTGTCGACCTGGCTTGCTGCGCTTGGGTGTCACCTCCGCCAGTGTGGGATTTAAATGATTGAAAGGGTAAGAGGGGAGAGGAGGCTGGAGCATGATATGCGGTTGAGTGGTTTTATATTAAACTGAATACTAAATTCTACTGCTTCCGCCTCTTCTTGCTTCTTTTCCTCCTTAATATTTCCCCCGCTTATTATATTGTTAACACTCACGTGTTTATAATTGCAAAATAACGATGTTCTTTTGTTATGGAACTGTTCTTCCGGTATCATGGGTATAGGTCAGTATTATAGATATTTGTAACCTGTATCTTTAATGGGTTATATATATTTCATTGGAATTTTATCTTTTGGTATAGGTCAGTGTTATGAATATTTGTAACCTTGAATGGGATATATATATATTGGGATTGTGTGGTCATGTCGAATCCTGTTATGGTACAGGCCTAAATATATACTGTAATTTTGATTTCAAGAAAATGTATCACTGATAAATATGTACTTCTCTCCTCTCTGTTTGCTTTACTTTTCCCTCTCTCTTTGCTCTCTCTCTCTCTCTCCCCCTTTGTCTCTTTTAGTTTCCTTTCATTTTCTATAGTATCTTCTATTCCTTGCTGTCAGGGGAGATACGGTTATAATATGCTATTTAATATGCTATTTTATATTTCAATATGTTGCCCTATACAGCAACATCTCCTACACTTATTCAATGTGTCAAATGTTAATTAGCCCATACATTTGTTTGTAATTGATTAATACTATATAATGTATCTGAAATAATGATACCGCATCTTGCATTTAATTACATCACTTATAATTGTTTAATAGGCCCTAATTACTTTTCAACTTTGAAGGTAACCCAAGGCTAAACTTCTTATTTCTGTTTTATGTAAATCATCCATTGGAATTGGGACAGGAGGCTTTATGCCACAGTAATTTAGTTAACTTTTTCTGTCCCTGGCGTTCCAATGGTTGATAATTATGTCTTATTTTGTATTGTGTACACTGATATGTAATGTTTTTCTTTGCCGAATAAATAATAATAATAATAATAAGAATGGAGAATAGAAACAAAAGTCAGGGGAAAACATTATTTTCCTTTAAAAGAAAAAGATCAGTTAGTGAGTTACATGAACGTTCAAGACCAGGGGCGTAAATCCGTACCGAGGAGTGGGGGGGGGGGGGGTGGGGTGGATGATCGGAGCTTAAGAGGAGTTTCGCATTTAAATATGGACTTTACTTAGGATTAGGGCGCAGAATTCATAATCCTTTAGGAACTATACCGTCTCTACCTTCTCTTCTATTCAGGGCCGTAGCCAGAGTTTGATGTTTGGGGGGGGGGGCACATACATGTAATTGAAAGACGTCCTGGGGGAGGGGTCTACACAAAGTTCAATCGAACTTGGATTTTTTTTTTTTGGGGGGGGGGGGCACGTGACCTCCCCCCCCCCCCCCCGTGGCTACGGGCCTGCTTCTACTTCTCTTTCCTCTGTGCACCCCCTTCTAGTGCCGCGTCCTGGGCGCGTGCCCCTCTTCGCCCCGCTTCTATACGCAACTGATCTAAGGTTTAATTTGATTTGATTTGATTTATCTATTTCTGTTTGATTTCCTTTTTCTTTTGTAGTAGTAATCAGGGGCGTCGCTAGACCTTTTTCAGTGGGGGGGGGGTGTAGAAGCCAACGATTACCGACAAAAATATCCACCAATTACCGACAAAATTAAATGTCTCAATATCTACAAATTTAACCCTATAAACCCGGGGCCGACTAAAGGCTAAATTTTCTTATTTTAGGGAGGGGCGGTAGTGAGCAAGCGAATCACTTAAAGAGCGCTTGCGCGCTCATTAGGGAGGGTGTGGGTGATAGGCCTCCCGCGCGAAGCGCGGAAGCTTAGACGTTTCCTTAAATTATTAGGAAAAGAAGACGATTTATTGTACCGTTCTCGACTGTTAATCCTTGTATGAATTCAGTTTCCCCCCCTCCCGCGCAAAGCGCGGAAGCTTTGACGTTTCATTAAATTATGAGAAAGAGTAGACGATTCGGTGTACTGTTCTCGACTCTTAATCCTTATCTGAATTCAGTTCTCCCCCCACCTGCGCAAAGCACGGAAGTTTTGGCGTTTCATTAAATTATTTGAGAAAGTAGAACATTCGTTGACCCGTTCTCGACTCTTAATCCTAATTTGTCTCAATGAAGTTTCCCCCTCCCGCGCGAAGCGCGGAAGCTTTGACGTTTCCTTAAAATATTAGAGAAAGCAGACGATTCGTTGTACCGTTTTCGACTCTTACTCCTTGTCTGGATTCAGTTTCCCCCTTCCCGCGCGAAGCGCGAAGAGCTTAGACGTTCGATTTTAATATTATAGAAAGAAGATTCGTAGCACCGTTTTCGACTCTTTATCTGAATTCAAATAAAGGTAAGAGGACACTTTTTAAAAATATTTTTTCGTCTCGAAATTTGAAAATTTGACATTTTTCTTCATGGGGGGGGGGGGAGGAGGGGTAAGGGAACCTTTTTTTAGGTCAGCCATGGGTATAATTTTTTTTTTTTTTAAATCATTAAACAAAATAAAAAAAACAAAGGGGGGGTTTTAGGGGGGGTTTTCATTAAAAATAAAGACATAAAAATACCAAGGGGGGGTTAACCCCCAAACCCCCACCCCTGCGTACGCGCCTGGGCTATACAGTTATACATACATAACAAAATAATGCATTAATATGCTGAAATTGAAACAATCACATTTTTTTTTCTTCTTCTTCTTCTTCTTTTTTGTTTTCTCTCTTTTTTTTGTAATCTCAGGGGGGATATTTGTTCAGGCCATTCCCCCCCCCCCCTGCTTCAAGCGAGGGGGGATGCATCCCCCCATCCCCCGGGATTTACGCCCCTGTTCAAGACAGGTGCCTGCAGCTAAAGTGCAGAATCCTGCAAGGGCTTGGATTATGGCCGAGGGGTGTGGCATATATTTTTATTTGCTGGTAAAATGCGCGCGCTGATTTGTAAATTGTAGTATAGCTCGGGCCGCACTGGTCCGGAGCACACAGGTGCATTTCGATGGATGCTGTTCAGTAGAAGCTAGCCGTAGTGCATATGGGCCTTGAGCTTTGAGTGTGATGTTGATATAAAACGGCAAAAATGGTGTGATCCTCGCCATATACCCTCGATGATATGAGGTACGTAAGTAGCCAAAATCTTAGACAGAAATAACCGTCTGGTATAGGTCATTCTGTAAAACTAACATTTGTCAACATTATGTAGAGAGGCGCGGTAGACTCAGAGGAGCCAGATGTAATCTCAGGGGAACAACCGTCTATATCGGAGACTGAAGCTTTCGGTCTACCAAAATCTAGGTTTGTTTAGAAGTTAGTTAGCTAGTGCATATGGAATAACCCTTAAGGGGCTAGGTGATATCAATATCATATTCCATATCGTCACCAAGTCCGTAAACCTTAGGCTAGCGTGGAATGAGTAGCCTGGGGGACGCCCCCCCCCCCCTCTCTCTCTCTCTTTCTCTCTCTCCAAGTTAGGTTAGGAATGAGTGGCTACAATGGAGTCGAGGAGTGCATAATCAATCGTGTTAATCATATTTTAAATTGAATGTGTGCAGTTATTGTGGCAGCTTTTAAAGTTAAATAAGGGCATTTCCGTGCAGTGCGTCCTGTATGACATGTAACAATCCAAGCCTATACTGTCCCCCACTTACTCTTCGTCCTACAGTAAAACTTGTTTTTATTTACATGCATTTTTTATGACTATTTAACAAATGACTATCGACTATGACCATCGACTATGAAACTTTTTTGTATAAAAGATATTTCCTTTTATGGATTGGAAGAAAATAAATGGATCTGTTGCATGAAAAAAAATGAATGGAATTATCAGTAATATCATTAACGTTGCATCAGATCAGGTGGAATAAAATATAATTTTATATCGAAAGACTTGTATATATACCTGCCATCGATTCTGAGATTGTGGGGTTTTCCCTTCTTTTAATGGTGTATATATACCCACACGTACCTCCTGATTGAAATTGTTGAACATTTCTTTGACCATGATGAGTGGCATATAGCTACAGGGGGCAGATGGAGATGAAGAAAAGAGGGATATGAAAAAAGGAGAAAAGAGTCACATGAAGAAGGAGAAAAGGATGAAAAAAAACATGCTTGGTCCGGCCTGAACCACTTCTATCCATACCCTTCCCATCCCCCTAATTAGTAGCCTTGTAGATTCATGTTTTGTATTCTGATTGGAACTGGTGCCCACCCCCTTCCTGCACCCCTCCCAATCCTTCCAATGCCCCCTTAATGAACGGTTTCACACTACACCACTGGTAATAGTAATGGTCAGTTTGCTGAAAAGTATGAAAATTGGTTTCTAGAAATGTATACCGGTGGTACATACTGCTATCACACAGTAAATTAAAATGATGTTTTTTGTTTTTACTTATTACCGGATCTACTGGAAAAATGCTGTCACTCCTGCAGTTTGGTTTCCAGGTATATGCTAATCTCAATTTTTTTATCCAATGTAAAGTAAATTCTTTTAAATTTTCTTCCTCACATCAGTGCGACTTGTAGGCGGATCTAACTCACTTGAAGGGCGTGTCGAAGTCTTCTTGAATGGCCAATGGGGTACTGTCTGTGATGACCTGTGGGGATTATCTGATGCCGGAGTGGTGTGTCATCAACTCGGCTTTGACCGGGCCTTAGCTGTCAGATCTTCAGCATTTTTCGGCCAAGGATCGGGTCCGATTTTGATGGATAATGTTGCATGCTCTGGAGATGAGCGATCACTTTCTAGTTGTGCCTACATATCGTCTCACAATTGCGCACATTCCGAAGATGCAGGAGTTGTCTGTGCAGGGTCAGGTAAACTGTAGTTGCTTGCTTTTCTACAGCTCATTATTAAATTAGAATATTTGAAAAGGAAACATCCTCCAGGTCTCTTCCATCTTTCTCATAAAAATATGAGGGCTCCGTAAGAGTCTCAGTGATATTTCTGCCATTATCGGTTTGATGTTGAACATTTGATATCTTTTTAAATGCAATGCTTTCTGGGAGAAATTTCAATTATTCAAACATATTTGTGGCTTATACAAATATACAAATATGTTTGAATAATTGAAATTTCTCCCAGAAAGCATTGCATTTATAAAGTTATTGTCCTATGGCGGACTAATGAATATTAATGAGTCAGAATGAATCAGGAGAGCTTGGGTATTTGTTTCTAGTTCATCGTGACTGTGCCATGGACCAGTGATGGCCTGGTGGTAGAGTCGCTGCCTGGCAAGCAGTAGATGGCAGGTTCAAGTCCTGCTGGTTCCAAGATTTTTTCTGACTTGTTTTTCTATACAGATCGTCAATCAATCTTATTTACTGGGTGTATAAGCCACAAATATGTTTGAATAATTTGATATCTTGTAACACATTGTCCTTAGACCTGTTTGCAGAATTATTAATTCCTGAAACATCTGCAATGGATTGCAATGTATGTTGCATTTGGTGAGCTAATATTGGATGGACTTTGGGGCCTTGGCTGTACTAACATGTGGTTATCAGTTGACGATATACATTGGGTCACAGTTGGCAGTCTCGGTCAATAAGCCACAGTTGGTCAAACTTGTGCCGACCTTGGCCCAACGTTTATTTGTCACCATTCAGTCAATTGGCTGAATGGACAAAAATATGCTGGCCTTGCATCATATCTGTGATGTTATTGACCCAATATTGGCCCAGTGTAGAGTTCCTACCTGGCTTATTATAAATTAAAAGAGTTCTTTAATAAAGTTTGCTAAATAATGAATTTCTTTCCCCCCTCTCGATATCTATCTATCTATCTACCACTGTGTTTTGTAACTTTGCCTTTTTTACTTCCTTCCTTTTCCCCTCAAAATGTGAAGGAGATGGTAACATTCGTCTCGTGGGTGGAAGCCATTCCAGCGAGGGGCGCGTTGAACTTTACGTCAACAACCAGTGGGGTACAGTCTGTGACGATCTATGGGATCTCAACGATGCTCAAGTAGCCTGTCGTCAGCTTGGCCTTGGTCCAGCAGTATCAGCGGATGCACATTTCGGTGAGGGGTCAGGGTCCATCTTGCTAGACAACGTTGCATGCATCGGGACCGAGACATCGCTCTTATCCTGCAGTCATCCGGGCATTGAGAGCCACAACTGTGGACATTCTGAAGATGCCGGAGTCATCTGCAGTAGCCGCTTTGGATCAGGTAAGACACAACTACAATGGAACCTGTGTATGATGATCACTTAAGAGAGGCCAGTAGAGTGGCCTTCATAGGCAGGAGGTGTATTTGTACAGGTTCCTTCAGTATTTATCTCATCGAAAAACACTATTCAAGGGATCCAAAAACCATGGTCTTTAAAGTTGTGGTCTTTCTATGCAGGAGGTTGCTGAAGCAGCTAGGTTTCATTGTATTTCAATGCTTGATCCTCTGCAATCCTGCATCCTTTCCCATGTTTCATTGGTCCAATGAAAGTGGCTAAGAAGTTTACCCTTTTAACCTTCTTGAAAGCCCAACAGAATAAACCAAAGATGTCACATACATGTATTGCCTAGAATATGACCAATGACTGTAAGAGGACATTGGACCAAAGTTAATAGGCATTTAGAACTATTGGAATTTTTGAGGACTATAGTCCATAGACGGCCTTATCGAGACATTTCCAGTGGAAACCCTATACCTTAGTAAAGGAAGGGTGTTTTTATTTCCCAAATTAATGTTAGTTCCAGATGTAATGTTTCATGTTGAGTGCAGTTTGAGTTCTACTGCTGAACTAATGTCCTTTGAATCTGCATTAGTCACTCTACATTCAGGTGATGTAAATGGGTGTCTGGAAGGGAAAAAATCCTCACAAACTAGTACATTAGTATTAAGTTTTGAATAAATTTTACTATTATTGTTATTATGTGTATTATTATTATATATTTCCATGATGAATACAAAGACTGTGATGATCAAATACTGTAAATAGTTGAAGTTTCATTTGCATGTTGGCACCAGTAGCAAGGTGTATTCGCTTTAGTCAATGATATTGGTGCATTTTCTTTATCAACCTGAGAGGCCAGTGCCATATCCAGAAATTGAACATAGGGTAGAGGTTTCTAGGCAGGTGTACAGAAAGCAGAAAGCATGATATGCCTGGTTGTGCCATTGACCCATTGCACCAAGTACACCAGGTACCGGTTTCCAACATGGTTTGTCAGTTTAGTTGCAACTTGTCCAAATGATGATTCCTTTCAAGATTTTAGCATTTATTCTATTCTTAAATCAATACTTAGTCCATCAATACACCTACGTTCCTTTCTGTTACCTAAACAGACATACGTGTGGTTGGTGGCAGTATCCCTACAGAGGGACGGGTCGAGGTCTTTGTCAATGGCGCTTGGGGAACTGTCTGCGATGATTTTTGGGATATCAACGATGCCAGCGTAGCCTGCAGACAACTTGGGTTCGGTCGTGCCATCTCTGCTTCTGGTGGTGCCAGCTACGGCCAAGGAAGTGGCAGTATTTTTCTTGACAATCTTGCATGCACTGGTGCAGAGAGCAATCTCCTGTCTTGTCCTCACAACGGAGTAGGAAGCCATAACTGTGGTCATGGTGAAGATGCAGGAGTCCTCTGTAGTAGTAGTCTATCATCAGGTAAGTGTGTTCTGAATTTTGACTCTATCAATAATCCTGTGTTTATGTTTGGTTGGCCTGATGAGAGCTGTAAACACTAACCAATAGCAGTTAGTTGCAACTTGTGCAAATGATAAACCCTTTCAAGATTTTAGCAATAAGTCCATTTAGTTCATTAGTACACCTAGTTCCTTTCTGTTACCTGCACAGACATACGTGTGGTTGGTGGCAGGAGCCCTACAGAGGGACGGGTCGAGGTCTTTGTCAACCGTGCCTGGGGGACAGTATGCGATGATCTTTGGGATGTCAACGATGCCAACGTAGCATGTAGACAACTTGGGTTCGGTCGTGCCATTTCTGCTCCTGGTGGTGCAAGCTACGGCCAAGGAAGTGGCAGTATTCTACTTGACAACCTTGCATGCACTGGTGCGGAGAGCTCTCTCCTGTCTTGTCCTCACAATGGAGTTGGAAGCCATAACTGTGCTCATGGCGAAGATGCTGGAGTCAGCTGTGCGCCATCATCACAAGGTGGGCTTACTTTAACCAATCTTTTACTTAAAGAGATCAAATTAATATGTAAGCTTCTCATATTCTCTATGCCAGTTTGGAAGAATGTCATTTTAGAAATGTCCTCTTAAAACGATCGCTCTTCAAAAGTCCTCATATTCGAAATAAGATGAGATATAGCTGAAGATTTTGCAAAACCATAATTTATACAAATTACTTTCTTCAAAAACATGTATGTCTGCAGAATCCAGAGTCCGTTTGGTTGGTGGACTCAACAACCGAGAGGGTCGGGTCGAGATCTTTCTCAACAACCAATGGGGTACTGTTTGTGATGATGACTGGGGGACACCAGATGCGAATGTGGTATGCCGTCAACTCGGATACCCTTCAGGCGGTAGCGCAAGATCTTCAGCTTACTTCGGGCGGGGCTCAGTTCCAATTCTGTTGGACAATGTTGGGTGCTCTGGCAACGAGAGGTCTTTGGAACTGTGCTCCAATAATGGCATTGGGGTCCATAACTGTGGGCACCAAGAGGATGCAAGCGTGGTCTGCACAGGAGGTAGGGCCTGAATGGAAAGGAAATGTTTGGATGATTAGAATAGAAGTTAAACATAGAATATGTTTCTGTCAGCTAATTATTCAGTTTCATTCTGTAACTATACAGTAGACAAAATTCTTGTGAGTTTTAATATGGCCAGGGTAATTATGGAGCAGGCCCTTGACAATAACCACATATCAGTGGCCCTCCAAGTTAGGAAGAAAAGACATGTTCACAACAAATTTCAAGAAATTGAATAAAGCGCAAAATTTTGCAATATATTTTATTACATATGGGAATACTGTTTGGATTATGTAATATGTCATTGTATCATTTGTATATTTCAATTGGTTAATGCTCAAGTCTATTGCAATTGCAGTTCCTGGTAGGATGCTTTCTTGAAAATAATTGTGATTGTTTAATAAGGGTAATTCAACATAGGAAGTTCAAATGAGGTTTAAGTTTTCCCTTTTGTTTAACATCACTTACGTCCTTAGGTTTGATTTCACTGAATTGGGAGAATATTGTTCTGTGGATTTGTTTGACTTCTGAATGTGTATAATGTTGAGACATATGTATATCATCCCTAAACTGCACACCATTATATCTCACAGTGACGACGATGCCGGGAATGAATATTCGCATCGTTGGTGGAGGAAGCCCATCTGAAGGTCGCGTAGAGGTACTAGTCGGACATCGCTGGGGTACGGTATGCGACGACCTATGGGATCTCAATGATGCCAACGTGGTCTGTCGAGAGCTAGGCTACTCTGCAGCTACATCCGCCACTTCATCAGCCTCGTTTGGTCAAGGCTCCGGTGACATCCTGCTGGACGACCTCCGATGCTCAGGCACAGAGTCAAGCCTCCTCACCTGCCCACACCGTGGGGTTGGAGTTCATAACTGCGCACACAGCGAGGATGCTGGAGTCGTGTGTGCTTCAATTATATCAGGTATAGCTGTCATCTTCCCATTCTCTATTAAGAGTCAAAAGTGCGTTTAGACTGTATCAACACCCTTTATGGCTCCTATCCATCAATGCCCATTTATCATATTTAAGTTTTGACAAACCCGACTAATTTGATTTTCCTATACATTTTTTGTTGTGTTCATGTTGTTTGATAAAAAGGTAGCAAATTCTTTGGAAAATCTACATCAGGAAGCATCACCCTTTTACATGACATAGAAAGTAGATAAGGGGAGAGTAAGTGGGTGTAAGTCTGACATAGAAAGGAAAATGTCTTGTTGTAGTCCAAGTTTTTCTCTAATCGTCTGAACTTATAACAAGATATTGAAATAAATGGATGCTATTCGTATGATAAAATAATAAAGTAAGACATTTATATAACGGTACATTTATAGTCCATGATTTTGTAAGGGAAAAGATTCAAGAGGTATATGTGTTTGTCTCTCTCTCTCTCTATCTTTAAAACTATCAAGGTCCTGTTGTGGGAACGTACATGAGGCTCGTAGGGGGACAGAATTCTCGCCAGGGTCGACTAGAGATCAGCATCAACAACCAATGGGGAACGGTGTGTGACGATTCCTGGGACATCAATGATGCCACGGTAGTCTGCCGCCAGCTCGGCTTCAGGTCTGCAGTCTCGGCCCCTACCTCGGCTCACTTTGGCCAGGGTTCGGGAACGATTTGGCTGGATGACGTTAGCTGCGCAGGAAACGAGAATTCCCTGATGGATTGCGGACACCGCGGACTTGGAGTTCACAACTGCGCACATGCAGAGGATGCAGGAGTAGTCTGTATAGCAAGTAGGTTACCAGTGAAAGAATAAAAATTTGAAAGGAATCTTCTAAAAGGAATCATACAAACATACACAATAATTAATACCAATGTGAATATAAAGGAAACCAGTTTCATTGATATAAAATAACCCCCATGTCCCACCAAACAAAGTAGCACCTGAAGTTGAAGTTTTATTTATTCCACATTTTACATGAAAAAACAGTTTATATTCTTTTTTTTTCTTTTTTTGTACAAGCGTATATTATATAAGAGTAGCTTTCACACAAGAAGAAATAAATACAAAAATATAATATTTCAAATCAAGTATAATGTACGGAAAATAAGTACGAAAATTTTGAAATATGTAGATGTAACAGGCAAGGTAAAACAATGTAAAATGTGGGAAGCCTAAATAAAAAGCAGAGCTTTTATGTGAATAGGCTCCCGTACTGAGTAACACTATATAATAGGTCTGAATTTAAAAGTTATTATAGGAGGCGAAAACGGAGTAGTATAGTATGAGATTATAGGCATATTCTGAAGGCATTTACAAGTTAGATGTCTTAGGTTTACATGCAGATTCACTAGCCTGTTGAAGTATAATTTATGCCATAGGTCTTCATACTAACATCATTGTTGATGTTCTTGCTCTTTTAAAAAGAAACTGAGCTGTTTAGATGTATTTAGATTGTTAATATTGTCAAAGGTGAAATAAGTTTGTATCAGTTCTACCCTCATTTAAACTGATGTAGCATTGATATTTGTGTGAATGCATGGTGATGGTCCTCTGAAGAACTTCTTAGCCATTGTCAGGAGAGGGATTGAGGAGCATGTCGAGATTTATGTATCAATTGCACTGTTGAATTAAAACTGATGCAATGTTAATTTCATTTCTGAAAGGTGACGGTCCTCTTAACATCCGCTTAGCTGGTGGCAGGAGTGGGATGGAGGGACGCGTCGAGATATCCCTCGGAGGAGACTGGGGAACGGTGTGCGATGACTCTTGGGGCATCGAGGATGCCCATGTAGTGTGCCGTCAACTCGGCTTTGGTCCTGCCCTGTCAGCAGTCACCGCAGCATCATTCGGCCAGGGTTCGGGGAGCATATTGATGGACAATGTTCAATGTAGCGGAGACGAAGCCACAATTGCTGAATGTTCTCATAACGGGATAGGTATCCACAATTGTGGTCACCAGGAGGATGCTGGTGTTGTTTGCTCTCGAGGTTCGTATTGTTCAATGTGTTTTCATTTCCTAGTTTTTTGTTTCTTAGTTTCTTGATTACTTATATAATCTATTGGCAACAGGAATTGGGTGGCTTCTGCACTAAGCTGACAGAAACGAGACATGCCAGGTTGTTTTATGGATGAGTAGGATAGGGGTGCTCTCCCCTGTTTCATCAAATTCATGCATACAGTTTTTCACAGATAAGGAGATTGGAATCTAGCTATTAAAACATGTAGCTTTGTTATTCTACATTTGTCACAAAGTACTTTAGTATTGGCATCAATTCTGAAACCCGTGCATCCCTCAAAATGCACTTGAATATCATACACATCACTTGTCTGCCAATTTTTATAATTTGGAGGTTAGTGTTCAATCTGACATAACATACTTAAAATATAAATGTAAAATTTTGTATGCAAACAAGCAGGCACTAGTAATATAATCCTACACAAATGTTGAATGTAATTAAACCAAAACAACAATGCAAGATCCTGCATGTGTTGAATAGTGTCCACTGGAAACAAAAATGGGACAAAAGGGGTGAATGGTTTAAATTCTCTTATCTGCTCTTTCTCAAATAGCAACTGGTGAGGTCCGTCTGGTTGGAAGCTCTCGGCAAAATGAAGGACGAGTTGAAATCCTGATCAGTGGCCGATGGGGAACTGTTTGTGATGACCTGTGGGATTTGAGAGACGCCGACGTCATTTGCAGACAACTAGGGTATGTCAAGGAGGAAGATTAAGATGTGGAAGGTGTGTGTGTGGGTGAGCGTGAATGTGTGTGTGGGTGAGGATGCATGTGTGGGTGAGCGTGAATGTGTGCGAGGGTGAGGATGCATGTGTGGGTGAGCGTGAATGTGTGCGTGGGTGAGGATGCATGTGTGGGTGAGCGTGAATGTGTGCGAGGGTGAGGATGCATGTGTGGGTGAGCGTGAATGTGTGCGAGGGTGAGGATGCATGTGTGGGTGAGCGTGAATGTGTGCGAGGGTGAGGGCGCATGTGTGGGTGAGGATGCATGTGTGGGTGAGGATGCATGTGTAGGTAAGCGTGAATGTGTGTGTGTGTGTGTGGGTGAGGGTGCATATGGGTGAGGTTACATGTGTATATACTAGGCAAAAACAAGGAGCTGGTCATTAATGACCAGTGCCCTTAATGAATTCAGGAGCTGTGTTCAAACAATATGGCCCGAATTCACAAAGGAGGTTTAGATTTAACCCATGGTTTCAAAATTAGCGCAAAAAAGGCCTACCTTAATTGCCTTGCGCGCGTCTAATATTGGACCTCTACGTGTCACGCTTATATTGCACTTATTTTAAACCATGGGTTGTGTAAATGAGGGTTTAAACCGTGGGTTACATCTAAACCTTCTTTGCGAATTCGGGCCTATTATTTTAGCCAGAGAGAGCCTAATTGCATAGCATACAACACTTCTTACCAACCTCATTGATGCAAGTTTTCACTTTCTCTTGTTCTCGATTTAATGTGTAAATTCTCTCTCTCTCTCTCTCTCTCTCTCTATCTATATATATATATATATATATATATATATATATATATTCATGGGTAGAAGTAGTACAGGAACATTTTAAAGTTGAATTGCTTAGCCAAGCTATATAACAGGAGGTACAACCATTTTCCTATGTCTCGAGCCCATGAATCCAAAAAAGATAATACTCCAGAATGACAAAATTTGACAAATGCTTTGGCTCACTTTGTTCCCAGCTATGGAAATGCCATCTCAGCTCCACATTCTTCATTCTTTGGTCCTGGACGTGGAGACATCCTCCTGGATGATGTTAGCTGCACAGGATCTGAAGATGATATCCTTGACTGCTCCCATCCTCCTATCGGAACCAACAACTGCGGCCACAGCGAGGATGCTGGTGTCGTTTGTGATCTCAATGGTATAAACCAGTTCAGGAAGAATATTTTTGTGGTGGATGTAGAGGTTCTTGCATTCTTTTTCTACATGTGCTTCACTTAAATTCATTTACCGGTATCACAAGACATTTTTAAAAGGGGGATTAAGCCCCAAAGCCCCCCCCCCCCCCGCCCCCTAGAACGGATACTGGATATGTACAGATTTGAATACTACAGTTGCTGAGGTGCCATTGACCTCTTAAAATTCTGCTCTGACCTGAATGACCCGCCATTGTTGCCCAAGTGGCAACTAAAAGATCTTACTGTACTTCTTATTTAATGTTAAATATGTGTATTTTGCTGTATGTGACCACTAAAAGTTCAATTTGGCAATTGTGTAGTTCACAAACTGGCAACCATAATGAAAATTTTAGGCAAGAGCACTAATATCTTCTACACAAATTTTTTTCTAGATGCACATTTCCCACACAGTATATTAGGTGAGGGATCGAATGAATAGTCTAGTCAAATATCGAGAGCTAACAAAATGCATGGTGCTACTTGACACGCACTTTAATCAAATGTTAAAGTTGTTATGTTTCTGGAAAAGGCAATCCTTATGAAGAAGGAAAGTAGTCATTGCTCATTTAACTTTACAATGTTGTCATTAGTGAAAAAATTGTTTGATTGAGTAGGCCTCACCAATTGGAAAAATATTATCTGGATATCGTCTGATTGATGTGAGATTTTGATTTGGGACATTATTTCCAAACTGCATGTTTAATCTTTAATAAGCTTTTTCTGGTGGGATTTTTGGGGTGCTGGATGGGTAAGGCTTGTCAGCGTGCAATAGATTTGTATGAAACATTTTTCCCATTTGAATATTGTCCAGTAAACTTTTGGAAATAACAAGACATTGTCATTTTACAGTTCGCATTGTGAATGGCTCGCGCTCGAACGAAGGAAGAGTAGAGATCCTTCATGGCGGCTCATGGGCAACGGTCTGTGACGATAACTGGGACATCGACGATGCAACGGTCGTATGCCGGCAACTGGGATTTCCATCGGCAAACTACGCGGTGGCTCGTGCAGTGTTCGGTCAGGGATCAGGTGAGATCGTGCTGGACGATGTCGAGTGTACGGGAGATGAAGCGTCGTTGATTGAATGCCAGCATGCCGGACTTGGCACCAGTAATTGCGGCCACAGTGAAGATGCAGGAGTCATATGTTCCGTTAATGGTTTGTCTTGTTTTCGTTATTGTATTTATTTATGCTGTTAATTTCTGCATGAAATTAAGGAAAAACTCATTCATTGAAATAGTTACAAATATACAAATATATACAAATATATACAAAAGTCTTTTGATAAGAATGGTAGGATTGCCGCATTCAGAGCTTGAAAATGAAAAAAAATGTTTTTAATTATCTTCAATAGATTAAATCGATTAAAGAAATGTATTCATCTTTTTTTAATACCCCGGCAACATAATAGCTTTTCAAAGCTATATAGGCCTAATACCGTATCTGAATAACTGTTTAAATCTTCAAAAATGTCCACAAGTAAATTCATCCTAGTTAGAGCATAAAAGGCAACATACTGAACACAAATTATATACTTTTTATGAGACTAAGCCATGTGTAAAATTTGTTAAAAAATGAAATTTTAGAGAGTGTTTAAAAATGATAGGGCCAAATGTACAAATTTGACAGTCTATAATAATAATACGCTAAGGCTCCGCGGGGGGCGCGACGTCTCGGCGAGCCTTTGTATTCTATTGTTTTTTAATGAGATCGCCGACCGAAGTTGGTGCGGCTATCTCCTCCTGAACCCTCCCCTCGGGGTACCCGTGCCCTGTGCCATCGTCCGCGGGAGAGTCTACTCTGTGGAATCGGCTATACTCCGCCCGAGGTCCTCCTCCGTGTCGACGTCCAGGGCGAAAACAGACGCGATATGCATAATGCAGGATATGCGTGACGACAGAGATACCTCATGGATATTCAACATGACATCCGTAGACACACGACCGATGACTGTCCACTCACATTAAGTTGCGTATTAAATGCACGACGCACAGGGTCGGGCTTACCCGAGTAAAGCATCTTTCTATAGGATATCCATTGTATACTAGCTGCACGAGCCACAGAGATACACACGAAGCTTCCCGTCCACGTCCAAACTTAGGGACCTATTTCCATCATTATTGCCGCGATTTTTATATAGGTGTCGTGAATGGAGGTATGAAATGAAAGCTTATTTTGTGATTATTACGGCCATGCTACTAAATTTTGATTATCATTTTCTAAAGGAAAGTTTTCACAAGAAAACCATTGGACTGACAATTCAGTCGCAAGCTGCCTTCAGTCAGTGCAGTGCTGCTGTGCAGTGTGTGTGAGCTGCAATTTAACTCCAGCAAGCTCCAACACCGGCTCCGCGCACCGCAGGCGTCCGAGGCCTGCGGCGCCGGTGTTCGAGCTTTCTGGAGTTACACTGTGTGTGTGTGTGTGTGAGTTCAGCTGAGCTGAGCTCGAGTCGAAGAGATTTGACACTTTGAAATTGTTATCTGTTGGTTTGCATCATTATTGCCGCGATTTCAATATAGTTTCGTGAATAGATTTACGAAACCTGATCTTAGAATTAGTAAAAGTATTACTAATGTTTACGTTTTTAAACGACTGTCTGATTTTCTTGTGAAAATTTTACTTTGAAAAATGATTATCGAAATTCATGGTCAGAAATAATCACAATCTAGGGTCTATTATGTTACAGTTCTTGCTTCAAATCAATGCATGAAAACTTAGTTATTGAACTAGAAAAATGTTTTTTTTTTAAATAGGCAATTATGAAGTATAGGAAGCCTGAAACCTGTCCTGAGCCTACTAAACAAATCTCAACAAAGTGTAGGCCTATCCTTTTATGAATTAATGAAAAAGTAGCCCCAGAAAAAAGAGCCCCCGAAAGTTGGAAAAAGTAGTCCCCGAAAATTTCCCAAAAATTTGAAATGGAGCCCCCGAAATGAAAAACTTAATTTTTTGCCTGCGCCCCCCTCTAGAATCCCTCGGATTTCCGCGGGTCCTGAGTTGAGTGTATATATAATATAGGCGTGGGGTCCACGGGTTTCAAGGGGCCATAAAAACCCCAAAAGCTCGGGGGTTACGTTCTTCAAAGTTGGGGGGGGGGTGTGGGAGATCGAGATCAGATCGCAGCGAGTTGAGTGTATATATAATATAGGCGTGGGGTCCACGGGTTTCAAGAGTCCATAAACCCCCGAAAGCTCGGGGGGTTTAGGTGTTTAATTAGGGTCAGATGAGCATATTTTTAATACTTTATTTGTGACACTTGCGGGTCACTAATTGGCGTGGGGTCAATACGTAGAGTTGCGTAGTGTTGCGTACAAACTACGCTGGCCTACGTTACTATATGCTGAGGAACGAAAAGGGGTACGCAAGATGAAAGAAAACAATTCAACATGTTTAATTTTTTTTGCGTACTTTCGGCGTAGAAACTTGACGCAGAAAGCAGCCTTTTTTACGCAACACTACGCTACATGCCTACGCAACAGTACGCTACCCTACGCCAGATCGACAAAGCAGTAAAAGCTTTCCACACAGTAAGCAACCATAAGCAAACCTGTACGCCAGCCTACGCATAACCTACGTTATACGCAGGGACTATTTTCCCATTAATACGCAGCCTAATTTCTGCATAGTCGGTACGCCACACTACGGAACTCTACGCAGTTCCAGTGGCTTAAAGAATAATTACCGGTACAGTTGGATCGTTTTTTTAATTTTTATATAAGGCCAAATTTAAAAAAAAACATTTTTAGCATCCTGTTTTTTCGAAAAATGGGAAGGAGGAGGCCCTTTTTTTTTTTCTTTCAAAATGGCCGCTCCGTACATTTTCCCTGACATTCAGGCTATTTTTCAAGATGGCGGCCGACAATTTTTTTTTTTCTTATTTAAAATCAGAAATACATTTTAGCAGTGCTTTTCATGTTTTTTTTCTTTCAAAAAAAAAAAAAATAAATAAAAAAAAAAATTAAAAAAAAATAAAAAAAAAAATAGGAGGCGGCCCCCCAAAAAGGAAGCAGGCGGGGACGCTGTTTTTTTTTCTTTCAAAAAAAAAAAATAGGAGGCGGCCCCCAAAAAGGAAGCGGGCGGGGACGCTTAACATGTATATTTTTTTAATGGCCTGAATGGCAAATAAAGTTCTTGGTGGTTTTAATTTAGACAGTCTCTATATATCTATTTACACCCCCCCCCCCGCCCACCTCTAGAATCCCGCGGATTTCCGCGGGTCCTGCTAGTGTCATAATATTGTTCATCTTTTCAGTGCGTCTTGCCGACGGGAATTCCCCTGCAGAGGGGAGGGTGGAGGTGTACTTTGATGGCCAATGGGGTACGGTCTGCGATGATAATTGGGGCCTCCAAAATGGTCATGTGATCTGCCGAGCTGTGGGTTTTGGGGAAGCCATCGCTGTGACAGACAGGGCAAGGTAATGTACGGCTAAGTTTAACCCCAAGAGGGCCTGTTTATTTTGGTGCTCTCTCAGCCGAAGTTGGGTAGATTCCACCCGGCCTTCCAGAATTTTGGCTTTGGAGCGACAAAACATTCTGAAACCTAGTATAAGGATAGAGTATCTCATAAAGAATAAACTCATGAAGTTTCATATTTATGTTTCAAATACTTTTTGAATCTTTGCTAATTGACTATTAGTCACTGTTCACATATCCTGAAATTGACCAATTAATCATAAAGTTCTATATTACAGGGACCAGGGGCCGTATTCTGAACCCTGTGTTATCTCTAATATTGTTGTATCTTTGAAGATAAGATAAAGTTGGTATTCTGAACATTGTTGTAACTTTTGTGTCATCTTTTGTTGTATCTTTTCTCTCATCTTATTGGCCGCGCCTGCACTCATACTTTGGTGCGCTTGTAATTGTGCGTATTATTAATAAAGTGGCATATAATCCTCATTTGCATATGCGCATGGGAGATAATATGTCAAGATAATTGGTATTCTGAAAGCTGTTGTATCCTTTATCTTATCTTATCTTGCATGGTATTTACAACAATATTTACAACAGGTAGGGGGTTGTTGTATCTTTCGTGGTGACATAATGGCGGCAATATTTTTTGCCCAGAACCAACTTCGTGCCAATAGACGAGTTAGAAGAAGATTGTGTGTTGACCGGAAACATCACAGATGAGAACTTTCTAAGATATTACATGCTAGGATATGACGATTTTAATGCTCTCATCTTAACCAATATAGTGAAAGCGTGATTTGTCTTCATGATCCACATTCAACAGCGCATAATGATGACGGGCGTAATAAGTGTTCAAATAACTAATTACGCCCAACCTTAGTATACGCTAGGCGCATCTTCAGATATGGCATAAAGTATTCCTATTGGTTGACCTACTTATCATGCTTATATAAAATAGATTTTGATTGGTAGGGTCCATAAAAATGGGCGTGTCATCAATGGTCAAAGATAAGATAGAGGCGGTCCTTCAAGAGATAACACAGGGATAAAACAATGTTCAGAATACTAACTTACAACAATATTAGTGCTGTGTTATCTCTGGAAGATACAACAAAAGATAACACAAAACTTACAACAATGTTCAGAATACCGCCCCAGGTGTGGCAGTAACTAATGTTGAGACTGTGTTGGCTTTCGCTTTGGCTTTCTGCAGATTTGGACGCGGTCAAGGACCCATCTATTTGGACAACATCAACTGCACAGGATCAGAGACGAGTCTGTTGAACTGTTCTCATTTTGGGCTGGGTACTCATGATTGTGACCATTCGGAGGATGCAGGGGTCATCTGCTCCCAGCCAGGTTAGTATTGAACAGTGAAACCTGTATATAAAGACCACTTAACCCTATTTTAACTGGGCTATTACAGACCAGGTTTAACTAAGATCTCGGCCGTTTCACTGCCGATCGCCGTGAAAATTTGCATACATGTCAAGTGAAGTGTATTGAATACTATGGTAATTTCAATTTCATTTGCAGATTTATGGTAATTTATGCAAATAAGGTCACAAAATTCACATTTTTGCCCATAAATCATACATTATTCATATTTAAGCATTCTTTTTCACTACATATATTTGTTAGACCATTTGGAATAATAATATTACACAAAAAATTGAAAGAGCCACTTTATTCCTTACAGTATGTTATCTCTTGTTTCGATAATTTCTTATGTATTTCATTGTTTTTTAACTTTTGTTTTGTTGTTTTATTTCATTTATAACTACAATTCAACTATTTTGACCCCAAAACGAACACCTAAACCTCAAACAAGACTAAATAACCAATGTTTTATCTCTTTTTAGGAAAATAAGATTTCCATATGTTTTGTACACAAATCACAAAAATGAGCGATTTTCGGGCTGACATTCAAAGACAAAAGGTCCCGTGACTATGTAACTATACATCCGATTTTCGAGAAAATCGTTTTAAAACATGCGTAAGACTCGAAAGAAAAAACTCATGAAAGGAAAATCTGCCGCAGTTTGGGAGTAGTCGCGAAATTTCTACAGGGGGGGTCAAATTGACCCCCCCCCCCAGTTAACATAGGGTTAACCGAGACAAAAAAGTGGTCTTTACAGACAGGTGCTCTTTATGAGCAGGTTCTAAGGGGGCAAGCACATTAGTTGAAAACATTTATGCCAAATATTACATGTAATTATTATCTATGCTCACCATTGACCTAAGGTACGCCTCTTATAGCACAAAAGTTTCAGTATGTTCTTCCAGTTCTTATCGTATTATGAAGAATACCATCTCGACATATTGTTTCCAAAATTAGATACGATCCGTCTGGTCGGTGGTCGCTCCAAATACGAAGGACGAGTTGAAATATTGCAAAACGGCGCCTGGGGAACCGTGTGTGACGATCAATGGGACGTGCATGACGCTGCGGTCGCGTGTCGAGAACTGGGATACGCCACAACACTGGAAGCTACATCACAGGCGAGTTTCGGGCAAGGCACAGGTGCGATCCTACTTGATGACCTACGGTGCAGTGGAAGGGAAATTCGGCTTGTGGATTGCCCCCATAACGGGCTGGGCCAACATAACTGCCAGCATCTAGAAGACGCGGGAGTGGTCTGCCAAGATGTCAGTAAGTATGATGACAGTAATGATAATATTCCAGATTTGTCGACAACTTCCAAAGAATTCATCTTCAATACGGCTATTGGGGTAAAAACAAGCCAGTAGAGTTTCAAGTTTGTCAGCAAGGGTTATACAAATTCTCAACACTTTCTAGAAAAAAAAATCCCAGCTGCCTAGAATCACACTATATTGACCAACAGAACGGTCACCAAACTGATGGAAATGATTGTTCTTTTAATTAATTTGATATGACTGAATTAAAGGTGCTCTTGATGCTCAAATATATTTTATACATGCATGGTTAGTGGATGACTTTTCATCTCCTCGACGTTGCTGCTTATGTATCATTCATTATGCTTATAGATTGTGGTCGGTCTTTCCATATTAAAAAGCACATTGAATTCCCATTAGAACTAGAAGTAATATTCTTATTTCTTATTTGTGTGCAAAGCTAGATGGAAATTGCATGTACTATGATTTGGACAATTAAAGATTGCAAGTGTATGTATGTGTCATTAGATAAAAAGAGCACAGATTGTTGAAAAGTTTAGGATATGGAAAATGGACTGTAATCTGCAAAGGTGAGTGAAACACTTATAGACTATGCATGGAGAGGTAAAGGGGATTATGACCTTAAATTTTCACAGATGTCATTACATATTTTCTGCAGAATGTGGGGAGAAGAAATAACGTTGATATCTAATTTTCCTGAGAAATTTAACAATTTACAATGATGTCTCAAAGACTCAAACCCAAACGCTTTGTATCTGTTTTATATAAATTTTTGTATTATTATTATCATTGAACCTACAGTTGAGCTGAGACTTGTGGATGGACGAACCCCAAACGCTGGTAGAGTGGAACTGAGGTATCAGGGTCAGTGGGGGACGGTGTGCGACGATGGATGGGACGTGAGGGATGCCGCTGTGGTGTGCCGGGAGCTCGGCTTCCCAAGGGCGATAGCCGCAAACAACCGGGCCTTCTATGGGCCCGGCATCGGTACCGTGCTCCTATCAGACATTTCTTGTGGAGGTCAGGAAGCAACCCTTTTCAGCTGCCCCAACTCGGGCGTTGGTCTGAACAGCTGTAACCATGGTGAAGATGCAGGAGTCGTCTGTATGCCAAAAGGTAATAGTGTCTTTCGAATGAATGATCAGAAATGTCCAGTTTGTACACGGCATAATCTTCATGCCAGTGTTACAAATTTAATTGAGTTGGTTTGTGAATTAACAAAGATTGGACAACAGTTAATTGGTTAAAAAATACAAGCTCTTGCCTTGTTTTATTTGACCCACATCGAGATTAGCATCTGTCTTTTGAAGAGGTAAAATTAAAACTCTTTAAAATAAATTGGTAATGTTTGTAGCTGTTCATTTGATGCAAATTTTAAACACTGTTCTAGACTAAGACGGGTAATCATCTTTGTTTTTCTTGAAATAAGACTTGATGTGTGGATTTATGTTGATTGACATAGAGGATGATCTTATAGGTGACTCTGCATTTGCTCAGGGCTTTGTTTTGTGAAAAGGTTAGGTTAGGGCTGAGATTGCAGTAGGGGTTTATGTTGGTGTTAGGTTTTAAACGTAAGGTTACTTTAGGTAAGGTATAGCATTTGTTTCAGGGTGGAAATTAAGACTTTAGTTAATGAAGGAAACTGACCTCTGAGCCATTGTTGCAGGAGAGAAAGTTGTAGAACTGTCTTTGTCACTTGCACAACTTCATTCATGCCACTGCATGCTTATCAACAATCACTGATTGAATATTGTCGCACCCCGACATCCCCCTTCTGACGATACCCCTGTCAACAAAGAATAATCTGTTGCTTTCTTGCAGTACGTCTGAGCGGTAGCAACAACCCCAACGAGGGTCTAGTAGAAGTCTTCATGAACGGACTGTGGGGCACAGTGTGTGATGATGCTTGGGATATTGATGATGCGGAGGTCGTCTGCAGACAGCTTGGCTTCGAAGGAGCTGTCGAACAGGCTCCCACAAAGGTGACAAATCAATTACATTGGTGGTGGGAGGGGTTAGGGGCAGTTTTCACTAACGTCCTTTGGCAAGACATTAATCTTTAATTACCACACTCGACCCAGGTGAGGTAAATGGGTACCTGGTAGGATGATTCCTTGAAATGCAGTGAGCGCTGTTATCGGTAGCCAAAGCTAAAACTAGGGTAATAATTTCTGAAGCACTTTGGAAGAGCGTAGAGACTAAGTATTATGCGCTATACAAGAACGGACTATTATTATTATCATTATTTCGCAATAATTATGGTATCAACTGACTATCCTTTGAACAAAGATTCACTGAACTTGTTGAACTTTTGCTCAGAGAAAAGATAGAAGGAAGGTTGGGAACACCTGAAATCAAATATATAGATATATACAAGTAACAGAAGGAAAAGCTAGTGAAATTATAGCAGGCTCTGATTACCTACTGCACAAATCATGGACAGGATAAATTGAATGTATGTAATTGTATGATAAAATGTTCCCCCCCCCCTCCTTCCCTAGGGAGGAATGACCCTCCTGTTAAGTACCAAGAAGAAACCTTTTTAAGTTTTTTTTTTTTTTTTTTTTTGGGGGGGTACCATTGTTTTATTCTAATGTAATTATATTCATATAGTCGCAATACACCCATTTATGTCACAAACTTTTTCTAAAAGTACATGTATTTTCAACTAATTGTTGAACTACTCTATGTCAAGAATATATTTGTTTTTAAGCATTTTTTTTGCCTTTTTTATTTTTTATTGTACCTTATTTATTAAGTAATTTATTTATTTATTGGTCTATAAAAACTGACCAGCAGCACATTGGCTGACAGGGTCAGTTTACAGCTAGAATATAAAACAATGATATCCTAATCATAAAATATACAACAGAAATATAGTATGAACAAAATGAAAAATACAAAGAATTATACTTGCATCAGTAGGCCCACACACGTGATATCAAAGATAATTGTATATGTGTCTTGAGTCTTCGGAATTGTACCACGCTCATATGTCATAAATAAAACAAACTGGATATCTCAATTTCTTGTCAGGATCGCTTTGGACCAGGATCTGGCCCCATTCACATGTCTGACGTACGATGCTCTGGCCATGAGAGTGAACTATCTGAATGCTATCACAGCGTGCTAGGTCAACACTCCTGTGGTCATCAGAACGATGCGGGTGTTGTCTGCTCTGTTCCAGGTATACACAGGTGGAGACCAACTCAAAGTCCCACATATTTGATTTATTTTGTTGTCATAAGTGTATCTGGGAAGGCATAGCATCTTAACGGGATCGTTTAACAGTGTTAAATCTAAGATGCACGCCCTTACGTGTTATCAGTGTCTGTGATATGGAGTTATGTTGAAGCCCTAAAGAATTGTACTTCAAAATGATCAAGTAGTGCCTCAAAAAATGAAAAATCCTTTGAGTGACCGGTTTTACTATACCGGTACTCGTTTTCCCCAATAGACTGTAGTGTTATGAAATCCTACCGCTGCCACCATGAAAAGAGAAGGAAACAAAAGCAATATACTAGAAAATATAGAATGGGATGCAATGTGTAGGGCTCCTTGACTTTGTTGCTCTTGTGGACCCTTTAAAAGATAGCTGAAGGCACACAGCAACGTTGGTCTCATGAACCCTCAAAAAAAGTTGACCATTGTTGGTCTTGTGGGCCATCTGGCATGTGGTCTATAAATAATAATAAAAACAGTGTTTATAAAGCGCTTACCATCGAAGTAAAGGCATTCTGTGACATTGCTTCTATTGAGTAGATTTTTCAAGTTTGGTCAAATAACAGACTGCCTTCCTAACAAAGCTGTTTCTTTCTCATTAATTACATAGTTCGTCTAGTCAATGGTCAAATGCCAAACGAAGGTCGTCTGGAGATATTTACCAACGGTTTCTGGGGGACAGTGTGCGACAGAGGATGGGACACTAAAGATGCTGCGGTGGTCTGCAGAGAACTTGGCTTTGGACCCGCCATCGAGGCCACGAGTGGGGCAAGGTTCGGCCAAGGCACCGGTGCCATAGCACTGAGCAACGTCCAGTGTGATGGTATGAATACATATAGGGATGTGACATAATAGACTGAATCAACTTTAGGGGAATTCTGTTGTTAAAACGCTGTTCGACTATTTAATGAAATGTGAAATGTTGAGAGATTGTAAAAGCGACACAAGAGTAGACTTTGGTAAGGGAATATTGTTTTATGTTTTGAATAAGGTATGATCACCTTGATGTATTTTGTAGGGATAAGACATTATTGGCAAGTGACTGTATGTTGTATATGAATGGTATTAAAAAATGTAATACACTGCTTCATACATCAAGTATCAAGATCAATTATCTTATCATAAAGTTATAAAAGTTTTAATGTTTTAATGATTTCAGATCTAATGAAGATTAGATTATATATCCAAGTATTGGTATTGGCTGTTTTCTGTATCTTGATAATTATGAGGACGCCATTAATATAATTTCTTTCTCTGTTAACATCTTAGGATAGGCTTATCGATTTTGCAAGACTATCCTATTTCCCTTGATACAATTTTCTTTCTCTTTTACTTTCTTTCTCTGCTAGAATCTGAAGATAGGCTTATTGATTGTGCTCATGAGACTCTTGGAGTTCACAATTGCAACCATGAAATGGATGCGGGTGTTGTGTGCAGAGGACCAGGTCAGTATATTTTACACATCAAATTTTTGTTTCTTTTTTCTATTTTTATGCACTTGTTCAATTTTTTCCACATACCTTTGTCCTTTATCCTAGGTCACAATTATTTAAAATCTGCATACTGAAAAATCGAAGGCCAATGTGTTTATATCTTTGGGCAAGGTAAATCAGCAGTTGGGAGTATTTTTCCTGTAAAATTAAATCTTTCCGAAAAGAGATCTTTCCAAAAGAAATATTGTAGCATCTTACAACATGATGTGACAAACAAATGTATTTGATTTAATCTGTTCTGTTCTTAAAAAGTAATTAAAAAATTAATTCTATCATACTTCATTTGTCATTACCATCATCATCATTATTATCATCATTATCACCATGACCATCCTCATTAATATAATTACATAACTCATTGTTATCAATAGTCCTCATTCAACATCCTCATTATCCCCATTTCATTACCGTGAGTTTCAAATCATGCATTTCAAGTATTAATATTTATTTTAATGGCATGTCAATCTCCTATCACAGAGGCCATTCGCCTTGTCAACAACCAGGACTTGGACCAGAACAAGGGCCGTCTTGAGATCTTCCATGCTGGAGCCTGGGGCACCGTCTGTGACGATGAGTTTGACATACTTGACGCGATTGTCGCTTGCCGCCAGATGGGTTTCCTGATGGCGCTATCGGTGGTCCCGGCAGCATACTACGGAGACGGGGCTGGCCCTATTCATCTTGACAACATGCGGTGTACAGGCGGGGAAAATAATCTTATGGAGTGCCCACGGGGCAATGCCCGGGCAGAGCATGATTGTCAGCATTCTGAAGACGTCGGTATCGTCTGCTTTGCTGGAAGTACGTAAAAGACTATCTCAAATAATTTCTCCCGCTCATCCCTCTTTTTTCCATCAGCATTTCGATGCATCCTGCTGATTTCGGGTTAATCAGTTACAAAAGTCTAAATTTTTACTTTTTTTTTGGGGGGGGGGGGGGGGCACAGTGCTTACTTTAATAAGTTGCACCATGCTCGATAAGGGGACAAATAGTCACTTCCATTCAATTTGTCTTTGCTCTTCAGGTGATGTCAGATTACAGGATGGCCAGCACCATTACCAGGGCCGTGTAGAGATCATGATCGATAACGAGTGGGGAACTGTCTGTGATAAGTCCTTCGACATCAACGATGCTTCCGTGGTTTGCCGACAGGTCGGATACCCTGGTGCGGTTGAAGTTGTTCCAAAGGTATATACATCTTTCAAGTTATAGTCAAAGTGATATCCCTGTCATTTGGACCTTATGCCAGCATTTATTGCTTAACTTATTCTTAAGAATTACATTTTGTGGTATTAAACATAAAAATGTCCTAAATTCCTATTTCAAGTGAAGTACTGAGCGTTAAATATTGAGCTATTTTTGTCAGGACATCTTTTTGTCTTGGGGAATTTTTTCATATTCTAGACGATATGTTGTCATGCTGTAACTGCTTTCTAGCAATTTTCTGCATTTATTTAATACAAGAGCAATTGAATAGCCATTTTGTGGCTATTCTTTGTGTTGTAGACACTCATAATCAATAACATTAAACTTTTTAATTCACATTTTGAATAAATTTGTTTGTAAACAAATCAAGGACAGTGGCTGTAGAATGGAATATCTTAGGTGTCCCTGTTAAGTTTAAAGTTATAAAGATATCCACTTTGAGGAGATGTTCACTTGTTATGTGACCATATGCCTTCCTCTAAATGATATTCCAGCAGTACCTCAAAACGATTTGATACAACAAGAGATATCTATCTCTGTATTATTGTAGGCTGGCTTTGGGAATGGCACTGGACCGATTCACGCTGGCTACCTGGAGTGCACAGGTGATGAGAGTGATCTTACCGATTGTAGGACGGGAAGCGCCACCATTGGCGACTGCTTGCACAGTGATGACGTTGGTGTGATTTGCCAATCACCAGGTTTGACTGAGTGTTGTATTTTTTTTTTTTTTAATATTTTCACTTGCGGTCCAGAGCACCCTTATCAGCAAATATGTTATTTTTTTGTAGGAGTCCTTATATTTGTCATGCATAGCAATGAAGCCATTAGGTGGTTATTAATTCCTGCATTTTGATACGTATTAAAATGCTCTGTATATTTGACTGACTTTAAAGGTAAAGACCAGTTTTGGAAATGTCTTTCTCTCGAAAAATAAAATAGAAACTCTTATTACAAATCCTGTTAAAAAATATATGTTTTTGACTTTTAAATACGTGATGATACAAATTTTGCCAGGAAACCGCTTACTTATTGATATATATCTTTCTGTGTACAGTGCTTAATTGTAACTTGACCAAGATTGGGACAAATTTCTCATCATTTTGATGATTCCAGAACCTTGCAGTACACACCAATACTTATATGCTAGATGATCAACCTTTTGTGATCGATTCCACAACGTTTCTGTCACAATGCAATCGCATGACCAGAACTGATCTTTATCTTTAAACAAGGCCGGGGTAGTTTCAATTCCTTTTCCAACAGTAACTGTTTATTGGTATTAAACAGTTTGTAATTGCACACTTATAGGGATACTTAGATCTGTGTGGGCAAGGCAAATTAGAACTTGAAAGCAAACATGGAATTCAGTACTTGTATATCTGATTGACTCAACCTGAAACAAAATATAAAAGCAACCCAATGCAAAAGTTCAGCCACTATAAACAACAACATGGCAATATCAACAGTGATTCGTCAAAAACAGGTTAAGTGACCTTATCGATTTCTTCTACCAATGTCTCTCCAAGTGCTTTGATCTTAGGCAACTGCTTCATTTCTATGTAACTTACCACTAAAACAGCTATTCATATATTTTCCATGTTAAATTTATTTCCAGGGGCATACAACAGGAACAGAACCAATGATTTAACAAAGTTATTCTACATTAGTTTGTTAGAGGTGTCAAAGTTGAGTGGTGTAAACACTTGACCTGAGATGCGAAGGTCGTGGGTTTGAACCCCAGGGCAGCATCAGTGTCCTTTGGCAAGACATTATTACTCTACATTTGCCACTCTCCACTCAGATGTTAAATGAGCACCGAAAATCAGCAGATTAGTAGAGCCAGGGTAATAGTGGAGCACGGTGAGCACCTTTCATGGTGCCTATGTGCACTCTTAAGATGTCCATTATTCTATTCTATAATAATGGACATATTACGTCTATAAATTTGAAGATATATATCTATTTTCTTAATTCCAGTTCGTCTGTCTGGAGGAAACAACCACAATGAAGGTCGAGTAGAGGTGTTCCTGGCGGGTACGTGGGGTACGATTTGTGATGATGGTTGGGATATCATAGATGCATCAGTCGTCTGTCGTCACTTAGGTTACCAGTCGGCATCGAGGGTAAGATTAAATGGTTATTATGTCAATGGCTACCTTTTCATACTGTGTGACCACCTAAAATTGGTATCAACATATTTGTGTCTCCGTTGGCAGCAGTGTAAAAGTATTCTATCGATCACTCTTTCTCTTTCTCTATCATTGCCGGTGCATCAGTTGTCTCATAGGTTGCCAGTCTGTGTCATTAGTAGGGAAGAACAGAATGTAAAGGAATGATTATTATATCAAAATTGTCACACTATGTTACAGTGCATAGCCATACAAAAGACGGGAGGGGTGAAGGGCTGCGCCCCCCTAAAATACTCAAATTGCTGATAATTGGCAACTGTCATCGGGCACTGATGTGGTCTATTGTTTTGTCTCTTTTCAAATATATTTTGATGATGAAATCAAATGTTTGTTATTATGAAATACCAAAAGTTGACTCACTCACAAAGTTTAGTAACTGGAATTGTTATATTCGAGCAAGAGGCATTATGGACAGACTGTTAAAAAACATGCGTCCACAGCATTTGCTTTTAATAGTACATTAGTGCTCTCATTCTTTATCTCTCTCTCTCTCTCTCTCATGGTATCTCTTGTTTCTCCCTCTATCTCTCTCTCTCTCTCCCCCTCTCTACCTCTCTCTCTCTTTTCCCCTCTCTCTCCCTCTCTCTCTCTCTCCCTCTCTCTCCCTCTCTCTCTCTCCCTCTCTCTCTCTCAGGCAACCACCAATGCCTACTTTGGAGGAGGTGAAGGGCCGATCTACATGGACGGTGTGTCATGTGATGGTGATGAGACCGACCTGAGCATGTGCCACCACGCCGGAATAGGATTCCATAATTGTGGGCATCAGGAAGATGCAGGAGTCGTCTGCAGCTCCTCTTGTAAGCATGTACTCTTAAACCAATTTTTTCCATGTACAAAGATTTCAATGACCGTATGCTCTTTTCGTTATTCAAAATTCCAAACATATCATTACAGTGAAACTTCATTATAAGGAATACTGTTCTCTCAAGCTCTCTTTAACAAGGTCATTTTGCTGGTCCAACTTCTTTGTATTTTTTGTATTTCGAGCCATGATGTAACAAGGTGATTTCTCTAGTCCTAAGGAAGTTCGTTATAACGAGGTTCCTCTATTTGGCCTTTGGATTGAGAGTGGAATTGACCCATATTTAAATCAATACATTTGCTGTTGCTCATTTCTTATTCCAAGAGTAGGGGAATTAATTCAAATTTGCACATTGCAAAACACTTTGTTTCAAAAATAGAAACAACTGAAGATTTAAGTAGAAGAAAAGTATAATCCCTTGAAATATCTAGATTATTAGTTGACAAGATCTTTTATTCATGTGATGTAGTAATCTCTGACTACATCTTATCTTAATAACACCTCTTGAACCACTTCCAAACTTGAATTATTTCAATTATTAGGCAGTTTAATCTGGCCCAAATTCTAGCCTATGAGTAAAACTCCCTCACCTATTAGGCAGTTTAATCTGGCCCAAATTCTAGCCTATGAGTAAAACTCCCTCACCTATTAGGCAGTTTAATCTGGCCCAAATTCTAGCCTATGAGTAAAACTCCCTCACCAAGATTTGTTTTATAAACTTTTCATAAACATCCCTTCCTCAATCATGTTGATTATCTTCAGACTCGGTGCGGCTGGCTGGTGGACCTAACGCACGTCAGGGGCGCGTAGAGGTCCTCTCAGACAACCAATGGGGCACGGTGTGCAAGGAAGGATGGGACATCCTCGATGCCAATGTCCTCTGTCGACAGCTGGGCTTCTTCGAGGCGTTGCCGTCATCGATCTACCGTAGCTACGGTGCGGGGGTCGGGCCTATTCACTGGCACCACATGAGGTGCTTGGGTACGGAGCTGTCGTTGGCCGACTGTCAGGAAGGGAGCGGGAGCTCGCTAAGCTGTTCACATTCCTCGGATGCAGCTGCTGTTTGTAGTGCTGCAGGTGAGATTAAAAATATGTTTTTTCTTCCCTCCATTTTATCTTTTCATTTGTACTAAATTGAAAGGATCAGGCGTAACCAGCTATTATTCTTCTTGCACTATTATGTAATCATCAAAAGCCAATATTGTAGGGCTTTGGTAGCTTTATATTTTGATGCCTAAGGTTTTAATTTTGCGTATGCCCTAAATGGCAGATTTTGTATAGGTGTTATGACAGGCATAGATGAATATTCAATAGCTTAGTAAATAAATCTTCTTCCAATTGTACTTTTTATCTTCACCTATCAAATTCCCACTTCCATCATACATCCAACATATTATCAAATCCTGACTCTAGAACCCAAACCTAAAGACCAGCCCTAACTTAGACCGTAGCTATTTCTGGAATGAATCACAAAGTAAATGTCGCTGGAGCACATTATAGGATCTCCCTTCTAAAACGTTTCTGCACACAGTGAGTCTGGTTGGCGGAAGAACCATCTCAGAGGGGTTTGTACGGATCTTCCTCAACGGTCGCTGGGGGACTGTTTGTGATGACAACTGGGACAACACCGACGCTGGTGTAATCTGCAGACAGCTTGGCTACGACGGCGGCAAGGCCATCCTTTACAGCAATCCGCTGCTCCGGACGTCGTCAACCAACTTTTTCTCAGATGCCGTTCCAATCTGGTTCGACAATGTCCACTGCTCTGGTGAGGAGGCTGCCCTCTTTGACTGCCCACATTCAGGCATAGGAAACCACAACTGTGATCACACAGAGGATGTCTACGTGCGATGCGAGTGAAAATCAACATCAAGTTCATCATTATGAGGGGTTACTGACACAAAGATCTAACTCCATATTTTGCCAAAATGAGTATTTGATATCAAAATGTTCAGAAAAATGTGGGCTTTCCAGAAGGCAATAGCTAGTGAAACATAGACTTCAATCCTTAAGGCCAAAGTGCTCAATGACACTTATACCACTTTTTCTCAAAATGGCCAAAATGGAGTTACGGTACGTCTTTGTGTCACTGATCCTTCGATTTGTGCCTTTTGCCATCTTGCCCTCCCCCAATAGCAGTAAATCTTCATACAAAATTATCGTTTACACTGTACAAAACCTAATGAGGAACAAGAAATCCTTATATGCGATCAAAATAAAACATCTTGATGAGCCTCGATCATAAAACGTTTTTGCCAACTATCTTCCCTTCTGAGAATTGACACCTCTTCCACATCTCTAAGAGGAACAACATTTCAAACTATTTAACCAAAAATGTATGTAGTTTATTGAGAAAAGTACAAAAAAATCATGTAAAACCAAAGAACATTTAGTCAGAGTGGTGTGTGAACAATTATTCAAAGTATCCGCATTTAATTTTGATTAGAGGTGTCGTGGTCGAGTGGATACGTCGCCGGACTGTCGATCGCAAGGTCCGCGGTTCGAGTCCCGCTGCGGCACTAATGTCCTTTGGCAAGACATTGATCTACATTTGCCACACTCAACCCAGGTGATGTAAATGGGTACCTGGCAGAAATTAATTCCTTGAAATGCTGGAGCGCTGTATAAACGGCTGCTAGGCTAAAGCCGGGGTAATAATAAATGTGCCTCGAAATAGAATTATCTAGATAGATGGCGCTACAGAAATGCCTATTATTCTATTTTACAAATTTTATTATCATTATATGCATTATGTACAACTCAATTATTATTTGTCATACTTGATAGGGAGACACGTTCATGCATAACCTATTTTTATAATAAATGTATAACTATAGGCTTGCTATAGGTGTATATCTGGTACTCACCAATTATATCCAACAATGGTTACAATATCATGCTGTCTATCCTATAAGAACTTTACATGTATTTATATATTTTTGTTTTATAAGATATCAATATTCTCATATTATATTGTTTGCTGAAATGAAAATAAATGTTATTTGCTTTCTTATTTTTTACATGCAGATCTATGGCAGTGTGTTGATAGTGCACAGTTGACATGCAGAAAGACTTTTCTTAAGTCCAGATTGTAATGTCTTAGTTTCTAGTGAAAACTGTTGTTTCTTTTTAGAAATGAAAGATCTTCCACATTTTATACCTTGGCGTTTCACTATTGAGCCATTTTTGAACTTATATGTTTATCTTTAAATACTGCTATGGTATTGAGGCTAGTAAAGAATGTTGGAATCCATAATGAACTTGAAGATATATAGTTTCTGAAACAAAGGTGCTAGCTATATAATGTAACGATGTTTGGAAATTATCAATTGGGACATTATAGGAAAATGCATCATGTAGCGGATAATGATAACAGGAAGAAAACATAGTCTAGCACAATCAATGCAGTATGAGAATCAGGTCAATGTGACAATCTCTTTCCTGATACTGGATTCAATTATATATTTTGTATGTGAAATGTCGAATTGTAATAAATTAACCTTTTCATATCATTGATACTTCAACTTCCATTTAAATGTGACATCGGGCCAAACATTACTACAAAAAGTTTTCCTCATCTCCCTTCTAAAGGTATTTCTCTTTTCTTTCCTTCTTCCTTATCTTCTCTTTCCTTCTTCCTTATCTTCTCTTTCCTTCTTCCTTATCTTCTCTTTCCTTCTTCCTTCTCTTCTCTTTTGTCTTCACCCAGTGCCTCCTTGATTATTAATGCATTGTCTATTCATGTACATTAACCAAACAACAAACGATAGAGATAATAAAGTAGGCATTCTAGTGGGCTAACAACGGCTCTGTTTTTTTCCTCCTAAAAATGAAGAAATGTTCAACAAATACTAAAAAATGTGAAAAATACCTTTTGTTTGAGTTTTTCAAAGATTTTATCTAGTCATTTCTATTTCTATTATTATCATCACTATTATTATCATTATGATTCATTTGTTCTATTTTGGACATTATATGGTACACTCACACACAAGCCTATATATATATATATTTCTTTCTTTTTTTGGGGGGGGGGGGGGGGGGGGGGACTGTTTGTCAAATATTTTTCGGACTTGTGCCACCTCTCCCCTGCAAGAGAATTTAAGATCAACCATTGTGAAGGATATCTTGATATACAATTTAAGATATATGATCATCGGAACTGTAAGGAAACTGTCTTTTGTAAATCAAATTCAAAATAAGAATTCTGTTTTGGTCTGGCACAAATATAAATGTATGATGTTCTCGTGTAAATGTGCTTAGAAATTTACAAGTTACAGTTTTCACCTTACCTTCATAAACATTGCAAGACAAAAACAAACACAGCGTAGATGAAGAATAATGCCAAAGGAATTCCAAGGGCTATAAAACACTCCTGCAAAACCATGAAACTAGAGATGAAGGAAAAACATACATTAGAAGGGAGAAAAAATGTAGAAAAGAAGAAGAGATAGGAAAAAAGTTATTGTTATATCTTGCGTACTACCTTTAATACATGATTTATGTATGATGTATATATTTTTTTTGTATCTGTAAAGAATATTGAATTGAAAAGAAAAGTATATCAAAATTATGGGGAAGATAAAGTGTACGTATGATCAAAGTCTTGCATGAAGAGGGAGGAAGACTGAGATAGAGAGGGAGAGGGGCGTGAGAGAGGGACAGAAGGAAGATAGGAGAAAGGGATGGATGGGAGGGGGAATTGGAAATGAACAGGAAATCGACAGTGCATGTACAAGACATCTTCATCATCATATTAAAAACATTTACTTTAGGTGCAGATGTTCTGCTAGTGTTACGGTAGGGTAGTTCTATATCATAGGTAATTTTCAGTTATAGAAATGAAGTAGGAAATACTTATTTTCTGCTTTGCAGAATATTCCATCATTGTTTACAAGTGCCTCCATTCCTACAGGGGTTTCTACAGAACAGTCAACTAAAGAAGAAGAAATAGAAAATGCATATCCTTCAACGTTTGGTTTACAGAATTGAAATAACTGCTTGTGCAACGACATAAAGCAAAACAAAAGAATAAGTAAAGATAACACAAAATACGAAATATATATATAGATATATATATACAAGATAGTTTAAAGATTACCTTGTACTTGAACAGGGAGAACTTTCTTATTAAACAGAATACCCTGGATTTGTCCCAGGTCGATTATTATGAGGGGGGGGGGGGTTAAATTCTGCATCTGTGTCTTCGAAAGCCCGAATTTGAGAGTATTTTTGAAGAAAACGAATGTGAATTTGGACATCTGACAAATGTAAGTAAATTCACTCCTACTGATATAGCAGAGGAAGTTCTTTAGTAACACCAACGTTCCTATAGATATGAGTGCATGAAATATATTGCAATCCCGTTTTAATAATAAATTCCTCAAAAGACGTTCCGAAATTCATGATTTAGCGTTGATATCTCTCTTTTATTAATATGATACATGACGTTGGTATCTTTGAAAAGCCCGTGTATTCCCATTTACAATGACGTCACATTTGTGATGATTATGAGAAAATGGAAGGTGCAGAAGACCTGAATATTGAGCCAAGTCAGAAGTGAAATGATGCAAAACGCTTTGTTATTGTCAATAGTGAATTCTTCATTTGTTTGTAAGATGGATTGTGTATATCATTACCTTCTTCACAAAAAAAAACCTAGCGAATCTCAAATTCCAGGAGCATGCCACGTTTACACAAGTGCCTCCATTCACACAAGGATTCTTACCAGAACAGTCGACTGAAAAGAGGAAAGATGAAATGGAGGTTTTGATAATCCATTTTATTTATTGTATTTCAAGAAGCTGCATATTTTGATATGCTAAGAATATGTTGCTTCATATACTTTGGTGGGAGCCTCTTAGATTAATGGGTAAGAATAAAATAGATCTTTCAGATATTTCTTGGGAAATCAAATTGTAGTGATCAATCATGCAATACACTCCGATGTAAAGACCTTGTTATTGGGGAGGGGGGAGAGGGGGGTAGAGAGCACTCATTTTTTGGGGACCCTCGAAAATCGCCCCCCCCCTGAACGCCAGGGGGGGGGGGCTATCTCCAAAAAAAAGAAAAATCAACGTGTTTTTACACGTTTTTTTTCCCAGGGCAGAGCCCTCAGAAGCTTTGGGGTTTTGTACATCAAATTATCGTCGGATGAGCTTAATTTTATAATTTATTTGTGACACTGGCAGGTCACGAATTGGTGGGGGTCCAGGGGGCGGAGCCCCAAGATGCTCAGGGATTTTGGGCAATAAATAACGGTCAGATGAACATAATTTTATACCTTATTTGTGACACTGGCAGGTTAGAAAATGGCGTGGGGTCCCCCGGAAGCTCAGGGGTTTGGGGCAATAAATTACGGTCAGATGAGCATATTTTGATACCTTATTTGTTACACTGGCAGGTCACGAATTGGCGTGGAGTCTAGGGTGCGGAGCTCCCGGAAGCTCAGAGGTTTTGGGCAATAAATTACGGTCAGATGAGCATGATTATATACCTTATTTTTTACACTGGCAGGTAACTTATTGGCGTGGGGTCCAGGGGGCGGAGCCCCCAGAAGCTCAGGGATTTTAGGAATTTTATATTGGTCAGACGAGCATGCAGGGGCCCGCCTTAGGGCCGCTGGTTGGGTCGAGGGGGTGGAGCCCCGGAAACTTAGGGGTTTTAGGCATTTAATTACGGTCAGATGAACATATTTTTATACCTTATTTGTGACACTGGCAGGTTAGAAAATGGCGTGGGGTCCCCCGGAAGCTCAGGGGTTTGGGGCAATAAATTACGGTCAGATGAGCATATTTTGATACCTTATTTGTTACACTGGCAGGTCACGAATTGGCGTGGAGTCTAGGGGGCGGAGCCCCCGGAAGCTCAGAGGTTTTGGGCAATAAATTACCGTCAGATGAGCATGATTATATACCTTATTTTTTACACTGGCAGGTAACTAATTGGCGTGGGGTCCAGGGGGCGGAGCCCCCAGAAGCTCAGGGGTTTTAGAAATTTTATATCGGTCAGACGAGCATGCAGGGGCCCGCCTTAGGGCCGCTGGTTGGGTCGAGGAGGTGGAGCCCCGGAAACTTAGGGGTTTTAGGCATTTAATTACGGTCAGATGAACATATTGTTATACCTTATTTGTGACACTGGCAGGACACTAATTGGCGTAAGGTCCAGGGGGCCGAGACCCAAGAAGGTCAAGGGTTTTAAGCATTAAATCACCGCCAGATTGGCATCCAGCCGTCAGCCTTAGGGCCTTGGGTGGGGTCCTTCTTTTTTTCCTTCTTTTTTTTTTCCTTCTTTTTTCCCCTTCTTTTCCCCCCTTTTTTTTCTTCCTTCTTTTTTTTTTTGCCAGGGGGGGGGGGGGGGGGGGGGGTGGTAGTGAGCACTTTTTTTTTTTTTGATCCTCAAAAAAATTTCAATTTGCACCCCCCTTGAGCGCCAGGGGGGGGGGGGGCCCAACCCCCCAAAATCGTAAAAATCACGTGATTTTACATGATTTTTTTCTCAAGGGGGGGGGGGGGGGGGCCCGGGCCCCCCCTGGATCTGCCACTGCGTGTTACCATAGCAACAGCTACAGATCCTCGATCTTAATTACTTCCACCCCCCCTCATTTCTCTCCGTCTATCTCTCTCTCTCTCTCTCTCCATTAAATGTCCATCTTGTGTATCAGATTTTACAGATTTTATTGTTGTGTTCACTAGCTGATGTTATCTAAGCTTTTGAATATGTTATCTCTGGGATATCCTCTCAGCATATATTTCATCCTTTTATTTTACATTAAAGGACTAACTTTATAAAGGTAAACAAAAATAAATGCAGTGGGACAAAAGATTTGCTGCAACATAGCATTAAGCTTTTATTCAATGCTTTTAAAGCAAAAACGAAAACACATCATTGTTTATCGTAGTTAAACTGAACACAAAATGCTTTCAAAAATTACCCAAAAATGTATTCCATAAATTTTGTGTTAACAATGTCTACTGCATTTGTAATTAACTTTTTAATAAAGGAGCGAAGTCATCTATACCAAATCATTTCTCAACATTGATTTCAGTAAGGTACAAATATGGTGTACATTGCTATGTTGGGCAAGCACGAAACTGAAGAATATGTGCTTTATTGTTACCTATGGCTAGGCGAAACCAAATGGGCTAAATTTGTAGCAGAATAGAAAATAAAGCCCTTTTAGTTGATAAGAAATATTCTGTTCATTAACATGTTTACATTATAGAGTAAAAACCAAGGCATGCTAATACAGCACATGGAATTTGCCCTTTTTTTTCTTTCTTCAATCCATTAAATATGACAAGAAACATTTTTGCTTTATTTTTGTTTTGAATACATTAAAGCTGATTTCAGATTAAAAATTATTTTCCTTCAAAATCATTTGCAGCTCATTCCCGCTTATACCTTTCATAACATTTTCGCCCAAAAAAACTTGCAAACATTTGCAACTTATCAAATGAAAATTGAATGGATCTTTTCCAACTTCACTACAATAATCACAAAATGAAGAATAACTTGTTATCAAAATCATTTTTTTATAAATTGCACCAATTAAAGGCCCTTCTAGGAATTGGAGGAAAAATATTCTAAAAGAAATCGTATCAATAAAATAAGGTTTTTGAACAAAAGTCAATTTTTTTTTAAAAGCAAGAAGAAAAAATAAATCCAAAATAAAACTTGAGAAACCTGGAATTTCCAAGAAAATAATCAGAAAAAGAAAACAAGACAGTGACTGCTAGGGCATAAGAAACAGATAAAAGAAACAGATTCAAAACATCTTTTTTTGGTGACAAACACCTCAAAAATGAAGCTCTGAGCAAGGCATTAAGTCCAACAGCAACTGGTAATCTATAACATATTACATAACCTTTCTGTGTGACAATCATACACTATAAGCTCATTAACATATTGCCATTATTATCATTTTATAAAACAAACAAGCAGTTTTCTTTGTACACAAATCATTACTTACAAAGTGTGGATAGATTCATATATACATATACTCTTACCTTATATCTACAATATCTACACATTTGTAACAAAACTTTGAAATATTTATACACCTACATGTAAATCATTCTTTTTCCCTTTCTTTAATAATTTCTGTATATTTACCAATTTCACGGCTGATAATGTGGAGAGATCGGCCAATTTTGCCACTGTCATACAAAGGCATGAATAAAAACAGATGCAATTATATTTTATGCAGTATGACTGCCTTTAATTAATAACCCAATTATTATCAAATGAAAAAAAAAGTGCAACCATTAATGTCCGGGTGTAAATTTGATTTAATACTTCAAAGGATAAAATGAATGATCAAAAAAATATCAAGTGCAAAGATATCTGCATTGTGATGCATGGAATATAATAGAAACAATAAAATCTGCTTCTTGTAGATTATAGATTGTCAAAAAATTTATATATTTCTTAAAACTACTTTAAAACTTGTAGCAAATATGATTTTTCATTTTCAAAATGAAGGCCATATCATTAAAAAGATTTGGTTTACATTATTGCCATCAAGTACAAAGAGGAGAAACGTGAATAGATTTAACATTGAGCACCAATTTGATGTCCCACAAAAAGGAGGAATACGCATAACAAGAAGCACCAAAACCAAGTAAAGGAAAGATGTAGAATTTCATAATAATCATAGTTAATTAATGAAAGTAATTAAGAATTTAAGAGCGGTGGATCGCAATGTTCAAGGTTTATACTTCAATAAATGATAATGAAATTAATATATTTTTTAGGAACTAAAAACAAAACTGATGATTTTGATCTTCAAGAATGAGGTTTTTAAAAGATTACCCCAAAAAAGTTTGATTTTCTCTTCAAAAGTCAGTAACATAAATATTAATTCTAACATCTTGGATCCCAATTATCTCTTAACACGAGGATTAAGAAGAAAATACAAAATTAACAAAAATAAGGCAGTACAGGCACACAGATTATTGATATAAATCATCACAATTATTTGTTCATCTCTTTGGTGGATATTCGTTTTTAGCATAATGCCACTCACACAAACCCCATAGGGTGGCAACAGAACAGTACCCCTATTCACCCCCCCCCCCCCTCCTCTCTATGAGAAGACTGAACAGTATTAACTAGTTATGACATATATCTATGATTTTGCAAAACATTACTTGACATCCTAGATATGAATATGGTGATTAACATTTCTTAGATCAATATAAAACTCAACTGAATTATAATGCTATGAATTTCCTTTAAACAAGGTTGTTGAATTTGTTTAATGCTGCATCTTTTTTTTTTACCTTAAATAAAGAAAATTATAACAATGTGATAAAAACAGCACATTATAGAAAAGGGTTGCATCATGTATGCACTTTTTATTTACAACTAAGATTTTTTTTGAATCCCATACAATTTGGCACAATTTTTATTTTTATTTAAGAGGTATATTTTGTTAACCTTTAACCAATTCTGTCCATGGTGTTTTGCTATACAAAAGGCATGATCATGATGATTTTACTTTGGGAACTTTGGAGACATCAATTTTATTTATAAGCCAAAAAAATTATCATACATCTTCTTCCAGTATAATTTTTCAAGTAAATAGGAGGGCCATTTTGGATAAATAAATACTGGATGAAAAGAAGTTTAATGTAAACAGTAAGGATAGAATTCTGAAGCAAAGACTTGTTCACCATTTTATCTTTTCAGTAATTTAATCTTTCAGTTCCACTACTTTTTAACTATATCCAAAATTCTTCAGTTTTGACATACCGATATGATGAACAGTTTAATATATTCATTAAAAAACAGTATTCATTTAATGATGAATACATTCATACTGGTAATTTTCTTTAACTAGTCATAAAAGTGACCGCAAGTCTTATAACACGACTTTGCTTGACAAGGTTTTAAAAACCCTTTTTTAATGTTTGATAATTCTTCATATATTGCAGCCTAAATATTACGATACAAATTCTAACTGTAATACACTACAGTGGTTTTTCCCTTGTTAGGGGCATGGACTCAAGACGGAAATGACAAAAAAAATAATTCAGGATGAAAATACATGTGTTCACACACGGTGGAAAAGCACAATCATTCAAAATGAGATCACATTCACCAGGTTACAATATCAATTACTTATCATTCCTCCCCAAAATACAGGGTAGAAAGACCATAAACTACTTTCATTATCAATACTAACAGCTGGCTTGACTCTAAGAGAACAAATATTTCAAACAATTTCTTTCGAATACAAGAAAAAGGTGGTAATTAAATATTAAGAAACATGTCACTTTAATAGTCTTTGTCTAACAACACGATTGCTTTCCAGAAGAGAAGCATGTCTTATATCACAGTTTCCAGAGCGGACCTCGTTGATCTGGGCGACTGTGGAGATGCTGGCGATTTTAACGAGAGAAATTCTTTTTCTGAATTGTCACTCGAATCGATATCGTCCATTCTCGAAGCTCGCTTATGCCAAGGTGATGGGTTCATTTCAGAGTCGGTGGGCGGGTATCTATACGTGGGTGAATTTTGAGATTTCGTTGAGGGCGCCGTGTGCGGTAGCGTGTGGTATCCTTTGTGTACGTTATCACTCGCAGCAACATCTGCAATATTGTTTGTGTTGTTGTACGCAACAGGTACCAGATCCATCCTGGCTTTGCGGGCGTGGGCCGTGAGCGGGTTGATGAGGTCGGGCATGCTGCCGGTCATGCCGAACGTTCCGCTGTTGGGAAAGACGTGGGCCTTGGTGGGCGTGTCCTGCGACAACGGCGAAGCGGGAGCAAAGTCCTCGCTTCCGCTACTACTGGTGCGTGATCCCCCGATACCAGACTCCCGGATGAGAGGATGTATCTCGATCGGAGACGGCTCTCGCTCCTCCGCCGCACCCACGTTAATCAGCTTGGCATGCTTCTCATCATCAATGTCCAGGTCAAGGATCAAGGGTAGGAATTCATTAGTGTTGACGGACAAGCGCTTGCTGTCCTGTGCTTCATCGCCCTCTGCGGCGTCGACTCTGGTAGACTCGTGAACAGGATGTTCTTCAAAATCCATGCTGATTCCCTCGTCAGCGATGACCTTCGCTGCACCAAAGTCTACCTGCTCTTCCTCAGGAACGCTCATCTCGGAGTTGAATTTGACATGTTCGTATTGACCTGTACACACAATAGAGAAGACCATACAGATTATTGCACTCAAATTCTTGTTACAAACATCAGGATAGTTTAGGGTGGTTTTGGGCTTTTTTCGTGTATCACAAGTGAAATCTTCATACAGTATCTCAGTCAGAACAAAAAACACACTGGGCAAGAACTTTTATGATATACACAACTTGAATTTCAAATTAAGAAATTGATTGATTCCTACAAAAATGTTTTGGTGTGACACTTTGTTCTAGTGGGAAAAATATTTGACTATTTGTAACTGTAACTTGCTGCCTATGTCAAGTACAATGAGCAAATCCAAAGAACCTGTATAATTTGTTATACAAAAGGAAATTAATAATGTCTACTTGTAATGATCTCATATTCTAAGAAACAGTGTTCAGCTTTTATAAGAAGTAACAAGTGACAAACATGCAGAACACACATTTTGGACAAATTAATCACAAACAATGCAGGGTGTAAAAAAAGTACTATCAAATGTAAGGAAAACAAAATAAAAATGGAACCATGCAAATACAGAAAATAAATAATTTCAAATGCAAAACAAAATATAGTGAGCTCTAAAGAATTAAACAAAAAATTAGATGTAGGACTTCATTCTACAAACACATTGTGAGCACCATCTTGAAAATGATGATATCTAGAAAGTAAACTGAATTCATATAGCACCAATCTAAGATGTGAACTTTAATCTGTATATTCATATTTTGTATTTATCACATAGTTAAAAACATGTTTCAAACCTATTTCAAAACTGTTTCAAAGATATTTCAAAACTATTTGTTGTTTCTTTTAGGAGAAACTTCTTGGGTTTTCTCTTCTTGTGGAAATCCAACCGATTCTTTTCCTATAATGTTAGAGAAGATCATTTTTTAAGGCAGATTGAATGAAGGTATCAAATAAACATGCAGGAGCTTATCGATACCTAATCAAAAAATAAAAATGTAAATGATTTTAATAGCGCAAATCATAATGAGCAAATGAAAAGAATATATTGGCAAATCAAACAATATCAGTGCATTTTTATCCTGGTAAAAATCTATTCTTTAAAGATATTCTGCAAAAATGCAAACAAAAAACAACATCTGAACAATACTTTGGGGATAATCCTACAGTGGAACAAGAAATATAGATCAACGAGAGTGAGATAGAAAATAAAAGTTACTTCTCAAGGTCGGGGTTCAAAGTTACGTAGAGAATGGAGATGATATAAAACTTTTAAAAGTCAGGGTTCAAAGTTGGGTAGAGAATGGTGATGATATGGTAGGCAAGGCATGATAAGGTTTGATGATTTCAATCCATTGTCTCTCATGCTGCATGAAGGTGGTGTGGTTCAGAAATGCTTGGGTTTAAAGGTCGCATCAACCATTTGCATATTCCTAATTTAGGTAATTTCTCTCTCTAACCAGTTCTGCTCATAGGTGAGGTAGTGGCATATAAATCTTCTCCATATAAAAAAATAACCGCTTGGTTTTAAAAATTGAAAATTTTGTATCTATATATTACTAATATTTTGCATGACCTGATCAAAATATGCATCTAACAAAAAGCTAGGTTTGGTAAAATCCATGAATTTAATTCATCTATTCTTTTTAATTTATAAGATCAGTATTAGCAGGATTTATTACTTGTGTCTGTCTGTTCCTTTCTAACAGGCTACTAAATTTCATAGAGGGATTCTACGCAAAAAGATTCTGAGTTACAATTTAACAAATCACCCAGGTATAGGATATTATCTACTCAGATCCGGCCCATGCAACTAAATCATCTTCTTCTGAGGGTGATACATCTATTCTACTGCCCCTTCCCGTTCCTGGCAAATGGTTGACACTACCTATATAGGCTTGTTCAGATATGACTCGCAAAACCACCCCCCCCCCCCCTCCACCCCCCCCCAAAAAAAAAAAAAAAAACAGGTGTTTTACATAAACATGAATGGTAACTGCATATTCACTGGCTCTGTGCTATATAGCTCACAGCGATGTAATGCGTATTCCACTTTTCAAACATCACCAAAAAACCACCTTGGTTTTGCTGCATCATATCTGAAGAAGACTTAAAGATGAGCGAAAAAGCATGAAAAGGAAACGTGATGATGCGCTTTTGAATACCTTTGCCAACATGAACCCTATTCTATGTGCAGCCCATATCTCGCTCTGCCAAGCATCATGGTAAATACACAGGCAGTGCCATAGGTGCGTCCAAATCGACTACCACTACTACTGTCACAAAACCTGCACAACAAGAACAGATCATCCACAATTCCATCAAAAGCGCACTCTCAAATCAATGTTGAGTTAGAAATAATGTTGCGAAATTAAACATTTTAACTATAACTATAACACTAGTGCAAAAATAAACTTGTGAATATTATGTAGATTGAGTTTGTGGACTTCCACTCTGGACTTAAAGCATTTTTATTTGATTGTTAAAAGGATATTTCAGTCATAGTTAGTTGGGATTTTATATATATGTGTGTCATGGGTCCTTGGGAAGAACTACAAAGGTACTGTAGCATACAGACTATTAGTCTTTGTTATTGAAAGAAAATGTTGCTGCAAATAAAACCAGTCGCTATAATTTTAATAATTACCGGTATGATTGCAAGTATGGTAAACACTTTGGCAAAACTTTGATTCAGACTTGACTTATATATATTCAAAGGCAAACATTTCATTTCAATTGAATATTATTTCAAAAGTTAATCAAACTGTAAAGCTTTTATTCATGCAGTAATTTTGGTGAAGGAGCCATAGAAAGTTTTGAAAAAATCATTTATTTTGAAAATCGCCCTCTCATTATTAGTCAAAATATCCCAGATAAATACAGTAGAACATCTTTTAAATGAGGGAGTTTTAGTTTATTCCATGCAGTTGAAACTAAAAAGTCCCAATCTCTATTTTTTCTTCCTCTCAGAACAGCATACATGATGTATAGTTAGCTGCATTATCATGTGAGTCTTTGTAGTAGTACCCATCAGTGGCATAAACATGCATACACTTTCTATTCATTCAGAAGGGGGCGATGACAATATACCCCACCCCATTTACGAATGATAAGTATGCACGTCAATGCCACTCATAGAGTTAAGCGTGAATATATAGTAGAAGCAAAAGCAAAAATGAAGTGTAAATAAATATGTATATATATGATTGGAAAAGCAGAAATCAGGGAACTTTGTGTGTACTTTGAGAAGATGAAGAATGAAAACTCTTGCTGGATGGATGAATGAAGGTGTGCATGATTTTAAACTGGAGATGTGTATGTCACCCCTACAGGTTGGCCCGTTTGGACTGTAACCAGAATGAGATGGGATGGATAGATGGTAGGAGAGAAAGAAGGAGAAGAGGATGGAAACATAATGTAAATAAACAAATAAACATGTGTATCATTAAAAGAAAATAACAGAAGGAAATAAAAGGTAATTTTATCTATTTTACTCAATTTCAAGTATTAATACTCTATCTGTATCTGTCTACATATATTTCAATTTCATTATCATTTGCTTCTTTCTGTCAGAGAGAAACTTCAGTAAAAAATAAATTACCTCAAAGAGTTACCATGTAATACAACAACAAATAAAATTTCAACATCTTAACTTCTGATCTGGTGAAAAGGAAATCTTCTATTCCTTTAGGTTATTTTTATCCTCTTGTTTGCATTACTTAACTTACTTAACCAATTAAAACATGTTAAACCATATAAATATATATTTATATACTGAATTTAATTCAACCAAAGAGAAGTGAGAGATATATAATTGGGTACGTATATTCCCTTGCATTGCAAAAATATAATTTTCAAAACTGTAGCTACATAAACTTCACACTGATATAAGGCCAATACCTTCACAATTCAACAATTATATCACGCCATATAAATTAATAACTTTAAAAAATAGGAATGAAATAATTCAATAAAATAGGTTCTCAAATTCCACTTTACTTTATACATCTACAATCGATTAAAGACAAGATTCTAAACTACTTACAAAGAGGAGGAAGGAGAAGAAGAGCACACACATATCGAGAAAGAGAAGAGTAAAAGAAAAGAAGATGTAAGCATTGTCGATGTAGATGGGAGGGAAACATGAAGCACAGAAAGACACAGAAGGCAGAGAATTCATAGCTGTTAAAAGCCAGAAAGGCGTATAAACTCATGTCATATGACATAATGTTAACCCCTTTGGCACCACCAACTTTTCAAACAATCGGCGTAGATGAACGTTCAAGTGTTGGAATTTTGACCATAGATCCTTGTTTACTGTTTAATTGAGCATGAGATATATTCCATGCCAATAAACTATAAAATAAGGCTACCGGTACTGTTTCAGCCAGGGAAAACAGAAGCAGTAGTTCTGGGTCCAAACCAATTGTTGAACACTAATTTTCTTTGGCGGAATTTCCTGCCAACGGCACCGAAAGGGTTAAATGGCGCTCTGACTCTCAGGGTATGACACGTACATGGATTAGTATGATTCTTTTCTCACAGGCATACACATAACATGGAGATGTAACAGGGAAGACATAAAACGGTATAAGGACATGAAGAATGACAATTATAATGTACAATTTTGAAGAAGAAAAAAAAAGTGACATTAGATGTATGAGCATGCATGGAACCAACCAGGTAATGAAGTATGATTGCTTTTATTCTTCTTCTTCTTTTTGACAACATTACACATTTGGAAATTTATTCCAGTATTAAGTATATTTGTAAATCATTAGTACTCTTCAACTTTTTTGGTCATATTCATCTCTTGTGAATATAGATTATACAGATATTTCAATTCATGGAATACTGCATTCTGTTGTCAAAAAAAGGATTCAAACAAATTGCAATACATTAACAACAACGAAATCATTTTGTTTCTTCAGTCAAATTTGAAAATTAGGATGAATATCCAATAGAATCGATCATAGCTTTTTTTTATAATGAAAGAATACCTGGTTAGGTTATAAAGCTTCTCACACTCATGGAAAATACAGTATGAAATAATTAAGCAATTTTAATGACATTCCATTTATGAGAAAATGTCATACACTATAGTTTAATTTACCTGAATTTCTGTACACTGATGAATTTGACATTTTACGATTGTCCACACTGTATGAGCCTGTTGTATTACTGAATCTTTTACTGTCTGGTCTCTTCTGCTGTAGGTGAAATAAAACAGAAATTTGAAAAACTTGATGATGATTGAGAAAGATAATTTCTGGTTTATTTTAATAGCAAGGTGCAACAATATAAAAAGAGATGTGAAATAAACTTTAATTCTGTAATTAATTTCCAAGTCCTACATCCTACCTTTTAATAAAACAATCTCTCTCCCTCAATGACATATGCATCCTTAATCAACATCTTTAAAAAAAAATATTCTACAGACCCACCTATTTAGGAGATAATCTTAATTACAGAAACAATTTATTGTAAGCTATTGCATATCTTTTTATTCAATTTCATATCTAAGAAAGAGCACTTTAACTATTATTGTGTTTTTGTTATTATAAATATCTTCTCATCAAGGAATAAAGATCATTTTCTGTATCTATTCTCGTTATATCACAATGCCAAATAGAGTACATTTGTATAGAAATTGTGCAAAATTAATTCACAAATATTATTATCATCACCCCATTCAGACTGGCTGGAATGCTCCCCAGGAAGTGGACATTGTGCACAAAGTGTGTGCAGGCAAGTATTGAGTCCAAAGACCGGGGTAATTAATATCTATAAAAGCGGAATAATTTGAATTATTATTGGAGCATGGTGGTTAAAGGGCTATGAAAGATCCTACCAGTGAAAAAAATAAACGGGGGCTCAGCAGGGCAAACTAGCCCCGAAAACGCCAAAAAGAGCCCCAGAAAGTCATAAAAGAGCCCAAAAAATTTGCATGGAGTTCAATACGAAACAAATGAAGGAGTGTAATTTTAATGCAAGCAAGCTTGAAAAGTAGCCCCAAAAAATTTTCAAATAATTTTTTCCCTGGATCCTACTGATGAAGATGACTTACTGCAGCACTGCTAGACCTGTATGAGTTTTGCTGATTGGAGTTTGTGAGGATTGTTCCTCCGTACTGCTCTCGTATGCAGTCGGGTATCCATGTACTGTTACGAACGTAGCGTCTGTACTCTTTTCTTACCTGAAATCAGAGGAAGAATAATTCATTAGGAGTTAATCGGAAGAGGCTTAAAGGCATCGTTAAACAATGTTAAATGATGTGATATGGTGGAATATTGAAGCCCTAAAAAAATTGCGATTCAAAATGACCATGAAGTGCCTCAAAAGCTAAAATCCTTTGAGTGACTGGTTTTACAATACTCATTTCCCCTGATAGACTGTAGTGCTATAAAAACTGTTACGAAAACGAAAAATTAAACTTTGATTACCAATCATAAACATCTTGATAATCAGACAGGCGATTAGCTTGTAAAAGACATGGGATTGCTGACTGACCTAAAGGTTTATAATTATGATTGCAGCATGAGCTAAATCCAGGATTTTGTTTCAGAATCTGAGGCAATGTTACCGAGTCACTTTATGATTCCAAGGTAAGATTAACTGGATTCATACACCTTCTAATACAAACAGACAACCCACTTTATCATTAATTCAACGGTGGTTATCAATCTTTACAGGAAAAGCCCTCACCCCTCCCAATTGTTATTGTTCCTAATTTGAGCTCTATTTTGAGTTGATTCTTATATAATTTTCAAACTCATATAACTTGCTTTATCATTCATACAACAGTGGTTATCAATCTTTATAGGAGGAAACCTTGTTGCCCAACCATCCCACCTTAAGTGTTATTGTTGCTAATATGTGCTCTATGGGGTTGCTTCTAATACCATTATACAACATATATAACTTATGTCATCATTCGTAAAGCAGTGTTTATCAATCTTTACAGGAGAACCCTCCCCCCCCCCCCCTCCTCCCACCCACCCCTCAGGTATTATTCCTAATTTGAGCTCTACTGGATATTGATTCTAATACAATTATACAACTTCATTCTATAACTTACTTTATCATTCATACAGCAGTGGAAAACAAATATGAAGACGCCTTGGAATGAGTTTGTGATGGTGAAGATGTACGCAAAGACGAGAAGGTCGTCACTCACGTAGAGCAGACCGAACGCCCACGTTACTCCAAGCAGGCATAGCAAGACCAATGCGCCTCGTACCAATGACCTGTACACACATGGAAGACAACAGAGGGCAGTAGTTAGTATCTGGTACCAGAGCCATCTATACACATAGTTTGGCCAACTTGGTTTCACTGGGTCACAACATAGCGTACATTCTTTTGTTTTGCGCTTGCCCAACAAAGCAGTAGTCGCCATATTGTGTCCAACTCAAACCGGGTAGACCAAACTCTTCTTATCAATGGCACTGTCTGGTTGAACCATTTAGTATGGTATCGTTTTTATGGGCCAAAAAATATAGCATTGAATGGATGCAACCTTAGGTAAATGTATATACATGTAGAATACATTTTGTTAAAGGAACTCCCCTCCAAATATAGGAATTACGCTGACTTTTTTAGAAATAAATCTCTAAAAAATCACAGATTCTCTGATGAAACCAATCTTGCAAATTCATTTTGTCCTCAAAGTCAGCCTTGGGACTGATTTTGTCCATGAAAGCATCTGTAAAATTAATTTCATGAAAGATTGTTGATTTGTATATATATATATATATATATACAAATATACATGTATATACGTGTACCCGGTATATTAAAATTTGTTACACATGGTGCCGTTCATTGGCTTTCATTTTCTTAAAAATGCTGCGAATCCTTTGACTGTAGGACTTTATCTGCATTTGGCATGAAATGATCCTGTTCCATGCCAAATTTCATGATGTTTGAAAACTTTACAAAAGTGATACACAACCATTATAAAAGAGAATACTCTTGCCAATTTCAAATATTGACATATGTGTAAATCTTGGGCTATGCCGGACTCGTTTGTAGCAAATGGTAACTGAAGTGCAAATGCAAATCAACAAATCTTAATACATTTCATCAAGTCTATACACTGTACTACACATGCTAGTAAGATTAATTCATCATAAAAATAAATATTTGTTACGAAAGATGCTGCAATTAATTCATCATAATAATAATTATTTGTTAATATTCCTGGAAGTCTGACCAGTACTCACTTGAGAGCCTCGCCCTTGGTATTTCCCAGACTATAATATGGTGTTAGCATGCATGCAAATAGAAGTGTTAAAAGGAGAAAAATGTTAGTTCTGTTAGCACATTAATAGCAAGGTTAAAAGCTCCAAGTGTGAATTATTTATAATAACGAGTGTAAATATGTCCCAGATAAGTGCTATCAGAGCATCAAATAGAGTGATAAGTGTTCTGACATACTTTCCCCTTATAATAACTGTCACATGTTATAGCGCTCAATCTACTGCATGTCTAAAGCATTTTACATTATCATTATTACCCGGCCCCTATGTAATCAAGAGTTTCACATATTAATTTAGATTGCACTGCTTAGTATTCTACTTTCAAAACATCAGCTTTCGATTACTTATGTAAAGAGATAGGACCATTTCCCTGTTAGGTATTACCAAATCACACTCTAAATAGTATAGGTAAAAGCAAGGTGTGAGTAAACTAAATAGTTGAAGCACTTGTATAAAACTGGTGTGCAAGGAAAAAACTTCCATACAGGCCTTACAAATTATTTATATATTTTTCAATTTTCCTTTTCATGCCCTGTCATTCCATGATCATCTGAATGACAATATAGTTTCCTGTTCAGATTTTTTGTCTTCCAATAATGTACAACTCTACTTTATACATGAAAATTAAAAAAATGACATTCAAAGAAAAACTAGGAGAAAAAAAAAATCACATATAAAACTAGAAATCTTATTAAGACAGAGAGCCAATTGTACAAACAGTGAACATGTGGGCATATACAACCTCAACACAATCTTAAAGGCAAAAATAATAATAAAATCAAGACAATTAACACATAATATGTGAGAGAAGAAAAACATTCTATGAGCTTGAAAAATGTACAAAAACCAATAAACATTCACAACACACTTATTTCACAAAGATAGGAATATATCACCACTGAAACACCCATGCACATCAAAGTGTATGTTTCATTTGAATAACATGTATCACACATCCACAAGATATCACAAAACTATGAAAACCATGAATATGAAAATGTTTTGAATACTGATGTCTCGATTTCCATAACATGAATTTATGAGCATGCACTATTAAACCGTATTTATAACTTCTGGCTTGTGATTTTTGTAAAATGAATGTTTTCTACTTCTGAGCTATATTAAAGAAAAGACAATAAGAAGCTACCACTCTATTAACTATTTTCTTTCAAAATCTTGTTTGAATGAACTGTATGAATGAATATCTTTATATATGAACTTGATTTACTATTTAAACCAGAAACTTTCACAATTTGTCAACAAAAAGGCCAGAAAATTTGGAAAAATGCAAAAACTTAATACTGTTATTCACTAAACTTTCACAAATCTATGTTATGACCTAAGAAATGCACAAAGGTTTCTGGTTTCAAAGTTTACATATATATATATATATATATATATATATGTATGTTTTTACATGTATATGTAGCTACATTGTAGAAACAGCAATAATATTTTGCCAGATAGAAAGCATAATGAAAACTGTCTGAAACGTTCTCATGTTGTGAGATATATGTATGAGTATGCAAGGAACCCATGTAACATAGAAAATAGAATTTTATGGAAAAATGTATACGTCATAGTATGATATTTAGGCTTTTGTAGATTGAAAATAATTCTGACAGTCCTATATCATCTTTGACTTCAAATATAAGTGTAAAGTTTCACATGTTGCTTCATGTAACAGAATAGCTGGATTCAAAAAAATGATATCCTGTACTATTATGAAAATTCCTTATAAACAGATGCCTCAATGTGATATTTTTCGAAACCGATTGGTTCGCTCTTCAACATTAAAAAATACACTGCAAAATCAATGTTGATCATCATTATGACCTCTAATAGTGATTAAATGATCATAATGCCTCAGAATTCATACCTTGTTGACTTTTTATAATGAAATTTTAATTTTGAAGTGGAAAACAAAACAAAACACATATGTGCATGTATATGTTGTATCAACACACAATCATGCATATACTTCAATCAATGATTATTACTCATTACTCATTCAAGAAATGAATATGGAGCTGATGACTACTGGTAAGGTGTAACACTTCATTGAAAGCAGCAGGCAAAATATGAAAGGAGTGATCCACAAAATTCACAGACCCAAGAAGATATCCACTGATGCACTTGTACATATTTAGGCCTCGTTCAGATATGAGACGGCAAAACCGCTGCGGGTTTTTCTACAACGATGACGAACAGAGTAATACGCTTCATATGTCTGTATCTTAAAATACAGAGCTCAGTGAGTACGAGTAAGACCTTTGTTAGAGATGTCGTGGACAAGTGGATATGTCACCAGACGGTGGATCACAAGGTCCGCGGTTCAAGTCCCACCGCGGCACTAATGTCCTTTGGCAAGACATTGATCTACATTTGCCACTCTCCACCCAGGTGTTAAATGGGTACCCGGTAGGATGCGAAAGCTAATGTGCTTAGATTAGCAAGTGTGCGCTTGTAAAAATGACGCCTGGCTGGAATGCTCCCCAGGGAGTGGAGAATGTGCATACATTGTGTGCGGGTAAGCCTTGAATCCGATGACCGGGGTAATAGTATATATATCTGTAAGGCGCTTTGATAGGGCCCTCCTGAAAAAGCGCCATATAAGAAATAGTTATTATTATGCGCAGCTGCCACTCATTTATAATTTTTTGTTTTTAATGTGGCAGCCTTTTTGCGGATTACCACATCATATCTGAACGGGCCCTTAATGTTTGAAAATATGAAGAGGAATGACAGGCATAAAGAAGAAACATTTTAACAGGAATATACTCGCTTACGCTAGTTTGTCAGAATTATCCATGGAATAATCTAGAGGATCGACCTCCCTAGAAAGATTAAAATCATAAGAAAATAATGTAAGAGTAATCAAGTATATCAATGATAAAGCACTGGAAAACAAATTTTCAAGAAATTCTGCTGAAGAATACGAAAGTTACAAATGCTTCAAGATCACCTTTTTAAGATTACATGAAGTTGCAAAATCTTTGATTTCTGTCGTGAGAGCTACCCTTTTTTTAAAAACATGAATCATTCTAGTTTTTGTTTTTGTTTTCAAAAAATTGTTTTCTAAAAAATGTGACCCAAAATTATATTTTTGAATGCATAATCATTATAGGTCATCGTTAATGTAATAAATATTCATCCCCTTCATCAAAACTCAAAACTGGAATTGCGAAGGAAAAATTCTATACAAAACAAAATAAGAAAAGCTTGTCAAGGAAATCGTAGAGTTGCCAACTCCTTCATAGATATTTTAAAAATTGAATATTCGTGACTCCCACACTTTAAAAGATATTTCTGAAACAGAATCCATTTCTTTAATAAATACACAGCTACTTTTTAAAGTCATCTTGATGTCAGGAGATTATAACGCTCATAAATTCAAGTAATCTCCTCCTATGTACCCATCTACTGATTTTGATAAACAAAACTTAGGTAAACCATTGCTCTTGTCATATTCAAATATGATGTAATTACAATGGGAGTAATATCACTGAAGCAGGGAAAAAATTAATATTTATTTTTCAGGGGCTACTTTTCAAGCTTGCCTGCATGAAAATACCATTCTAAAATTTGTTTTGCATTGAACTGTATGCAAATTTACAGGGGCTCTTTTCTGATTTTCGGGGGCTCTTTTAGGCATTTCGGGGGCTAATTCGCCCCGAGCCCCCGAGTATTTTTTTCACTGCACGGAAGCTATTATATGCTGTGACGGAGCCAGACGAGTATGAACTCGCCAACCTGTATCCATAAAACAGACTCTAAACAGGCTCTTAACGGACAACATGCAAATCCATTACACTCAAAGAACCAAAAGAAGACCCAAAGCACAAGATAGATTAAGATTCTGTCATAAAGATAAAAACAACCATAAAACCGTAAGAGATTATTATATTTTACCAACAAATAAATACAGATATATTAGGATATTGTGAACTGGTAAATAGACAGGTGTTAACTTGTAATTTCATTTCATTAAGAGTTTTAATACAAGTACAAAACTTATACAACTGATAAATCTCACCTAGAGCTTTATAGGGCACCAATGATTACATTTGTACAACATTTCTTCAAACTCATTCATTTCACCAATAAAAAAATGTATGTACAATTCCACTCAAGTGCAGAGATATCTATTTAGGGAAAAAGAGGTTATTTGATTAGTAAACAGCTGAAGTACATTGCACCAAAATATAAGGAAAAATCCATGGAGTTAATGGAAATGAAAAGAAGAAAAAGAAAAAGGAGGAGAGCTAGTTTCCATTAGAGCACATCCTTGCGGTTAAAGAAAGAGAGAAGAAATGATATTAAATGAAGATTAAGTGAAGGAGAGTTTCCTTATACAAGAAAACATCCCTGAGGATAATGATGGAGAGAAGAGTAGACATTAATAAACTGAAAGAAAGAAATAGAGGAGGGTTTCCATGACAAGACCGTATTCCTGAGGTTAATGACTGAAGAGAGGATAAGCTGAGAGAAAGATGAAGAGACGGAGGGATTCCAATCAAGTCCTGAAAGGATTAAAGCAAATAAAAGAGGAACTAATACAAACTTTGATCTCTTTCTGCCATGCTTGGAGAAAATGGAGGATGATCGACGAAGACGTTTTTCTATCGATGCCGAGAGTCTGTGGTATTTGCGACTGTTTAGAGGGAATGGAGGGGGAGGAATATTTGACATGCAGCTGTATTAATACCGGTCTATAAAGCCTTGTAATATAAAAGTTTACAGTTAATTTTTGAAGTCAGTTGCTTTGTATTGCATTATAATCACATTAACAAGCTGGATTAATTTTCACTAAAGCACATTTTTAATGGATTCAATCCCAGATTATCAGGAGCTTAGAGATTGGATCAGGAGCTTCAAAGAGAACATATTTCATTGACTAAGGAGAGAAACAATTTATCAGACTTTGAATTCAGGCAGTCTAAGGTAGATTAGCTAAAGGTAGACTACAAACCAGATATTTTTTGTAACAAAACTAGAGGTAAAATTCTGTTGTAATTTAGGCTGAAGATAAGGAGTGTAAACCCTGAAACATGGATCATTATTTCAAACATGTCTTTGTTTTTATATGTGTTGTTTAATATGTTTTGAACAGATACAAAGGTTTTCAAAGATACCATCAAACACCCTTTTACCTATAGGGTCTGAGATATAGGGCTACCCATCACGCATGGACAATTCTTCCTGGTCAGGAATTGTGTAGGAAGGGGATGGGGAGGGGTTAATTTAGGTCATGGCTATATCTTCCCACCATCTTCAAAACTCTTCCCGTTCCAGACTAAAAACAATTCACTCTGATAGGTCTAGAGGTCCCTATCCTCCATTCAGTATGACTACCATTGAATCATGGTCTCATGGGGGGTCAAAGGTCATTGCCTCTCCCATTTCCCCCATCATACAGCTGGATATGAATATACAGGAAGAGAGGGGTCGAGTGACCGTCCTCGTCGTGGGAGGAAGCAAGTATCTGTCAGAATGAACACAAAAACTTCAAATTGCCCCAATTTTTTTGTTAATTTTTGTCTTTCTTTTAGTTCTCTCTATGGTTTGAATTATTATCCACCACCTGTGTGTGATCAGGGGGGTGTTTCACAAATGATTGGTTATCATCAGATTTGGCACTGATTTTAGTCAATTGTCATTGAAAAAAGGCTTTGTGAAACCAATCCCTGAAGTGGGATATTGAGAGCTGGGGGGTGTTTCACAAAGACTAAGATCAACTTTAAGTTGGACTAACTACAGCAGGTCATTCATGCCACTGGTTGCTCTCACTATTGGTCTCTCAAATATGTTCTATAGATAATATTTTTAACTTCAATAATGAACTATCAAAAAAGGTAAATTCTGTGATTTGTGACCACGATTTGTACGTCCCTTGACAAACCAATGCCAGGAATAGTTAGAGGAACTACCGGTAGTCGATCTTAGTCTTTGTGAAACACTCCCTCGATAGCAAACGGTTGGGATCAGTGGCAGGTAAATTTGGGGCACACAGGGGGGATAAACCAAAAAATTTAAAATTAAAGATAATGCTTCTGACAAGAGGTAAGAATGGAAGCAATTTTTTGTTGTTTTTGTTTTGTTTATAAAATTAGCATATCTTCACTTCTTGACACCTTTGCTCCTTCACCCCCCCCCCCCCCCCCCCCCAAAAAAAAAAAAAAAAAAAAATCAGAGAATCTTGGATCCAACATTATGAATTCATGATAAAAAAGATCAAAGATTTACATTTTGTTTTTGTAATGTTACTCTTATCTCTTTTTCCTTAATATAATAATATTGTAATTTCCCATTTGAATCCCAGTATTTCATGATCATCTATTTTTTTCTTCCCCTTTTTTCATTTTTGGAGTGTATCAAAGAGAGATTATCCATTTTTAAAAGTGTATATTGTGACTTTGCTTAAAACTGACCAAACTTCACTGCCTTAAAGGGTAATGTTTTGCCAACTGACCAAGCCCATGGAGACTATTGATACTAGACAGTGATAAGCATATCACTTACATGCCCAAAACTCTCCAAAACAAAACTTTGTTTTCTTGCCATTTCATAAGTTGTGTTGATAGCAAAGTAGATTCTAGTTTCCTGTATGTCATGATGTGGTCAACTCTTGCCTTTTCTTCTGCCCGGCCAAACACAGGTTTCCAATTTCCCCCGTATTAATAAAACTTATCATCACATTGGGTTTATCTGATTAAGGAGGAGCTGAGGTACAGGGGTCATTCAATGCTGCAATTTTGTTTCAACTTGTAAAAACAGCTATGGTTAAAGATAAAGGTGAGTTCTGGTAATGCGATTGCATTGTGAAAGAAAAGGTGTGGAATTAATAGATATATTCATTTAACATATCGCCTTCGGGAATCAGGTGGCGCCTGTATTAAGCTGCCTAGGTAAACGAAAAAAGATAATTCAGTAGAAAACAGATAATAATAAGAATTTGTGTCATTTGCTAAATTTCTATTTTAAAGAATGGGCGAGAGCACATGTAGATGAATAGATAGAGAGATAGATGGAGAGAACTTACGTTGCTTTCTCCTTTGGTGTTTTCTCTTTTGGGTTGGTCTGTAGTGAGCTATGCTGGCACATAATAAAGAGGGCCATGGACAGGAATAGAATATTTCCCTGCATGAATGGAAAAATGATGGTAAGAATTAGAAGACTAAAAACAGGTGAAAACTGGGATATAAGCAAATAAACACAACTCTGTTCATATACACATTTTAAAGGCTCTGGGGCCTGTTTCATAAAACTTGTTATCAATGACAAATGCTTAATTCTATGACAAATTTGCTCTCAGCCAATCAAGTGCCACGATTTCAGTAGCTTATATAATAGTTATTGTAACTTGTTATTGGTAACAAGTTTAATGAAAGAGAGCCCTCCCTGTACAGTATAACAAGAGACAGACAAATTCAAGCTAGACTTAAGGTCTTGTAAAATTTGATTATATGTCAAAATATAGACTGTGATTTCTTATTGATATCGTACAGTATTGTGTCCAAGTTTTACCCTTCCAGAAGCAAATGTATGCCAAATTTTCACTTGAGATAATAGTGTCCCACAAACTTAAAGTTAAAATATTTTTAAAAATTCATCTTGAATCGCAAAATATGACTACAAACATGTATATGTCTCAAAATTGAAGTATTATTAAGGCTCAGTTTAACAGTACAATCAAGAGTTTATTTGGAATCTAGCTTCTAGCAGATCAATCACTCTTTTACAAAATTAATTAAAAAAATTTTTGTACCAAAGTGCTAACGTCATATTGGCTTGTCGTCCAGATTACTGGTTCTAAACAACAAAGCCTTGCACGAGGTTCACCGCACAATCATTCAAGCAGCAGGCTGCATGGAGCAGGGCAGATTCATTGTTTGGTGCTGGTGTGCTCACTGCACCATTGTTTAGAACCAGCAACCTTGACAATTTGGCCAATATGACATCACACTTCAGTACTTTATAGAGCAGCAGTTGCTGTCACAATACTTACAAATATGATGAGGCAGACCGGTGCTATAAATGCATATTGTAAGTTGCTCTCTGCGCACATCCAGCAACTGCAAGAAGGAGAAAAGGGTAAGATATTATAGTTTTATATTTGTTTTAAAAGGCGATCTGTGAGGGGTAAAGTGAATAAAAACAATAATAATAATAATAATCTCATTTATATAGCACTCAATATTAAAGATAAAGAGCTGTATCAAGTTTTCACAACAAGAGAATTTGCATTGAATATATATATTTTTTGTCTGTTAAGAACAAATTTTACCAACTGCTGCAAAGCCGAGGCCCAAAAATGAATATACCGAAACATACATTCTGACCAACATGGCTGAAATTACTTTTAGAGAAAATTATTAAGGGGTGCTAATTATAAATCAAGAAAGAAATGTACTTACTAATCTGGTGTACCGTAGCCTTCAAAATCCACCGCTGCTGATATACCAACAATCACTAGAGGTAAAACTAAAATGAAAATCATATAAAAACAATTACTTTTAAAAGAATTACTTTTTATCAAGATACAAAAGTGTGTAAAGATTTGATTTTGTGAAGGAAGTAAAATGTATCCAGAGTATTTATATCAATGTTACTTTTTAAACAAGGCATCAATTAACCATTATCTTTATCAACCCCTATTGGGCCACGATGTGTTTGGATTATTGTCATAACTTAACGTTTAAAAGTTTAGTGTTTTATTCAAAATTCGTTGTTTCATTGATATATTGGGTGAAGAACATTTTTCATGGATTTATAAGTTATAGCCAAGGTAGCTATTTCTGTTTCTAGATAGGAAAGAAAAAAGTAGACCTTCTAAATCCAAACACAGCGTTCAAATTCTCGACTGGATGCCACCAAAGACACCGAAGGGGTTAAAGCCTATCTGCACTAGTCTGGCCAGGAGGGATTAGTCCTCCCTGCATGGTCACTGACCGGTGGTTATTTCGTCAAATCAGGTCTCAATTAAAATAAGAACTAGATGGAACTTCGACTGCGCGCAGTCGAAAATGATGCCTCCGTCATAGAGCAATTTTACAAACCAAAACAGAAGAAATTTTTCAAATTCAAGTTCAATTGTAATCCATTAAGAGGTTCTCAGAATATCGTGATTACAAGCAATTTCTCATATACATATATGACCCTTTGATCTTTGACCTGATGACCCTAAAATCTACTCAGTTCATTGGCTCTGCAAGATGTCCTGAGTTAAATAGTAATCCATCTGTCAGTTCTAATGAGAATGCGTTCACAAGTTATTTTTGGATACATAATGAGCCCATGACCTTTGACCTCATGACCCATGAATCTACTCAGTTCATTGGCTCTGCAAGATACATACATGATCGAAATTTGGCAGGAATCCATCAATCTGTTCTAATGAGAATGCGATCACAAGCTATTTTTGCATACATAATGAGCCCTGTGACCTTTGACCTTTGACCTCGTGACCCCAAAATCTATTCAGTTCATCGGCTCTGCAAGATACATACATGACCAAAGTTTGGCAGGAATCCATCGATCGGTTCTTGAGATAATGCGATCACGAGCTCTTTTTGCATACCTAATGAGCCCTGTGACCTGTGACCTTTGACCTTGTGACCCCAAAATCTAATCAGTTCATCGGCTCTGCAAGATACATACAAGACCAAAGTTTGGCAGGAATCCATCAATCGGTTCTTCAGATAACGCGATCACGAGCTGTTTTTGCATACATAATAAGCCCTGTGACCTTTGACCTTTGACCTCGTGACCCCAAAATCTAATCAGTTCATCGGCTCTGCAAGTAACATACATGACCAAAGTTTGGCAGGAATCCATCAATCGGTTCTTCAGATAACGCGATCACGAGAACGGGACGTACGGACGGACGGACGGACGGACGGACGTACGGACGTATGGAGGTACGGACGGACGGACGGACGGACGGACAACCCGAAAACATAATGCCTCCGGCTACTTCGTAACGGAGGCATAAAAAGGGGATAATGGGGGACCAACGGGTTCCGCTTAGGCATTGTTTGCTATATAGAGGGCGCAACTAGCTACAAGTAGTGCAGTACCGCTTTAAACGTTGTGTCACACATGTTCTGGTAGCGCATTCATGGCTGCAGAGAAAGCAACCACACGATTCCTCCAGCTTACCGTATCCAAATGGATAATAGTATTTTCTCCTTGAGCTCTCTGCTTCAAAGACTTCCACCAGCATGATGTAGAGCTGAATACCCTCCAGACACATCCAGGCAAACGCTGAGAGGAAGAAGTAGTGCAGGAGCAGCGCTATCACTGCACAGAACGTCTGGAATGAAAGAAAGAAAGGAGCAAAATCATTAGAATACATGTATTTCTCCCTTGCATCTTGCTATTTAATTAGGACAATTATAATTTTGGCGTACCATAATACTTTGTGTTGTTTTAGTCTACCTGGATTTTAGTTAAGAAAGTGTTGTTCGAGATTGTAATATGTACAGCGCTACGAGTGTCAGAGCTGGCGGATACCGGCGCTATATAAATATCTATATTATTATTATTAATATTATTATTTATACTTCAGTAGTTTCTTAACAATATAATTTTTCCTTCTACAACTTAATCAGAATTAATGAAATCCTTCTATGAAGGCCACTGAATGTAGACAAAAAGGTGGCCTTTCTATACAGGTGGTGAATTAAGCAGGTTTCAAGCTACAGTACTGGACTTGCTCCAGTATACATCAATGGACTCATTTCACCAAAGGTGCAAACCTCCTCCATCAGGCTCCGCTCATCATCATCTGTTCATCTTCAACTATCATCTGGTCCTCGAACTCACACCCACTATGGAGATCGTGCCTTCTCTGTATGTGCTCCTAAACTCTGGAATAATCTCCCCGTCTCTGTCCGTGAATCCCCAACTCTTGACACTTTTAAACGTAGACTTAAGACCTATCTATTCAACATGAAGTAATTGTCCATCATCATACCGTATTTATAACCACATGTCCTATCTTATTGTAATCTATTTATTGTCTAATGTACATAATTATTGCAGTTTCAGTAATGATACTTAATTATTGTATTTACATTTTCATTTTTCATTATCATGTTATTGTTATACATTGTTAGTTAAGTAATTCGTCAAAATTAAGCGCATTGTTCATTTCACTTTTCTTGTTGATCCTTATTACATATTTAGTTTAACCGTACTTTTCATTTCACTTGTTTTGTAAAGCGCTTAGAAACTGTACTTGTATACCAGCGCTATATAAATCTTAAATATTATTATTATTATAGTACCACCTGCCTTTTAATAGTGACAACCTGTCTACAAAGACCACATTTTTTGTTTCCCTTGAAAATGGTTTCTAATTGAAACAAGTACTATAGGCACCTGTACATAAAGACAACCTGTCTATATATACCACTTTTCTTGTCTCCCTTGGGTGGTCTTTATAGACAGGTTTCTCTGTATTATCTTTATTGAGACATACCTTATTAGCTGTTTGGGTGATGCCAGCTACAAAGATAACCTCCGCCATGATGAGTGAGAGACACAGGTTCTTGTGGATAGTCGTACGGTCACTCTGAAGGTTCCTGAAATCAAGAAGTAAGGGATAGCATATGAATCATAATAATGATTAATAGTATGCAGATGTATGTCTACAAAATATTGTTTTAGAACCATTACTGTTCAATCGGCATTACTCTTATGTTATGTATACATGTATCAGTATTATTATTATTATCTGTCATTATTGTGATGTGTTGTTGTTAATAAATTCAAATTCAATTCAAATTCAATCTCATAGTGCCTTCTCTTGATTATCATCCAATACAATCAATTTGATGATATTAAAAAAAATGACACCATAGTACATTTTGGAAAGATGATTTCACTGAACATACGATATGATTGTTCTCTATCATCGGTAAATTTTGTGTCACTGGTTTCAGGATAGAGATTTGAGAAGTTAATTCAAAGCCCAAAGATATAACATCCTTCTCTCTCCCTCTAAAGGATACTTCATCCATTTTTAAATGTTCTTCAGATGAACTTACTTGAATATACAGAAGGTGATGAGAGCTAGGATGAGACATGGAATCGAGATGATGAAACCAAAGTATGTGATGAAGGATAAAGCGAAGGCATGCCCTTTCTGGAGCTGTAGGGAGACAAGAAAGAACAAAACAGACATTGTTTAGAGTGGGACTACAGGTGCATTTTAAAGAGAAGGTCCAGTTCTGGTGAAGGTGGAAAATGATTTGTGAAACTCTTTTTTTTTCTTCCCCATCAACTAGGAGGTAGGAATATCGTAAAAGAAGAAATGTCCAGTGAAAAAGATTGCCCTTCAAATGCCCTGATATAAGACAAATGACAAGAAAAACTACTAAAAGTTAGCTGAGGACCAAACTTTCAAGCCATATCTGTATGTCCAGTCCTGGTAAAGGTAGACAAATAATTTGTAATCTTTCTTGTTTTTTCCACGTCAGTGAGGAATATCATAAAAGAAGTCATATCCCGTGAAAAAGATTGCCCTTCAAATGGCCCTCATATAAGACAAATGACAAGAAAAAATACAAAAAGTTTGGACCAAACTTTATGTGTATGTAGTCCCATAAATCAATTTCTTTGTGCAGAGCATGTGACTGTCAGCAAGACAAAGTTAATCTCACGTTCACATTCCAAACCATTACGGTGCACTTCAGTTCATAAACAACTTTCCAAAAGCTAGCTTTCAGACAGTTCTTTCACAATGTAATTCCAAGACCAGATCTTGACTTTAAATACAGGTAGAATTGACATCTACCTGTGACCTTTACAATCTATTCCATGTGGTCTTGGCTTGGTCTGTAGGGTTTGACTTTTTGACATTTCTCTTATTGTCTTTTATACAATACAAAGGTATCATACTGTAAAAATAAGAAACATGTATGAAACTTTGTCACATGTTTGTGAGCCAGTAAGATTCTGAAAGTTACATGTCACAAAATAGTTGAATTCAACAGGGAAACTTTGCAATCCATGAATTTCTGAGACATAGTCAAATATAAACACACACGTTTAGGTTAATAATAATGCTTCCCAAAATACTGAATCTAAAATGGATAAATAAAACAAAATGATCACTTTCATGAAAGTTGAATTTTTGACTTACAGGAACCCCTCTTTTGACATTCATGATGACTGCAAAGTTTGTCAAGTGGTCACACGAGCAGATGGTGTGTGTCTCGTTGTTATGGACCATCCTGCAGCCTCTGTCCGACCACTCTCCGTTATGGAATTCACCCGACCTGAGTGAGAGAGAAAAAAATAAAAACAATACGGTAGAAATTTGAGTCACTGTGAATCGTCGCCTTCTGATTTAGATAGTGAATATACATGTAGATAATTAACTCTTTACCAGCCTTGGTCAACCCGACGGAACTTCATTGGCTGCCATGGCCGACTTTTTGTACAGAGTTTGTAAATATTTCATGCACACAAAAAGGTCTACATTTACAGTAGGCAATTGTAGGTTGCACTGGATTGAAAGGCTATTATCAGTCGTAACTCAGGGCAAGATGGGGGTATTCTAAAACCCTTGATGCAGAATTCAATATTATCTGTGAAACTTCTTTGCTGTGCGCCAAAGCATCAAGTATTATTTCATATGTTGCTCTTGTGGGCACAAAAGGTAATAAATTGACAAATACACATATACACTGGAATGAGAGGGTCTGGTTGATAATTTTGGAACCAGGTTCGTTCGTTAGTGTCTCCTTAGATCAAGATTAATGTAAAGTTCCTAAATTAAATTAAATTAAATTAAGTTCTTCCATCGCCCGATGGCTGCAAAGGCCGTCTCATTTACAAGGGCCAGGTCTTCATCTGTACAACCTGTTCCGCCGCACTGCAAGATGTAGTCCAAGTCTGGAATCAGGTGACACGGTTACAAATGTAGTAATGTTTTCATGGGGGGCACAATATTTTTATAACAGATTAAGAGATAACTGTAAAACTCACGTGTTATCAAACTTCCAGAAGGAGCAAACGGGATCCGAAGCGTTGTCGCCGGTCACAGCATGCTCAAAGGTCAGGTTGACCGGCTTTGCGAGAGGTGTGGTCTCCCAGGGGTCATTGATGGACACCGACAGGACCCTGGAGTTGACTGCTTGCCCGAGGTCCTGATAGACCATCACAGGCTCGTCACTGCAGGGGCGACGGGCCACCTGCGCCGCTGGTTTGATGGTCGTCCGGGCAGTCGATGTTTCTGTTATGTTGCCATTGCCCAGGAACTGTCCAATGTTATTGTACGCCAGTAAAACAATCTTGGTTTTTCCTGTTTGAAAATTAAAAGGGCAATACAATGTTGATCGCATGTACATTCCTAATCCTTCCCACAAGAGAAATCCTGATCTCACCAAAGAAACAAAGACTGTCCTATTTCTTCCATAAATGTATTTTTAATAATTGCCTTCACTAAAAATAAAATGTATCAGTGGGCATTTTTACATTGTAGTGACTTTAGTACAGAAATACAAATGACATCTTTTAAAACAACTGAAATAGCATTTGTAATCGCATAGTTGTTCATGATACTTTAAACTTCATTTATATTTCTGTTTGACTTGTATGTCCTACAGTGAAAACAGGAGACTGGTGTATCTTACCATCTTTGTTCCTTTCCTTGATAGCATCTGCAGGGAGAGTAATGGAATCTGTGATACCTTTCCATTGTCCTGACAAACCGTTTGGGTCAGGGAAGATGAGGTCACTGTCATCATCCTGATTTCGTACGACTACCTCCATAACTGCAAGTAATAAAGAAAAGACAGCAATGATGAGTTGTAAATTCAATTTTTGAAACAAACAAAAATGCACTAAACATTAATACATTCTTTTTACATCTGATCAACTTATTCACAAAAAAGTTCTCACAAAATTTGGTTTCTAAAGGCTTGTGGCTGCTACCAGTTTAATGTGGTCATCCTGCAAACCTCATTGTCTTTATTCTCTACAACTATTAATTTATTTATTAGTTGACTGGTTTGAATGATTCTGACTACATTTAAACCGACCAAAAGCTGTCGTCTTTTATAGTATCTCCAAAAGCTCAGTTCTCTTTTTGCTCTTGATCAATGATGTATAACAGTCCCCGTGTCCACACACAACATTTTCCGTGATTAGGTGTGATTAGCTATACCGTTTCGCGATAGTTATACAGTTTTACGATGAAATTGTGTGTGTGGACGCTCACTAACGATACCTCGTATAACGAAACGTTGTATAACGAAACGCAGGTATGGGCATCGTTTCGAACTAGAACTCAATAAAGAATCACGCTTTATCACGGAAGGTGTTGTGTGTGGACGTAACTAGTGTAACTAGTGTAACTAGTGTAACTAACTGGGCAGGGCTTAACGTGACCTCGAGCGAAAGGAGACCGGACCTCTCATTTCCGCTTCCATTTCATGACTGCAGTAGCAAACTGCGCACCTATACGACATTTCGCTGTAGAGTTTCAGGATTACTTTCTTTAATTACTTTGATAACTTTAATTGATACGATTATTATTTATACAATGTTTCTTGTGTGTGGACACTCTGAAATTTATACGATGATTCTTTATACAACGTTTCGTTATAGAGTTTCGGGATGAACTGTTTTGTGTGTGGACACGCTGAGTTTCATGTAGCCTCAAACTGTTATCTTTCAACAATATTCTACTTTGGACTGGAATTATTCTACAGAGAAAATGCAACCGTTTTAAATATAGTTTAAATAAAACCACAGAAGCTAATTTCAGACATCATTCCTAAGGCTTGCAGACACTGATGATGTACAAGGTGTTCATGGGGACCATCAGGGGAACCTTAAAACATGTTATCTCTCGTCCACAATCTCCTTAATTATTAACTGGATTGGTTTGACAAGCAGGTTTCCTGGAGAGGGCAGGCTGTCTGATTAATGCCACAGAAGTAAAACCTTGTCCTTTGCTTCAAGACAGGGTTGAGGTTTCTCAGAGATGAAGCGAAGGCCAGACTCGATTGACAAATTGGCCCTTTCCTGGTCATTTTAAATAGATGAGGTTTGATTTCAGTAAGGGGGCAGGGAAGTGCCCCTATCTTATTGCCCCCTCCCTAAATCATTCCCTCTTTTTCTTCAATTAATCCTCTCTATCCCTTTCTCATTCCTCCTATTAAGAACCATATTTATCTCCTTTGCCTGATTAAAAAAAGGGGCATTGTATTATGAATGTTTCCGATTCCCCTCCCCCAGAAAAAAACTAACAAATTTTCTCCCCCCTCCCCTTGCTCCTCTTTCTATGTCTGTTTCTGTCTGTTTCTGTCTGTCTGTCTGTCTATATGTATGTATGTATGTATGTATATCTCTCTCTCTTTTTCTTTTTCTCTCTATTCAAATTCAATGATTCCCCCCTCTCTCATTCCTCTCTACCATAATTACATGACTTTCTTGAGAATGATTCCATGTTAAATGAATAATAAATATTTCAATCCTTAGAAATCCTCATACTATTACAAGCAAGGCTGTTCCATATTGACCATAACACATGCAGCCCAACATTCTTCCCAAACTTCTGCGCCCAATCTGCCCTAGGCTAAAGGTCCTGTTGAATAAGTTGCAGGAAACGGACTCTGCGAGTGGTAGACAGAACTGACGACACCTGGATTAAGACGTGACGTCCACACGCCAGGGAATGCCCAGGTTTCCTGCAAGGCTGCATGAATCCATGCTACAGAATGGATACACCCTTTCCTATCGATACCCCTGGTGCCTGCATGTCCCCTCTCTCATCTTGCTCTTTAGCTGATATTAACCAAGGTATACTTGACATTCATTTGACATTCAGCTTTGCACAGGTGACATGATGCATATAATTTGGTAAAATATTAATGAGCAACCAACATTCAACTCTTGCTTTCATCTGTCACTATCTTTCTCTATCCCTCTCTGTTTCAAGCCCCTTTGACAACTTAAGTTCTTTTACATATCGACTCCTCTATCTCACCTGATATGATTCTATCACCTTTTTCCAACTTGACTCCTCATATACCTCTCTGTATGTAACTCCCATACAAATTCATCTCTTTCATCGTCCTGTATTGCATTTACTCACACACGCCCTAATTCTCTCTTCTTATCATTCTTTTCCGTCTCTCTCTTCTTCTCTCAAAGTCTATGTCTCTCCTTCCTCCCCTACTCTTCCCCTACTCCCCCCCCCCCTCTCTCTCTATCTCATCTTTCTCTATATAAATTTGTGAAATAAAGTAGCTCTCAACTCTTATCTCTCTCTCTCTCTCTCTCTCTCTCTCTCTCTTTAGACCATCTCCCATACACATACATATATTTCTCCCCTTCTTCCCCCTCTCTCTCTCTCTCTCTCTTTCTGTCACCCCCTCTCTCTCTTTCTCTCTCTCTCTCTCTCCCCCTAAGAATCTTTCTATTCTCTATCTTTCTCTCACTCAAGATATCCTAATACTCCTGAAGTCCCAGACCAAACCGACAGCCGATCAAGACAAGCAAGCTTCGATGGAGGGGGACAGGTGACCCCAAGAAATTAGAACGGACTTTCTCTGCATCTCTCTCCTGACCGATATTCTGTCACTTCACCTCATACAACATGACACCTCTAGATGTCGGAGGGAAAATGATTATGTCTATGCCTAGCCTAATTCATTCATTACGACAAAGAAGCAACAATAGAAATAACTTTCCATTAAAAGCAACAGGGGGGGGGGGTGGGGACTGAATTCTAAATCCTAGTAATTAAGATGTAAGAGTTTGAAACTATATTATGTTACCCAGGGGCATCTTTGGACCATTTTTGATCGGAGACCAGCAAACCATTCAACGACAAACGTTAAAAATACCAACAAGCACTAAAGACTAGGCAGTGTCACTATATAGTCTGGTTTGAGCCATAAAATCACTTGTGGTTTAAATAAAACTTCAAGTTATCTTTAAAGTTAAAAAACCACACAGTCCTAAACTACAAGACAATCTCAAAGTTCAAAACCACAAGCTAAAGTTAAGTTAAAAACCTAGCCATAGAAATCAAAGTAAGGATATATAATTTCAACATATCTCATCAATATTCAAATAGTGACTCTATGTAAGAGATTCTACATCACATTAACTCAATAGGGACTGTAAATTTCTTGCAAACACATGTACAGCCAGTAATACCTACTCTACAACTACTACTATGCATCACATCACCTGTTGGGTAAAGTGAAAACTCCTTGAAAATGTATATAATGGTGTATTTCGCTATAATGAATTGAGGCAGTTATATATCTTGCCACCTGAGGTCTGGGAAATGTATCCAAAAGACTCAATCTCATTTACAGGCTTCGATTCTTTACAGGGGTTTTGTCAACGAATTTGACAGGTGCTTGCAACATTCCGTCTAATGAGAGGGAATGTGCTGTAAATGTCATGACAAACCAGGAAATGCGTTGATTTATGTGTTCTGGCAAAATTTGAAGCATGTACTTAGAACTTTACACCATGACCTGTGTAACCATAATCTAACCCTATTTTCATAAGCCCTACCTACACTCTGCCCCCCCCCCCAACAAATAGCACACCCAAAGATGAATAAGAATTGCACAGAAAAATCAAGTCTTTGCATGACAACCTTTGATAACATTCTTGAAAATGATTTCATGGCCCAGTTTTTAGAGAATTGCAAACTATTGCAATCAATCTTAACATACGCTTTATTATGAAAAGTAAATAAATAATTAAAAATCCTGAAAAGTAGAGCTTGTGTAGAATTACCTAAATTTGTTTGTTTAGCATTTACTAAATTTGGAAATGGGTTTTTAGATATTTAATACCCTTTCACTCTATTTTAGTATATGATTTGTTTGCTTGTCTGGTTTTATCAATGCATTTATAAATCCATACATTGAGTATATATGCATGAGATGTTCATCTTCATGCAGATGACCTAATCCCTTAAGGCGATACTGAACTGATGAACTTTCTGCGCCATCCCATGACAACTTGCCAACAATGCGTTACGGAATACCTAATTTCTGCTTTGCGGACAGAGGACTTGATGCTAGAACTAAGAGCGCAGAGAGTTATGGGATCATACTGCTACACCTGACCCGAGACGACGCTAGAGGGGATTTTGCGGTAGTGAATCTAGTACATACGGCGTGGCTTTAAATCCAGCGTAACATCCTTCGACAAATCAAATGTGACTGGCAAGTTTTTTAATAAGTAACTAATTAGCTCTCAAGCTCTCAGCGTGTATAACCCAGCTGTCGATCATGTCTTGTTTCAACATGGAATACATTAACCTTACATGAACATGTATGTCTAGGATATTCTTAATTGTGACTTATCAAAACTGCAATTTATACGGATAGGTAATGTACAAGACGAATGGGATGACTGAAAGGTTGGTGTTGTTGTTGTTTAATTCAGGCAAGTCAGTCAGATAGATTATGACCGTTATTTCCAAATACTATGAAGAATTATTTTGAATTCAAATTTACGTATATGCACTCACATAAAATGCGTATATATATATATATATATGTTATGTATATTTCATATTTCTTCTTCTTGTATGAGGATACCATGGGTCATACAACAAAAACATATCTTTAGAATTGCAACTTTTGTAAATATCCAGCTGGATAGCCTGACCAAATGTGTTATTACCTGTACATCACAAATGGTATACCCAGGGGTCCAAATTGTAATCTTTTTCGTCAACCATGTATATACACAACATTTTTGTTGTTGAAAGCTGTCGTCCCCTTTCATTCAAACCATTTATTGTACGGTAAGCCAGTGGAGGCCATATCTATATATGTTTGATAGGGACAATAAAATAAATCTATAAACTTAAATCCGAATCTGATGTATGCTTGTATTTCAAAGTTGGCACGTATTCAAAATGTTGTTTGGGGTTAGGCTATTATGTTTTGGGGTTGGGCCATTTGACAACAGTGCACGTACCTCGATATCATGAATTTGCAATCTGCAATCTTTATAATGGTTAAAAAAACACCACAAAATATCACTTTCGTGTCTCAAACTTGGCATATAACATGCATATTCTAGGACTATAAAATGAGAACTTCTATTGAAACCCTTCAATAGAAATTGCATTTAGATAACAGCAATTATCCCCCCCCCCCCCTCTCTCTCTCTCTCTCTCTCTCCCTCTCTCTCTCTCTCTCTCTCTTACAAATAATATAAACTCTCTGCTTCAATTTTTGTCATACCCTCCGCAAGAAAATTTACACTTTTATAAACTCTACCAATCACCTAATTGAAAACATATCGGTACACATGTACATAAAAACGTATTTACATATATAACTTTTTACTTTTTATAAACTATTTAAGACTGTACAAAAAGAGGAATTTAAAGGGAAGATTAAACCCTAATTGAATGCAGAGGTACAAAACAAACAAAAACAAATGATGAGTTGTCACATTCGACTATAAACATGTATGTGAAATTTTGCCCTCTCATATGGAATTGTATTGAAGAAAATATTTTTATAAATGACAAGCCAAATTCACTTTGTAAGTATTTGAAACTAGGTGTACAGAAAGGAGGATAGGGGGAGGATTATATGCTAATTAATTGCAGATTTACAAAAATGATGAAGTGTCCAATTTCTCTTCTAAAATTTGCCCTCATTGGGACGTTTATGAAGTGTTTAACCGAAACATCTGGGCTAGAAGCAAGGTTTTTTGTTTCCCAGGAGTAAAAAGTAATGTTTCCATCTTCAAACACCATAAATCCCCCAAAAATGATGAATTTCCGAGGGCAACTCCCACTAGGAAACCATTGCCTTTGAGCTGGAGAGGAGTTCAACTCCCATGTCATGTGGGAGTGTATGGTATTGGAGAGATAGTAAACAAGCTTCATGAATGCCTCCTTGAAAATGGTAAAAAAAAAAAAGAGGTTTGTAAATTGTTGTATTTCAGCGTGATTCTCTCTCTTTTTGGCCTTTTTGGCTAAATGCTGATATTTCCTCACTACACATGTCATTCCCAACTTTCCTTCAGACCATTTCCTCTTCTTTCCCAGGTACATGTACCCCTCTTTCACTTCCCCCTTTCAGATTCCCACGTATTCACAGACACCCTTTTTTATCTTTGTATGTACAGGTAAATGTCTGTCCATCCGTCTGTTTGCCTATCTTTCCATCTCTCTCTCTCTCTCTCCTCTCTTCTTTATCTCTCTCTCTCTCTGCTCTGAAGCCCAACCTCACTTATCCCCTACAGGAAACTAGTGACTGGTATAAGAGCCTAGCAATCTGCCGACTCACTGCCTGTTGTGACCGTGATGAACTGGACAAAAAAAGTTCAGGTCTATCCAACATTCAAGAGCACTATGCCAAACAGTAATTCATGCCACAAACCATCGACCCAAACTCTTTACAAAATCCCCCCCCCCCCCCACAACTCTGTATCTCTCAAAAACTATTTTATAATGACTTTGACCCCCATTTAGTTTTGTCTCTATGTATTGTCTCCTTGATATTGCCTCTGTTCTAAATCAGTGTTACTTTTCTACCCCACATTCTGCCCCCTCCCTCCTCTCTGTCTCTCTATCTCTCTCTGTGTATCTGTCTGTCTGTCTCTCACTCTCTCTCTCTCTCTCTCTCACTCAATCTCTCTCTCACTCTCTCTCAATCTCTCTCTTATCAGTCGTCCTTCTCCCATTTTTGTCTTTCTCTCCTTTCCCCTACCTCAGTATACATTACCCCCCCCCCCCCCCCCCCCCCCCCCGCCCCTAACAACAAAAAAGGACACCTTCAGGGGGAGAAAATATATATGATCATCTTACAATACTCCTGTTTCATGGAAATATTGAACCAAGTAATGAAAGGGTACACAAACTAAAGCAGCCACTCTAAACTACAATTCCACACACAACATTGATCCCTACTATGAAACATATCAGGAGAGGGGGGGGGGGGTGCATGAGGATCACTTACCAACATTCTCCTCCTGATCGATGAAGGTCTGATCATCTTCCAGGGTGTTTGCCAGGAGGAAGGCACTCTCCTCCAGTGAGGTGATGAGGGTGGATGCGGTCTTTGTCTGGTCTTCCTTGCTAAGGTCGTCCCAGGAATCCAGGTTCGTGTCCTCCAAGATGGCGCTTCCAACCTTCAGGTAATTCTGCATCAGGAAAACAGAGAAAATTTGATATTATAACTCTAATCCTTCTAATAATTCTGTTTAAACCATTACGAAAAGTAAAAGATATTATTAGCCCTACAATACTTTTTGCTTGAAGTTTCTCAAAATATCATCAGATATAATTTTGTAGGCCTGAAGCACATATTGGTTCTTGAGCCATTAACTTATACACTAAAACACACACTCACCACCCTTTTTGCTCTGAACAAACAATATACAAAGGGGCATCCACGGCCATGGCCTTGGTGGCCTTGGATTAATTTAAGCCCTGGGGGATCAACGGGTACCACTTAGGCATTGTTGGCTGTATAGAGGGCGCAAGTAGCTACACGTAGTGCGGTCCCGCTTTAATACCGGAAGTGAGTCAATCTATGTTCTGAAGCGGATTAACTTCTGACATACCGTTGTGACTTCTTTGGTCTTTTCCGTCCTCTCAGCAGCCGTAGCATTCTCCAGCTCCCTGTTTAGGTTCCCAAGGGATGTCGTCAGGATATCGGTTGCCGCGACGATGTCTCCACCATAAAGCTCCTCCCCTTCTTCAATAGTTTGGGCGAGCTCTTCTGAGATGACGGCAACTGATGCACCATTCTCCAGCTAATCATAGGGTTAAAATAAATGGGATCAGATTTATATATATGCTGACTTACTTGAAGGCAGGGATTTTGGGGAAAGGGTTTCCTTAACCTGTTGACTACTGAACTCACTCATTCCCATAGAGTTATCACAATGACCACCCGGCTCCCGTAGACAAAGGGTTAAATTATACCTTTTTTTTCAATTCAATTCAATTCAATTTCGGTTTTATTACAAATATACCAAATAAAAAGTCCAAAGACTAACAATAATTGGCTTACAATGTATCATATAAAAATGCATTAAAAACAATAGATTTAAAAATTCAGTAATAAGTTAAAGAACATTGCTCACATTGTATTACATAAATATTATTATACCTTAGTTGGTTTTAGATGAAGTGGGGCCTCACTGGAAGGATTTGACAAGTTTTCCCCAAAAGCCGAAGGAGAGGTTTCCCCAAGATAAACAACTTGTCATCTTTGTCTAGATGAAAGCACCACAGGTTTCCAATTAACAATTATTTGTACATGTACATGTATTATGAATAACAATTTTAGGGGACAAAATTGGGGATAAAATGGGCAACAAGCAACTCTAGCACATTTCAAGGAAAAAACAACTTGTAAACTAAATTCTTGGATAATAGACTCCTTTGGTTCTGATATTTCTGAGCCTCATGGATACAGCTTTGATTTGTTAACTAGTAAAAATGAACTTGTGCCATTAGTAAATCTTTTCTATCAGTTTGGAATGGCTGCCACAATGCCCTACCTGCTCTGTGATGGTCTTTAGTTTAAATGAGACACAGTCGCTAAGGTCTGGACCAGACGGATCCCAACGAGTAGGGCCGGTCAGGGGGGTCTCACATCTCCACTCGGCTTGCCCTGCAAAACACAAGAGTCAAATATTGAATGTTAAAGATGAAGTTGAGTTCTGGTCATGCGATTGCATTGTGAAAGAAACATTGTGGAATCGATCAGAAACGGTTGATCATCTAGCATATAAGTATTGGTGTGTACTGCAAGGTTCTGGAATCATCAAAATGATAAGAAATTTGGCCCAGTCTTGATAAAGTTACAAGCACTGTACACAGAAAAATGTATATGGGACTACCCCCACACGTGCGTTATATCTATCAGGTCCAAATAGATATAATTTACCAAATATATCAATTAGTAGGCGGTTTCTCTGCAAAATTTGTATGATCACGTATTAGTCAAAACACATTCTTTCAAATGATCGGTAATATAAGAGCTTCCATTTCATTTTTTGAGAGGGGGGCGTTTCCAAAACTAGTCTGGTATGGGGTCATGAATTTGGTTCAAATGAAAATATTTGAAGCATATGCGATCCTACAATATTCAGTGATCGTTGTCGCGGTTGAAATCAAGTCTAAAGTGATAAAATTTAAGTGAAATGTTGCCATCAACTTTTTGGCAAATTTGGGGGCCCCAACACTTAAGAGGGGCAACTAATCATCAAATGTTTTGTGTTTGCTTTGTAACTATGTTACAAATAATTCCATAGTTCACATTTGCATCAAAGCAATCACATCAATCGGTGGCGAATTTTCAGCATATTTTACAACCCCAAAATACTTCACACACAAAAATGGCATGAAGATCACATCCAAAGCACTTTTCTCCATATCATCATTCCTTGAAAAAGTGCAAAGAAATGATCATGAAAAGGGGGGGGGGGTATAGATTTTGAGAAAGATCCGATGTACGTTTCTGCAGAAGTAATCTTCAATTTGCTGTGAGCTAGGTGCTGAAGATGTGCTCTAAATAGCAAATTACTTCATTACCATCTCCAAGAAGAGGCATGCAGACATATTCAATTTCCATTTCAATTTATGCCAAACTTTGAAGGGTTTGATCGCTACCAAAAGAAGCGTAGAAGATATGTGTTTATCTCTCTCAGCCATACAGCTCCAAATTCAGGAGTCATTTCATGACACTCCCGCTTCAAAAATAAAGTTGATGAGGCTCGATCTGCAAGTTTCTGACCCAAAATAGAAATTTTATATGTGATAACTCTTAAAGAGAAATGAAAGTCACATATGATCGCCTAGATATTGCACCAAGAGTTTCTAAACAAGGACATTTATACTTCAATCAAAGATTCAGCGTTTGATCAACTGAAATTGACAACATGCTTATATCTGAACATGATTTTTTCATTTAGAGGTTAAAGTAATCAACTGATTATAAAAAAAATGCTGCATAATACCTATTTTAGGCATTCCAATTCGCATGATAAAGAAACTGCTATGAGAGGAATTGAGAGAAAAGCCGCAGTATTTCAACATGCATTGATTTCAGCATCATTCACTTTATGTTGAAATTAATTCTTGGTAGGAATCAGAAAGCACACTTTGATTGGACTTTTATTTTCTCTATCAATCATCAAAATAAATGAAAGTGAAAGCATATACATTTTCACATGATTAAGTAAAAATACCTCTACTTCAATTAATCTCGTCTAAGAGTATAAGGTATAATTTTATTTTCATTCTATTTTTCAATTCAATTAATTTCATGTCAATTATTAAGGTCCGAATTGAAGTACATGTACATTAAGTATATATCTAATTTACAAATATGGCAAGCAGAAACTTATCTCTAACAGAAATTGAGCTCCAAAGATACAAGCTTCATGTCTAATTGTGAGCCCTAACAATTCAATTCAATTTAACTCAAGTATTTCCAAGTTTGGCGGCATTCCAGGTTATATCTAGCTTGGACACCTCATTCAAATTCAAGTTCAAATTCTGTAAGTAAATCCTTCACATTAATCTCCATATTAAAATACAATCATATGACTATGTGTGCACTTTCCTCCGTGTCTGTAACTCCATCAAAACTTAGTTAGTTGATTTATCTTGATATGTATACATTACTGAATCTGCAAACCAGAAATATCTCCATGGTGAAAAATCAATTTGGACAGGTGGTTTGAAACTCTGCAGACTTCCCATAATTCAATATGTGTCTAGATATACCACAATCTTCCTAAGGCAGAGGCACCAACGAGTCCCGCATTCCTGCTGAACAAGGTAAGTTTGGCGGCATTCCAAAGCCAATCTATCAATCCCTCTGTTAAACACTCTTCCTCCTTCCCCCATATTTCTCCCTCTCAATCATGCTATCCCCTTTTCTTTTCTTCTTTTTACTTCTATTTTGACTCTTCTCTCCTCCCCTTATTTCACCCTCCTCTTTTTCCTCCTCCCCTCCCCTCCCCTCCCCTCCCCTCCCCTTCCCTCCCCTCCCCTCCCCTCCCCTCCCCTCCCCTCCCCTCCCCTCCCCTCCCCTCCCCTCCCCTCCCCTCCCCTCCCCTCCCCTCCCCTCCCCTCCCCTCCCCTCCCCTCCCCTCCCCTCCCCTCCCCTCCCCTCTCCCCTCCCCTCCCCTCCCCTCCCCTCCCCTCCCCTCCCCTCCCCTCCCCTCCCCTCCCCTCCCCTCCCCTCCCCTCCCCTCCCCTCCCCTCTCCTCTCTCCTCTCACCACTATATCTTTATCCTTTTCTCTTCACCTTACCTGTCATCTGTCCTGCTACCCCCACCCCTTTCCTCACTTTTCTATTACTACTTTCTTTTTCTTTCTCTCTCATCTCCCATCATTCCAACTTTCTTGAATTGTAGCTTTCTCTCACCATCCCTTTCTCTGTCTCTTGCTCCTTATCCCTTTCTCTGTCTCTGTCTCTCTCTTTCTATCTTTCTGTGTGTGTGTGTGTCTCTCTCTCTCTCTCTATCTTTCTCTCTCTCTCTCTCTCCCTGTCTCTGTCTCTGTCTGTCTGTCTCTCTCTCTATCTTTCTCTCTCTCTCCCTCTGCCTCCCCTCATCTCATTTCTAACTGACAGCTAAACTCAGCCTGCCGACCCCAAACTGTGACAGGATTGGACAACAATTTCAAAGCCTGGCTCCTAAGGCACCGAAAACTTGAAGTACAGAGAAAAAAAACGTTGCCGTGAGAATGGCAGAGGAAACTTTTTGAGTTGTGATTGGTATCTTGGACCGCATCGGGTCTGGACAGGGGTGTGACTCACATCCTTACGGGGCGAGCTCAAGAGGAGGCACGTAACGCATCGCAGGGACGCTCGTTTCCCCCCTTGAGTAAACCCAGCTAGGTAAAGCTCTGATATCCCCTACCTTTGCCTGCTCACCTGACTCGTGTTTCTAAGCTTTCAGTACGAGCTTTGATTTGTAGTAACGCATTTCAAAGTTCATATTTCTAAGCTTTCAGTACGAGTTTTGATTTGTAGTAACGTATTTCAAAGTTCATATTTCTAAGCTTTCAGTACGAGTTTTGATTTGTAGTAGCGCATTTCAAAATTCATGTTTCTAAGCTTTCAGTACGAGTTTTGATTTGTAGTAGCGCATTTCAAAATTCATGTTTCTAAGCTTTCAGTACGAGTTTTGGTTTGTAGTAATGCATTTCAAAGTTCATATTTCTAAGCTTTCAGTACGAGTTTTGGTTTGTAGTAATGCATTTCAAAGTTCATATTTCTAAGCTTTCAGTACGAGTTTTGGTTTGTAGTAACGTATTTCAAAGTTCATATTTCTAAGCTTTCAGTACGAGTTTTGATTTGTAGTAGCGCATTTCAAAATTCATGTTTCTAAGCTTTCAGTACGAGTTTTGATTTGTAGTAGCGCATTTCAAAATTCATGTTTCTAAGCTTTCAGTACAAGTTTTGATTTGTAGTAGCGCATTTCAAAGTCATGGGAAACTTTCACTTCTAAAAAATTACTGCAAAATTCAGCATGCATGAAACTTTTGTGATTCCCATCCTGATTTGGGACTGTAAAGTGCTGCAAAGTCTTTTCATTACTACACTGCATTTTCCAATTCACTAAATTTTCTTGCAATGAAATAAGCAAGAAAGTGGTTTAATCTTGCACCAACATTAATTTATATTTGCCACTCTCCACCCATGGGTTGAATGGCTACCAATGGGAAGACATTCCTTGAATGCTGTGACTCTGAGTACATTGCATGGTGGATATATGCCCTATCAAAAATCCAATATCACAGTTTGCATTATTAGTAGTATTATCTTTTGTTGTGATTTGCATATATTGCCACGACAACGAGCCAACTTGATAGGTTGATTATATACCAATAAAGTTCAGGGGAAAAAATTGTTGAAAACCTAAAATGGGTAAATAGAATATCACTTGGAATATGAAGTACATAACAATTACAGATGCACATGTAGTATGTACAAGAAAAGTGGAATCTAAGAAGAAAGAAAAGTGGAGTCTTAGAAGACAGAAAAGTAGAATCTAAGAAGAAAGAAAAGGAATAATTCCAAGAAGACATATATCAAAGCCAAAGACAAAGAAAAAGCCAAGATATACTGAAGATAGAAATCTAAATTACAAACGGAAGTCCAGAGGTGATGTAGAGCTTCATGATAAAACCACAAACCTATAGAGAGTATATTGATAGCTTGATGCTAAGGTTTAGTCCCATTCACACTACCAACATTCATAAATACAATACGTAATTAAATTTCTCTAGTGTGAATATCATGTAATGAAAAATTGTATAGCAAAACGTACGTTTGAATATAAATGAATAAAATGTCAATAATGAATCAAAGTCCCGTTCACAGAAATCATGAAACTGGGCGGGGCTTATCGTGAGTGCACACTGATGATTGGTCAGCTGTCGCGTCAACTGATCTCTTCAAAACTAGTTTCTTTATATGATGTTATCATCCAGTGTGCTAGCCCCCTATTCACAATAGGATCATTTTTGAAATTTAACTTTAGATTGAAAGTCACAAACGATTCCTTCTCATTATCGGTACAGTGAAATAAACACAGAGATCAGTACAGTAAGTAATTCAGAATACAAGAGATGAATACACGGAGAGCAAAGCT